TGTTAGATTTCCTTCATCTAGGCTGTCAATCAGGGACTCAACCATCTGAATTATTGCTGTTGTTGTGGATTTCCCTTTTGTAAATCCATGTTGAAGGTTGTTTAGTAGGTTGTGATTTGTGCAGTGGTCTAAAAGTCTTTTTAAAACAACTTTTTCGTATATTTTGGAGAAGGTGGAAACGAGGGAAATTGGTCTGTAGTTGCTTGCTTCTAATGTGCTACCTTTTTTAAATTTCGGGTATACTTTAGTTATTTTAAGTAGTGAAGGAAAGATGCCTTGTTTTAGGGACTTATTTATCAAATCAGCCAATGGTAGTGCTAGTTCATTGCAGCAATGCTTAAGTATTTTTGACGAGATTTCATCAATTCCAGACGAGTTTTTTGTTTTAAGTTTGTTTATAATCATTTTAACTTCCTTCTCGTCTGTGCTTTGAAAGGAGGAAAACAGTGGACCTGTTTGAGTTACGTCAGGAGTTTGAGCTGTGGTCTTTAGGTGTTTTTGTTTCTCTACTGTTTTTTCTCCTACTTGTGTAAAAAATGTGTTCAAATGCTCTGCAACATGGGTCACATTACTTATGAGTTGGCCATCTACTTGAAGGGTTATTTCATTTAGGGATGTTTCCTTTTTGGACCACACTGTGTTTATTGTTTCCCAGATAGCTTTAGATTTATTTTCAGCTTTCATCAACTGGTCAGAGTTAACCTTTTTCCGCATCGTTTTCAAGTACAGGTCATAGTTCTTTTTATTTTCAGTAGAAACCCTTCTGTCATCTGGATTTCCCGTCACCTCAAACTTTCTTAGAGCTTTAAGAAATTCGGCTTTAAGTCTCACTGCTTCTGGGTCCATGGAGAATTTTAGTTTATGTTTTCTTTGTATTTTTATCTTCTTTTGGGGGCAGGCTGCATCCATAGCTACTCTCACTATGTTACTAAAAGTTTTAAAAGCTTCTTCGGCATTGTTTATTGAGGTAACACTAAGCCAGTTTTCTTTACTGAGAAGATACTTGAGGTCTTGCAGGTTTTTATTTTTTAGGCAGCGTCCAATTTGGGCAGGATAACTTGAGTTGATGTGTGAGTTGAAGTTTACAGTACAGAGTTGAGCAGTATGATCCGAAAGTCCTGCATTGATGATTTCTGGAGTGAGTTGGTTTGTGTCCATATTTGTACATATCCAGTCAATGGAGGTTTGTGTTAGATTTGTTATTCTTGTAGGTGGAAGCTGTAGTCTCTGGATGTTGTGCATAGCAAGAGTTTCATTTAAGATAATGTGTTTCCTGTTTGGGTTACACAAATCAACGTTAATATCTCCCATGATGATAAGAGGGGAATTTTCAATTTTTGTTTCCTCAATTAGTTCTGTAAAGGTGTTTAATGATTCCTCAAGGTCTCCGTTTGGGGGTCTGTAGGTTCCCAGTACAAACAGATTTGAGTTCTTGAATTTTATTTTTATAAGAGCTGCTTCAAATAACAGTTCTTTACAGTACTTGGAAACATCTATGGCTACTGTGCTGCTCTCAAGGCTTTCTTTTACAAGAATGCAAACACCTCCTTTTCTGTGTTCTATTCTACTATAGTGAGCCTTGAGGCAGAATCCAGTAGCTATGACGGTGCTACTTATTGTCTCAGGTTTCAGTCCATGTTCTGTCAGAATTACTATGTCAGGTTTGGTTTCTTCTAAAAGGTGCTGTAGTCTATTTATTTTATTTGAGACTTCCTGTGTATTTTGGTGCAGCAGGATGAGTTTGGAGTTTACATCCTGACTCGATTGTCTAAAAAACAGTCAGGTTGCGTTTCTCTTGTCTCTGCTGATTTTTGCAGTTTTCTTAAAGTAAAATCAGGCTGCGTTGGAATAATCTGAGAAGGTGAGGAAAAAACAAAGTTATTATCCTGTAGCGATGCAGCCTCCCTTTTTACTAAATATCCATAATGCTTCTTCATATGTTCTGAATAAAATCCTATATTTTTTACAAAGAAATCATTGTAATCCTCGTCTTTGCTCTTTGGCTTAGCATTTAGGGGTGGAAGTTTATTTTTATTTTTAGTCTCTTTCAGGCTTTCTTGAGCTTTTACTGTTTGTGACACTTGTGACAGTTTTTGTGGCGGGGTTTGGCTGGTTCCCCCTGTTGATACTTGTTCCGTTGAGGTCTCAGATGACAGTTTTTTCGTAGGAGTTTGTCTGACTCTCCCTGTTGCAGTTTCTGTTGGCAGTTTTTTAGTAGGAGTTTGTCTGACTCTCCCTGTTGTAGTCTCGGTTGGCAGTTTTTTAGTAGGAGTTTGTCTGACTCTCCCTGTTGTAGTCTCGGTTGGCAGTTTTTTAGTAGGAGTTTGTCTGACTCTCCCTGTTGTAGTCTCGGTTGGCAGTTTTTTAGTAGGAGTTTGTCTGACTCTCCCTGTTGTAGTCTCGGTTGGCAGTTTTTTAGTAGGAGTTTGTCTGACTCTCCCGGTTGTTGTTTCAGTTTGCAGTTTTTTCGTTGGAGTTTGTCTGGCTCTCCACGTTGTGTTTTTGAAGGTTTTGCTGGTTATTTCTCGGCAGTCAGTAGCAAGTTTGTGATTTGTTTGTTCTAGGTATTTAGCATTTTGCAGGGATACGCTGAATATGTTAGTTCTGTTATGATTTCTTTGAGCCCTTTTATTTTTTAATGAACTTGGTGTTGGAATGGAAGGATTTGTATGAGTTGTCGGAGAAATCGTATTAGAAATCTCTTTGTTCATCTGCATTTTCAGGGTGTTAATGACGTGTTCCATTTGATTTTGTTTCATTTTAATTTGAGCAAGTTCAGCTAAGAGGAAAGGACTGTGACCAGCTATACTTTGATGGGTCTGGGCTACAGCAGGCTTTGTACTAACCAGATTTTCCTCTTTTTCATCCAGCTTAACTTCATTGTGTTTTTGTGTCAGATCTTTTATGTTCTGTTTAAGTTGTTGAGTTTCTTGTTCATATTTTTTTAATGTGTCTTCTTTTTCCTTGTCCAATTCTTCAAAGGTGTGTTCTAAGTCTCTGCGAAGCATCTTCTCATTGTCGAGCTGTTTTTCAAGATTATTGATGGTTTCCACTAACGAGTTGTTTTTCATTAACAATCTTTCATTTTGGTCTAATAGTGTGTCTATTTTTTCTTCCCAAGCTGCTGCTTCATTTCCATTTTTGATTTTTGTTACTTGAAAAGACAGTTTGGCATTTTCGAGACTCAGCTTGTGTACATCCTCTCTAAGTTTATTGTTTTCTTCAAGGAGAGCATTTCCAACCTCCGCTGCTAGGTTAAGAGAACTTTCCAAATCATTCTCTTCTGTATCAAAATTCTGTACAATGTTTTGAAAATCGTCCATGGTAAGATTTAAATTGTTTAACATAGGTTCGGGCTTGTTAATTGAGGTATGACTTTGAGTGATGCAGCTAAGCAAGGTGTCGTCTGAGGTTTGACTTCCAGAACAATGCTTATCATCAGTTTTGCTTGATTTCCTTGCAAAAGCGATTTCTGCTTCTTTTAAAGCTGCATTAAAATATTTATTTTTGAAATTGTCTTGTTTAGGTTTACCATATATTGCTTTGTTTTCTGAGTAAAGACATACATCACTTTCCTTTATTTTAGCTGTTTTATTATCTCCAAAAAAAGAAACAGTATACTGTGGTTGTCTATCATTTTTCTTTGGAACAGTCTCCTTTATTTCTGCAGATGTTAAAACTGGCTGTAGAAAGTCACCCAACGGCTTTTAGGAGGATATGGCCGTAGTCTACAGTGTGTTTTAAAAATTCACGAATGCAATCCTCATAGTTTTATTTTTTAAATGTTTATTTGCTCATGACAAACAACAGGTGAAATGGGAGTTTATGGACAATTGGGCACGTTTTAGGTATTAAAAATGGCTTTAGAAAGTTACCAAACGGCTTTGAAAATTCCAAATTTTCCACACCCCCCAAGTCCCCCCGGTAGCCCCCCCTTGACAAGGTCCTAGAACCGCCACTGAACTACAGTATGACGAACTTGCATTCATGAATTTCAAAACATAGGCCTACTGTAGACTACGAAGCCATATCTCCTAAAAGCCGTTTGGTGACTTCATAAAGCCATTTCTAACGGCTAGAAGTAGAACTGTGCCCAATTGTTCTAAAACCTTCTATTTTACCTGTTATATGTCATGCAAGCAAGAAGACACGGTTTTTTAACCTTACGTTTTTCTCCATTTCATAGATCTCTTACAATATCTATAGTATCGAATTCAGTAATAGCATTGACTATATAAACTTTAACACTAGTGTTTATATAGTCAATTGTAATAGGCTACTGGTGCTACCGCTGATTGCTGATTGATGCCTGTGTAAAGTTAGTGGCTACCAGCATTGACTATATAACAGTAGTGTTATATAGTCAATGCTAGCAGACAATTTGACAACAACTAACTATGGAACTGGAACATCATGATATCAGCTGTTTCCCCGTCCTCGCTCGCGCACTCGGCGCTCGCCTTTGCCCTAGCATGTCAACAGCTAACTGCTGTAAAAATTGGATGATGCGTACAACAGGTACAACTTTCCATAGCGTAATATTGTTTTATTCGTTGTGCTGTTGTTCATGTATCTATGTGGAACTTAATACTACTCCTGCCATCGCTTATTAAGTTTAATAAAAACTACATTGATGTCTGTTTTATGACATCGCGTGTTTTAAGAACGAAATGTACGTTTAAATTTATTTTTCCAGGGTCCAAGGGGGGGCTTTAGCCCCTGTAGCCCCCCCCCCCTTGGAACCGCCACTGTTAGTGAACTATTTTGAAGACGACTACTCTGGATGCAAAGAGGCCAAAACATCAACTCTCAGAGGCCTAATAAGTTTGTCTGTGACATGGTCTTGTCCATTGTAGCATTAGTGACTGTAAAAACCTTTCTTCTTATTTTGTATTAAACACCTATGTAACCAGTTTCAGAGTGTTATTTCCAACATTTGAAAAATTGAATGTGTTTGTTAGGATTTATGATGAAGTCTTTAAGCTGGATGATAAACATACCAACATATCCACTGGGATCCCTGCCGTCCATGCTGTATCTGTCGTTGAAGTAGATAGCGTTGGCCAAGGCGTCCTCAGGAGTCGCAGTCCACTCTAGTATTTTCTTGGCCCAATACATCCTTAGAAAACCATGCATCTTGCCTTCCTTCACCAACTGAATCTGGGCTGCAAATAGACCGCAAAACTAAGAAAACTTCAACTTTGGAGTAAACTAACAACTGACAATAGAGAAATGCAATAATTTTCAATATCATATATGTCTATATGCCATAAAAACGTCTTATAATGTAAGATAGGCATCGACAACTATAGGCTACATCTGGATCTAGTATACATCTATACCATTACTCAATAGGCATATAAATCTTACAGCATCTCATTAATCTAAAACAAATTCTTCAAGCGAGTAAAAAAATAATAATTTAACAAACAATTCAACGTTGTCTTTTAAAAAGTAATGATCTAAATTATGGAAACGTACGGACAACTAATTAAAGTTACGACATTAACATTACTATTAACATTGATTTGTAAGTTTTTGTGACTTATCAAATTTCTGCAAATTGGGACGAGCAATAGCTGGTTCTTCCAACTGTTCCATAATTATGATAAGTACTTCTAGAAAAGGAATGATTCTGATTTTGCTAAAATATAAAATATTCAAGTACTATTTGGGACTCGTAAAAGTTGTAGCGTAAGTGAACAAAGTTTACAGAAGTATGTTTACAAGCATTTCATAAACTGAACGGTGAGCTTGTTTTCCTAGCGCCGCACCAGAGAAAGATTAATAGTTTTTGTCATATCTACCTCTGGCACTAGGAGTATGTGCTAGATTTTTTTATTTTTTATTATTTAATTCATGATGGAATGGCCTCTGGATCATCTCAATTAACTATATGTGGTTTAAATTACCTTGATACTGTCAAACAGATCCTTTGTAGTTTGTTAAGACTACAGCTGTTTCATGCTTCGAACGGAGCACATCATCAGGTTAGAAGAATGTCAAGTAGTCTTCATTGGATATTCCTCGTAGTGGAGTTCGTCAAAAGCTTAGTAATAAATAGGTAACAAAAGACATAACACACAGAAACATGAAACATTTAGTACTGGTCGACCAGACGACGGTAACAACACACGTGATACGGAGCCGGCTAAGGGTGAGTCGCAACTGTCACGGGTCGTCAGCGTTGACCCCTACCCCTGCTCCAATGTTATCCTTATCTCGTTCCTTTGTTGTCTGTTAATTGTGTATATGAATAGCGGTGTTGTAGATGATGTTTGATTTGAATGATATTTTTTGTTTAATATATGTATTCTGTGGCTGTTCTTTTGACACCTTGTAGATTTCAAACTCCCTTTATTGCAGAGTCTTTTATCTCTCATCATATTTACTCATACTTAATATATAAAAGATATAGTTCATTAATCATATTTACTATCTCTAAATTATTGTCAATATTTGTGTAATTGTAGTTGAAGGAAATTAAGTGGTTTGTGTACAATGATTTGGATTTTTCTTTTGCATATGTTCCTTGAACCTGGTAGTAAAAGATCTTGAAGTCTGACCGATGTCAAAATTGGGCCAATCGTTACATTTTAGTTTGTACATTCTTGTTTTGTCCATTTTATTAGTTCTGGGTTGTCTTTCTTTGACGATGGTAGAAAGTTTATTGTTTGTTTTGAAAGATACAAACTCATCTGTCAATGAGGGAACTATTATAGCTATTGGCGACTGCTATATCAAGACATCATTAACATAAGCGTTACCATTTTTCATACTTTATATAGGCTATATTTTATATATATATTTTTTTTTACATATAGCAGTCGCCAATGGCTGTACAGTGAATGGAGTGTGATGGTAGGACGTTTTGTTGAAGAATGTAATTTAATAATAAATTTAAAAATTCACTTTGTAAATGGTTTTCAATCAATCAAACAATTGTAGAAGCATCAGTTACAGCAGTTGGTTGTGTAAAGTAGGTTGCTGAGTAAGCAGTTTTATGCTGCTTTATGCACTCAGTAAGTTCAATATCCAAACAAATTACTGATCATGGCCTTACCCTCTCTCTTTGTAGCTAAATTGTAAAATACCATCGGTGGTAGAGTTTTACCAAAAACACACTCCGCCTGGAACCAGCGCCGGCTGGCCAAGGTAAGGCCGTTCTCCTCTCTTACTTCCAACTTGATATTTTTTGGACTTAGAGAGCACAGATAGTTTTGCAATACTAATAAAGACTTGAATACTTTTTAATATTTATAAATTCATAGATTTTATTACATAGAGTTATTTGAAACAATAATATATATTTACACGCAGACCAATTCCTATTGCCTCTTGGGTTGAATAGTTATTTTGAGAATATTAACATAAGCATTTATACTTGATTGAAAATCATATTTTGTTCTTTAGTACTTGCCCTTCTTTGTTCTTGTTATAATATCTCTATTCTATTTTCTATTATCCCTTTATCTCTGTAATTGTTTAAATTTTTAGATTGAGAACATAAAATATAATTTTTTATAATCAAATTTTGAGTACCTTTCTTTGTGTTCACTGCCAAGCGACCACACCCCCTTTAATTTACCCAATAACAATAAAACCCATTAAAAAGTAGTAACAGATAAAAAAATTAACCGTTACAATAGTTCCCTGATTGACAGATTGTAGCGACTCGCTACAATAGCGCAAGTCACGTGACTTAGCTGCGCGCGCAGTCTCCCCGCGGCAAGCATGCGCGATGAGAGGAGAGTACAGTAGTGTGTCAACCAGCAACAGTTCAACTGACCGGATAAGTACTAGCATAAGACCATGTCTAGATAGGTTCGTAGGTGTTGGGGAAGGGTGTAGGTTAGGGTAGATGGTAATTAATTATGTAAGTTGTTAGGTTCACCAATGGTCGTGGTCTGGAAATCAATATCCCAAATTTAGAATTCACATTTGCTAAATCTAGTTACTTTTCACAAATCAGAATAAGTCCATATAAATATTTATTTCTCTGTTCACTATATTATAATTAGATATATTAAATAACATAAAAGCTGGCTGTGATATGCAGCTAAGGTAATATTGTGCACTTTGACGAGGTAGCTAACTTCCTTGGAGTAGAGTTGAACAACGACAGGAAATGTGCGTGATTTGGTAGTGGTGAGAGGAAGGTATATAGGGCCCAGGTATCTTAATTTACACTCATACGACTCCACATCACCACATATTGGTAGCAGAGCATTAAGATCCAGCCAAAAATGCAATTTTAATAGAAATAGAATAGATTAAAACGTGTCTCAGACCAGCAAGCGCTTTAATCAGACAGGAAATCGACAGGCAACACAGGTTGAAATTTGAATCAATATCATTCAATTTATTTTATTTTCAAAGGGAATTTAAAAATCAATTTTGATGAGAATGTTTCAAATTCAAAGTAGAATTAAGAGAACTTTGATGATTTTTTATTAATATTTTACAAAACCAAGTTGATGAATATATTTAAAAATGCATTTATGTAATCACTCACGAGTTCGACATCAAGTCTGAAATGCAGTAATTAAACCAAATATACCTCGACGACAAGCCGAATGAGTGTTTGATGATTTTTTTATTACCGAAAGCAAAATATTAGGAGAGTCAAAGTGCACTTCAGTATAGTTTACAGGCCACGACCAACAAATCAAAATTTCAAAATTGGGGGGAATTTTAATTCATTTGTATGTCACCTCCCCAACCCCAAAAAGTCATAACTATCCCCAAAATTTTTATTTCATAATTTTTACAGCCAAAAAGGGTACAGCAGTGAATGATTCTTAATTAAAATAGTATTTTAGAGCATAGTCTGACATATTTTAGTTGTAACTCATCACTTTAATTTAAGTTGTGTTTAAAATTTAAGTTGTACAGCAGAGTTTTGATATTTGAGGTAGGCTAGCGAAAGTTGAGAGTCCATGTCATTAATAGGCCTGACAGGGGGAGCGAGCTGGCGTAGTGGTTAGAGCGCGGGACTTCAGTCCCTGAGGTCCCGGGTTCGATCCCCGCCAAGTCACCAATGGATTTTATCCAAGTGATAATGCCGCAACCCCTAGGTCTAGCCTGAAGTAATGTGAAAAACAATCCCAGGTTCGTGCCTAGCGTCTTAGGACAAAAAAAAAAAAAAAATAGGCCTGACAGGCTTAGAAGATAACTGGAATGTTAGATAACAGAAGTTCAAAGATAAAGCGACGATTTAAAGCCAGATTTTTTATTTCCAAGCAAACATACACGATTTAAATATACACTACACACAGTTATTACAGGCTCATCTTAATCAAAAATACAAATAAATATAAATACCCCCGCCGCAGCATACCTGCCGACTAAGCGAATTTCCATTTGTCTGAACTGATTTTCATTCAAATCTATTTAAATAACATTAGGTTTAACAAGTACCTAGGTTTGCTGCTACAAGGAAACTAATTAAGCGAGTTTTTTAGTAAAATATTAATAGCTTAGTATAAAATAAATAAATTGGCCAAGTGTAATCCAAATATATCAATAAACAAGCAAACTACATCATTTTACAATATTCTCCATAAGAATAACATGGGAATTTTAAATTTACAATTTTTTGAATTTTCTCCGTTACCAATAACCGTACAAAACACTTTGATTTACTAAATTATTTGTTTTTTTAAGCTCTTTAACAAGGAGAGAAATTGAGAAATTTTGTGTTTTGAGGGTCAAAAATGAGAAAAACCATTTTTTACCCCATAAAAGTCTCCGTAAAACACTGTTCCCATGGTCCGATCATGCTGGTTCGCGAACTCATTCAAGTTTATCCCGCCTTACACCTTCAAACCAAATTTCATCAAAATCGGACAAAAATTACTCAAGTTATCGCGTTCACGGACGTATATATATATATAAATTTATATATATATATATGTATATATATAAATATATAAAAATTTGAACGAATAGTGTTTTTGGCCTCTGGGGACATCAAAATGAAAAAGTAAATCGGTCCCAGGCCTAGGTCTTACCGTGCCACCTACGGTAATAGCTACTTCCCTATAGGGAAATTCGCTAAACCAGAAAAACATTTAAAACGTAAAAAAATATATAATAATAATAAATGTAAAAAAAAATATACTACATAATTAAAAGAAAGCCAAGAGCCTGATTAGAACATTTGCTTGAGTAAATCGTCACTTCATAACATTTCAGTCAATTTAGGCTGTTAATTGATAATGTTGATTCCTTCTGAACCGAGCCAAAACCACAGGGTCAATTCATTGTTCACATCAACAATCAATCAATCAATTTTTATCTTGCATCAGATTTCATGTAATTTTGTACAACAGTCACACAACACTCAGTACAGTAGTAGATGTCAGACATAAAATGCAATACAGTTTTTAAATTTTACAGCTCACAAAGTCTCATTCACTCGCAGCGACCTTGAACATGCAGGCCCGCCACTACAATCAAATAAAAAAAGTCTGACATACCGACATGCCATTACCACACCCACACAAACCCGAGATTAGTTGATGATCTAGCGTCGAAAGCACCCAGTTGCGATGGCACAGACACGAACAAATTGTTAGCTTTTTTGATAAATCAACAATGCAATATAAGTGATAACATGCCACAAAATAACAGTAAAAGATACGTCAGTGCTAACTGCGTGTCGTACTGAACCACACTTTGACTAAAGAATTGGCCAAAAATTATGTGTTTGTATCTTTCAAAACAAACAATAAACTGTCTACCATTGTCAAAAAAAGACACCTACCCAGAACTAATAAAATGGACAAAACAGAAATTTACAGACTAAAATGTGATGATTGTCCCAATTTTTATCACGTGTGTTGTTGCCGTCGTCTGGTCGACCAGTATGTTTTTCAAGTTTCCTTGTGTTATGTGTTTTGTTACATATTTTTTATTAAACTTTTGAAGAAACTCCACTACGAGGAATATCCAATGAAGACTACTTGACATTCTTCTGACCTAATGATATGCTCCGTTTGAAGCATGAAACAGCTGTAGTTTTAACAAACTACCTAGGAATCTTTTTGACAGTAACAAGGTAATCTACACCAAAAATAGTTTTTTTTTTAAATCATGCAACAGACTGAATCTGATATATGATCAAACGTCTTCATTCCTTTAAATTAGGTCAAGTGATAATTTATATTTTGATCTACAAATAATATTAATAAATGACATGGTTACCAGCATTCCAGAGGTCGTCATGGGTTTTGCTTTCTTCCAGCTCTGCTCTGTTGTAAACATACTGTCTCTTGTCCTTCCTAGAACAAAGAACAAGAATTATAAAAAACTGAGTACTGGATTATTAGACCATAAATGTTACAATTTTTTGTATTTTTGAAAGTGCTTACATAATGTGGGCAAACCTGTAAGGTCCTAAAGTCCTAGCCCAGAAATAACACTCTGGATTTCACAATGATTGACATGATTATTTCATTGATTGTAGGTAACAAAATATGCAAACCGACAAAATTAAACGTGTGATTGTTACCAGTTACTTTCAATAAAGTCCCTGATTTGGAAGAATGATTACAAACTCCATTTTATACATGATCGAACTTGATCTAGCATGGACATGAGGCCTATTTGTGTTTCCTGGTAGCTAACCACTCTGACTTTGGTACAAGAGTGACAGGTTTGTTAGATCTCTGACGTCCATAAAGATTTGAGGAGTTTGGGTAACTTAATATAAAATGCCACTGGTGCAAGCCCAGGATACACAGTGGGGTTTTGGCCCCTTAGCACTACACTAACACACCACTTTACTAGACTCCTATTTCCAACTTATAGCAACAGCCTTCTAAAGATCAGCACAACAAACGATTTTTGTTTCCATACACTTCCTCAACAAAATTCTCTGCACTTTCTCTTTTATAATATAAAAAAAACACAGGTTTACGGGTTCCCAAATTGAAGTCGGGCGGGGCCAACAGATGGCTCGAGATATTGGTTCAGGCCAGAAAAACTTTTTAAGCTAAGCTCGATTTGGGCAATTTACATTTACATTTACAGCTGTGTGAGCAGCTCCATTTTTTTAGCTGAACGATGAGAGAAACCATCTGAGAAGATTGCATGATTGAAAATTGAAGATTTTACTTCTATCTCAGGAGTTGCTAAGGACTTTGCCAGGATCGCTGGTAACAATGATTATATCTCCGTGACAGCAAAAGATGTTCGTACGATTTATTGTGACTGCAGTGGATGCTCACCATTTCTCTGTGACCACAGTTGCAGACATCACGGGAGACACGATGGCAATCTCTCCACGACCATAGGAGACGTACATGATTTTGCCGTGACTACAGAAGGCATTAATGATTTCCCCGCGATCTCGGGAGGAAATGTACAGCATTTTATAAACCGATTGTGCTTATAATGATCAATATTTTTTTAACAAGCTTTTCCAATTCAACTCGATTTCATTCAGAGGCCCCTTACTTGTGCGTGATTAGGGGTAAAAAACGTTTTTGAACACACCTGTGATCATTCAATGTTTTCTTTGCCCAATCATAGGCTCCACTGATGTTGTCGTAGTTTTTGTTATAAAAACAAAAGTTGTCTGACAACTCCCTTCTGATGACTGCTTCCTCCACAAAGGCGTCAACGCTCTCTTTGTACTTGGCACTGAACTTTTTCACATGGAGGATTGCTCTTTGCACTGATAATTGTCCTAAGCAGAAATAAATTGATAAATTTGTGAAGAACTGTACATAAAATAGATATTGCTCAGCTAGAACCATTTACATGGGATATCAAAATATCACCTATAAACTACAGACCAATAAAATCTCTAATTCTATCTTCTGTTCCTTTAACAACACATCTGATATTACAAAAAATATTTCTAATCACTTTCAGCATAGGTATAGATGTAATCGCTAAAACAAATAATTGACAATAGAACTGATAAACTGCTAACACAGTGTTCAATTTTAATTTTAGTATTAAATCACAGCTATTTCAAATTTTCAACAGATATGATAGAGTTGACAAATAAAAATTTCATCAAGTCGTCATTTATGCCTTCCGAGTTAAAATAGACATCTCTAGTTTTCCATGTTTGTCTTCTTTGATAAAGACTTTAAATCAGGGTGTAACTGAATGAGGGTTTGAATGATTGAAAAATTTGGGTCCGCGGAATTGGCTAACTCTGGAACTCGCTAACCCCATGTTAAACGCCCTATCTTCGAATTTGGTCGATGAGAGGAACTCGCTAACTTGTTCGGCTTTGGAATTGGCTAACTCCGGAACCCGCTAACCCGCTCTAGAGCCGGGTTAGCGAATTCCGTCCTCGTACGGAAGTCGCTAACTCGGTCCCACGGTGGAACTCGCTAACTCCCAATCAGAAGCCTCGCGGGCCGTCCAATGGGAGCCAAGCACGAATATTTTTGGCCAGTGTTGCCGAAAGTGTAGTACCTATATCGTATCGGTACCATAATGTCGTATCCTACGATTAATTAGGAGTAAGAGCAACGTAGTCGATAAAACAAATATATTTAGAAGTATGTTTAACATTATTCTTATGATTATTAGGGTGGAAAATGCATTATAGTCTTTCCATAGACTAACCAACACAAGTAAACTTTACATCCCATTGTAAACTTTGAAGCTCGTTTTTCGCGTCTAGTTCATGTCCGGTGACACTGATCGCTAGTGTCGACAAAATTGTGTTTCTATTATTTTATAGTTAACTTCGTGATTTGTTCTTTACTGTTTGGTTATATAACTAGGGGACGTGTTATTAGTTGTAATTAGAACGTTTTATTTGGTTAAGCAAGGTTTTAAATTACTGAAAACAAGAAACAATTGTAAACAAAACACGACCTCTAAAGACAGTGCACCGGACAGAACTAACAATACAACTGTCTTCAGATGATCCATAAGGATGAGAAATGTACTAATATAAGGGATTATGTTTTATATGTAGGTTTCTTACTTAAATAGTAGCTTATTGTTATGCAAAAAGATAAAAATGCACATTTAATTTGGATCTATTACATGTTATGAAATATCTATTTTCGTAGTCCGCCAATTGTTTCTTTTATTTGAATACATACCATTTTGTGAACTTCTGCAAATTAAATTATTGAGTTCGTATTTTATATACTGGGCTTGTAACATTAAATCATAAATCATAATAAAATTTACACGTTAAACGTCATTACAGAATTACATTTTACTGGTAATGTATTTTTAAATAGAGCTATTGAATTTATATAAATATTTATCAATACATTATAAAGTGGTAGGCCATGGATTGCATTAAAAGTTAGTCTATGCATAAATACAACTTGTAAATTTCTTTTATCGTAGGCTATTAGCATTGACTATGCCCATAGTCAATGCTATTAGTGTAGAACCCGGGTCATCCTCTTAATTTTGTTGAATTAATATTAATTTTACGTCTTTCAGTAGGCCTACTTTTTAAAAGTCTGGAGTTTTTCTCCAGGCTGGTTCTAAATGGACCCAGGCGTTCTTGTTTGTTACAATTCTTATTAATGGTGGCCATAGCTAAAATTACTTGATCTTATCCAAAAACAAAGCTATTGTCTATTGTGTAGCTCAGTACTGGGGAACGGTGAACCGAGCAATGGCTTGGTATAGTTTATATCGATTGTGAAAGCAATATAAAGGAAACCCAACACTCAAATCAGGAAAATCCGTCAATTCGTTTATTAAGAATCGTGAATTAAAATAACCCTGTCACGTTTTATTTATATGAATATTATATCTTCTCCTATTTTTTACTAGTGGTGCTTAGGTGTACAATCTAAAAACGGTTTTAAAACATGTAATTGCTAAAAAATTCAACACATTTTAGAATTAGGCAACTATTTACTCTCATATCATCGCCAATCCCCGGACACGACAACATGGAGAGGACCGGATAAACAGCATGAGTATAGAACTGAAAATTTTAGTTTATAATGTTTGCGGCCTAAAGGACAAGATTAGTGATGGCCATTTTGTTAGTTTACTTAATAATTATGATATTGTAATTTTACTAGAAACATTTATTTTAGAAAAGGATAAAGATTTAATTGTAAATAGCTTTGCAGGATTTATTGTACATTTTAATTTTGCAGTAAGGTCGTCCCATTTTGGAAGAGGCAGTGGGGGGTCGCTCTGTTTAGTTAATTTAAAATCTAAGCTACTAAGTAAAATTGAAGTGTTGGAAATCGAAAACTATAAGATTTTTAAGATTAAAGATAGTAACAGTATTGATGATGGTTGTATCAGGCTTCTCCCAGTTTATCTAAATTTTGGGAACTGGGATAGTGAATTTGAGAAACTCACAACTTTTTTGTACAATAATGATTTTAAAAACTTAATATTGTTAGGGGATTTAAACGGGAGAATTGGAAGAGAACAAAGCCTGCCTAATGAAGTAATCCCGGAGGCAATAAAGAATGTTAATTTTGAGAGGTATTCAAAGGACTTAATAACAAATCAGAAAGGTCGTAAAGTACTAGAATTAATGGATAATCTGGGTCTAATAGTATTAAATGGGAGGACTTACGGAGATAAAAATGGGGAGTTTACTTTCGTGGGTCATATGGGAAGCTCTGTCATAGATTTGGTGGGAGTGTCAATCAATTGTTTGCATGCTGTCAAAGATTTAAATGTGTTAAGTTTTGTAGGATCTGACCACCTTCCTGTTGACCTTAGTTTAGAGATAACAGCTCCTAGAGCCGAGGATGAGATTGAGGACAGGGAGGAGACTAATAAGATATTTTTGCTTCCTAGATTAAAGTGGGTAGATAATGATAAGGAGAGGTATTGTAAAGTAATTGGCGAGAAACTATTAAGTGTGCAATTAGGAGACGACGCACAAAGGAATGTCGATTCAATTATAGGCTGCATCACTGAATCAGCGCGAACTAAACAAGTTGTACCCAAGAACAAATGTCTTATCAGTAAAAAGGCTTGGTTCGATAAGGAGTGTCAGTCAGCTCGTAGGCGCTCATTCAAACTCTTGAATAAGTTTCGGAAAACTAATTTAGATTTAGATAAAGTAAAATACTTGGAGGTGATCAAATTATTTAAAGCACTTTGTAAAAAAAAGAAAAAATCTTACTACAATCAAATTATAGATAATGTGTCTCAAGTAACGAACAGTAAGCAGTTTTGGAGTGCAATAAATTCTTTCAAATGTAAAATTCCAAACCAAATTGGTAAAATTGCGACACAGGATTGGACGAAGCATTTTAAGAGTTTATTAAATCCACCCTTGTTAGTATCTACTGTTTCGAATGCGCAGCTAGTAGTTTGTGACGAATACCTCGATGCAAATATTTCACTAGATGAATTAAAAGCTGTGTTGTTAAGGGTAAAAAATGGCAAAGCACCTGGCATTGACAGGGTGCCATATGAGTTTTTTAAAAACGCACCGGATGCATTACTTAATAGTCTTATTTATATTTATAATAGTATTTTTGAGAGTGGCAATGTCCCACAAACTTTCAAGGAGTCTATTATTTTTCCTTTACATAAAAAAGGCAACATTAATGACGTCAAAAATTATAGAGGGTTGTCCTTTATCAACTGTGTAGCTAAGATTTTTATAAACATTTTAGATTCAAGGTTAAGTAATTGGGCTAGTGATAGGCAGTTAATAAGTGAGTTTCAGGCGGGATTTAGGAGAGGTTATTCAACCATCGACAATATCTTTAACCTAAATGCGATTGTGCGCCTAAGGCTGGCAAGGACCGGAGGTAAGCTTTATGCTTTCTTTGTTGACTTCTCGGCAGCATTCGATACTATTGATAGGAAGTCGCTACTGTTTAAGTTATCCTGTATAGGTGTTTCAACAAAATTTTTAAATATTTTTAAGAACTATTATGATGGTACTAGAGCGGGTGTGTGGTGTGGAGACAGTGTGACAGCAAATTTTGAAACTTCGACAGGTCTTAGGCAAGGATGTTCTGCGAGTCCTTTAATGTTCACTTTATTTATTAATCTCCCTGAGGCACTTGGTGGCGGCTGTAATTTTGGAGGGACTAGGATAAACATTCTTTTATATGCCGACGACGTCGTGTTGTTAGCGCCTACGTCCACCTGCTTACAACTTATGATAAGAAATTTAGAAACTTACTGTGAAACATGGAATTTGAGAGTTAATCTTGAAAAATCAAAAATAATCGTTTTCAGAAATGGGGGTAAATTGGCCTCGTCAGATAAATGGTGGTTCAATGGGAAACGTGTAGAAGTAGTAAATAGCTATAAATACCTCGGAGTATTATTCACAGCGACGTTGTCTTGGCAATCACATTTGAAAGATAAAGCGAGGCAAGCAAAATTAGCAATTAACTCGGTGTGGAATAACTTAATCAATAATAAATCTGTGCCTTTATCATCTAAAATTATGTGTTTTAATACTGTCATAAAATCAATTGTTAGTTATGGGGCTCAGGTATGGGGTTGCTTCGAATCTGAATTCCTAGAATCCGTTCAAAAATTGTTTTTAAAGAGACTCTTCCGGTTGCCTTATAACACGCCAAACTATGTGATTTATTTAGAAAGTGGATTTAAAAAATTGTTTTTTTATAATATGATTACGAATTTAAATTACCTATTAAAAGTACTACATTTCTCCGATAATAGACTTCCTTTGATTCTAGCCAAACAAATTATAAACCAAAACTTAGATTGGTGCAGACAGTGGAAGATGCTAGGTGAGAAGGTAGGGGTTGATGTAGATTTTGGATCAGAGGCGGTAAAATCGAGATGTCTGACGGTGGTGGAAAAGCTAAGTGACGTATGGATAGGAGAGTGTATAGGGCGCGCACGCTTGTCCATTCACCACAGTCAGCTGATCAGCCTCGACCTTGGCCTTGAACTTGGCGATAGAAGCTACCTTACTGATAACGCCGATGTCAGCTTCGTTTCCTGGATAATTAAGGCTAGGGCAGAGCTGCTCTATTTGAATGGTAAACCTTGGTCAACGGGAAATAAGTTCTGTTCTCTTTGTAATATGGGTGAAATTGAAACCACATTTCATTTCATCGCTATTTGTCCAATTTTAAGTAATCTTAGATTAACATTTTTACACAATAGAGTCCTTTCTGAACGGGATTATATTAGTTTTTTAAATGGCAGGGATTGGCGAGCGTTAGTAAATTATTTAAAAAACGCCTGGCAATACAGGTGGATTTTAATACAGGAATTTAACAATTGAGGAAAAAATATCATAAAAAATTTAAATATCGTACTCTTCCAAACTTCTAAAAAAAAAAAAACAAAAAAAACCGATACAACTAGAGAAACTGGTTGGATTGTATTATATTTCTTAACTTTAAAATATTGGCCATAATTGTTAGTTTAAGGAAAGATTTATAATTTTATTTTAAAGGAATCCAATAATTGTTTTGATTTAGTTTTAGACGTGCCAACCCGGCAGACGACCGAGAGGTCATTGCTGTAGCGCGTAGGCACGTCCCCTGCGTGGGACGAATTATTGTGCACTGGGTATTTTGGAAATAAAGCGCTTTTTCTTTCTTTCTTTCTTTCTTTTCTTTCTTATATCTTCTCCTATTTTTTACTAGTGGTGCTTAGGTGTACAATCTAAAAACGGTTTTAAAACATGTAATTGCTAAAAAATTCAACACATTTTAGAATTAGGCAACTATTTACTAGTAGGCCTACAATTAATTCTTTGGCTCAAACTATTAAGCCTAGATAAAAACTTAGTCTATGTCATCATATTTGTACACGTAAGTTGGACGGCTGAACGACGAACATTTAATTTAAAATCTATGAATTAGTTATGAAAGTTACGATGGTTGATGACTGTATTAATTAATGGTTTTGGTTTATTACGGCATTACAATTAAATCTGTTAAATCTTGTTTTTAAGTACTTGCGTGCATTTTAGCTTAATTTCGTAGAGGTTTAATTATTTAGTAGCAATTAAAATAAATTTTGAATATTTTTCATATTCTATTATTTTCTTTTATACTGATGGCATTTATATTTACGATCGAAATCATAAACATTTAACTGGCCATTTTACGGTTTAATAAAAACACTTTTTCATGATTTTTTAATTGTCTTTTAATTACTTTTTTGCTAGTTATCTGTTAAAAGTGGAATTGATAACAAAAAACAATAACATTTACTGTATCTTTATAGACACTGACATTTTGAAATACGGCAGTGTACGATTATTTTGTCGTACAAGGTTGGCAACGCTCCGAGCAGTGGGCGCTGCCGGGTTAGCGACTTCCAGAGTTAGCGAATTCCGCCGCGAGACAAAATCGAGTTAGCGGGTTCCGGAGTTAGCCAATTCCTGACTGAGACGGTTAGCCAGTTTCAGAGTTAGCCAGTTCCGACACACGACCGAGTTAGCGAGTTCCTGAGTTAGCCAATTCCTACGTCTCAAAAATTTCAGTAGCCAAAACACCTTGTTTTGGGACAGCTTTCTCAAATTAATTGTAGTACCAACAACAAATAATTAAATGACCCTTCAATGTGCACTAGGTTCAGGTTTACAAGAAATACCAATAGAAGTGTCGAGAGTTTTAGGCCTATCTAACTAAACTTTGCCTTTAAATGACCATGATTTTATCCTAATTATAAATTCTGCCATTCTATTTTACTGATAATGGTAGAAATCTCTTGTTTTTGCTGATATTTTTAATATTTCTAAATTGATATGTGACTTTAGAGTTTAGACTTACAATCAATCAATTGACAACTGATAATGTTAAATTCTACTAATAAGCCATTTTTTCTCAGAAGTTTACACAAAGTTTAGTTCATCTGATTTTGTGCATTCAAAGTTAAGAAGGGGTCCACAGACTTTCATTAACTCTGTAACTGTAATAACTCAATAACTGCTTCCAATCCTGTAAAGCAATCAATCAATCAAATCACTTTATTTGTCCTTGTACATGTCATTACAAGAAATGGCGTCAAATATAAAGCTAAAAAACAATACAATTATAAATTAAAAAAAAAAAAAAACTACCACTACTGCTTCATAATTTTGTTGTATTCATAAAATTCCTCTATTGAGTAAATGAGTTTGTTGATAAAATATATTTTCAATTTACATTTTAGTTTGTTATTATTTTTTTCTGATCTTAGTTCATTCGGAAGTGCTTTAAAGAATTTATTGCCAATGTATGTCGTCTTTTTTTTTTTAAATTCCAATCTATGCTTTTCAAAATGTTTTTCGGTCTGTCTTCTTGTATTATATTGATGACCTATTGGTTGTACATAAGTTTTTGTTATAAAAAATAAGATACATTCAAAAATATACAGACCGTACACAGTTAAAATTTTAAGATTTTTGAAGTGTTCTCTTGCGGAGTCATCATCTTCAAGTTTGAGCATACATCTAATTGCTTTTTTCTGTAGGTTTAGAATTGTATTCAGATTATTTATTGTTGTTGCACCATACAAGCCAATTCCATAAGAAATATTAGAGTGAATCAGAGCAAAATATATTTGTTTTAGTACAGGCAATGAGCATAGGCTGGCCATACGCCTTAAGGCGAATAAACCGGAGTTAATTTTTCTCGATATATGTTCGACATGTTTGTCCCAGCATAGGTTTTCATCAATATATAGACCTAAAAATTTAGCCTCATTCACTTGTTCAATAATTTCCTCTTCAATCATTATATTTGGAGATATTTTTTTACGATTTTGCTTTGTGGAAAATGTAATAAATTTAGTTTTATTTGGATTTAACAAAAGACTATTATTATTGAAGTATTGCTTTATATTAGCTAGTTCTATAAAACTTAAATATTCAATTTCATTTTGGTTCTTTGCTGAGATTTTTAAATTTGTGTCGTCTGCATATAAACATAAATTACTATGGGGAACAGTCTGTAGCACTCCAGGAAGTCCGGTTATGTAACATAAGAACAGCAAAGGACCCAGAATCGATCCCTGTGGGACGCCACATGAGACCAAACATAAGTCCGATGCTGCGCCCGTGATCCTATTTGAAATGGTTTGGTTAATTTCAACATACTGATATCGGTCGGAAAGGTATGACTTAAACCAATTGTATACAACTCCCTTGACACCAAAGTTCAATAATTTATCAAGTAATAGATAATGATTTACGCTTTCAAAAGCTTTTGTTAAATCCATAAATATGCCCACTACGTTCTCCCCTTTATCTATGGACTCTATGATGGATTCAATAAAAGAAATGGCTGCAGTGAAAACCGATTTTCCGGGCCGAAAACCGTGCTGGGACATATCTAGAATATTTGAATTTTCTAAGAATTGGGATAATCTTCTGTACATGACTTTTTCATAAATTTTTGAAAAGGATGGCAGAATCGAAATTGGACGATAATTGGACATGTCTTTTGTAGAATCTTTTTTATGTATAGGTACAACTTTGAATATTTTTAATTTTTTTGGAAAAATGCCAGATATTAAAGAAGAGTTAACCAGATGAACTAAGATTTTACATAAGTGTATTTTTGCAGATTTTATTATAGTTACAGGAATTTCATCAAACCCATATGATTGCTTATTTTTTAAAGAATCTAATATTTTAATAATTTCGTTTTCATCTGTGGGCTCACAGCGAAAAGTCTGATTATGAGGAGAGAGACTACTTGAAAGGCTATTTTTCTGTACACTAGGTTCTATATCTGATTTTGTTTGAAGATCTTTTATACAGTTTATAAAATAATTGTTTAACAAATTACTAAAAGCAGAATTATCAGGTAAATACAACAAGCTGGATGAAATTGAATGAAAAAAATGTTTACCAAAATGAAAATATGGAGAGAGATTGCTGAGCGCGTTGATGGTTGGGTCGTTTCTCTTGGATCCAAACAACCTTATCCGTTTGTTGCAGAAGTCATCAAGCGTTCGTATGGCTGCCTTGTAGCCAGGAGTAAACGTAGACACAGGACCTACAGTGCGATCTACCTGCAATGTCTCCTCTGCTGCCTCCCAGTCTATCTAGACACACAAACAAGCACATCAGAGTCTGTAAGATGGCCTTGTGCAGGGAAATCAATCACCCAATCTATAGAAAAAAATTAAACATGCAACTTAACTTCTAAATTAGGGGTTTTGAAAGGATAACCCCAAACAGATAAGAAGCTTGTAAACTTTTTATCTTTCTTATGCCAAGGTGGACCCTTTTCCATTTAGGTAAGCAGTAAGCTTGCTATTCCAGCAAAATCTGTATTCCTCGAATGGACGTCTCTGTACAATCTCCCCCTCTGATGTAAACTTGAAGCAAACACGGATGATAAAATTAAATTTACGGTGGTTTATCTTTATTGCAATGTTAAAAATTAAAATAATGTAAACTAGCAGCCAGTGTCAATTTATCAAAATCCGTGATATATTTTAATTAATTTAGACAATAGACAATTAATCTTTATTTGAACATTCATTAAGAATAGTAGTAGCGTCAATTTACAATTTTTTCTAAATATGTGGTTGAGGTGTTGTTTAGTCAAAGATCTGTTGATAGTAATCTTTTAAAGAGTAAAAAAGTCGATTAATGAACCATTGATGCAAAGCTGGTTTGAGGTCATCTTCTGTCTTGCTTCTTAGATCTGGAGGTAGCCTGTTGTCAAATCAAATCAAATCAATAATTCTTTATTGCCGTATAAAACACAGTAACATACATGGCTTGAGTCACATTATTCAAATACAATACAGTAGAACCCCTGATATCCGGCCTTGGTTTTTCCGGTCCTCTGTTTATCCGGCCACTTCCAGGAAGCCAATATCAAAATGTTTTTCTCAAAGCTTACAGACGTTTAGATGCAAGCACTAGTCTTTGCGACTTGTTTGAGCTAAACTATTTATCTGAACTATTTATCTGTTTGTTTCAATACATTTTACTGTGTCACTTAACTCAGTTGAACTAGGCCTAACCTCTAAAAAGTTGGGGGTTGGGAAATTAATCTTTGTATTTATTTCACAAAAAGGATAAGCAAGTTGAGTAGAATTGTATTTACTATTAAGGTCCTAAAAATCTTCAAGGCTGATTTAATGTAACTTTTACCTCCATCGTTTAATAGTTTTTGTTACCTGAAATCTTAATTTCAGGTTTTTAACAACTTTAGCCTAATTTTTTTTATTTGTACAAACATGTTAATTCTTCAAAAAATAATCCTAGAATAGACTTAAATGATACTTTTGACAGCATGTTTTGATTAAATATTATTATAGGTATGAATCATTTTCATTTTTGTAGTAGGTTGGTTTATCCGGCCAAATCGCTATCCGGCCAGGGGCTTGGTCCCGTGGTGGCCAGATATGAGGGGTTCTACTGTAAATAAAATACAACATTCACATAAGTAACAAACCTCTTTACCACCTATTTTTAACATAATTTTCTACAGAATAAAAACGTTTTTCAATTAGAAATATTTTAATTTTTCGTTTGAATAAGCTGAAGTCACTTATTGACTTAAGCTTGTTGGGCAGCGAGTTGAACAACATTATAGCATTGTAAAACAGATGGCGTTTAAAAAAGGAAGTTTTGTGTTGTGGGATATTTAAATCGGTTCTTTTCCTAGTATTGTAATTGGAGTGAGGGAATAAAGGTTCAAAAAAACTATGGTTTTGCTTTAAAAATATTAAAGTGTTGTAGATATGCAAGGAAAAGTTAGTAGTGTAGATTTTCATTCCTGCGTATGAAGGTTTCTTTAGAATTGTCTATTGCTCTAAGTTAAGTTGATAATAATTGTTTTTTCCGTGATAATCATTAACCTATCACTGATTTTAAACAAATAAAATTAAAATATTTTACTTGAATTCACTAAAATAAAACATCCATAAAACATACTATGAAAACACAAAATCCTATCATAAAACAAAATATAACGTAAGTCATTTTCTTCTGTACATTTTATACAAATAATAACATTACAATATTTTACTTGAATTCACGTAAACATCACCAACTGTAACGATAACCCCATTTTCGTATGGATGTAAACAAAATTGTGTTATGGCCATCTGTTTTAATGTAAAGAAATGTAAACTTGAAAAAGTTCAGATAGTTAACAACAGAATTCAGCACAAACTCTGAAATTTTAAAAATAAAAAAATTAATATTTAGTGGTCGATTTGCTGGATACAAAAATCCAACAATTTCTTTTAATAATATAGATGCAAAGTATCAATGCAAAAGATGAAGCTATCTAAATATCAGGCAGCTTTACATGATGGTTTCACCTTTTCAGCCTTTAGTTTTCCAGAGTAAGGGTGTTTGGCAACAGCTGGGAAACCAGTGAGAAACTCCGGAAGCTGTCGAGTGATTTTGCCTCGTATCGTACGAGCACCGTACTCCAGCTTGTCTGAGGCTGTCCAACATGGGACGATGTTGTGTGCGTCCACCTACCGGGCAACAATTTATGAAATAACTTTTCATTATAATGCAGCATAAACGGTTGTTTTCAATACACACATTGCGCAACTAAAGTAGCTCTTCCTACTAGGCCTATGCGGTCTTTTCAATACCATTTCAAGTCACCTTTGGGACTAAGCAAATATTAAAGTTATTTTCCAAGAGTTTAGGGCATCCAGGTGTAAATTTTTATAACTTTAAAATTAAATTGCCGAGAAAAAAAATGTTATGATTAATAAAATCACTATGATGTCATGAAAAAAATATTGTCTCAAGCAAAAGAAGATAGCTGACTTTTTAAACCTTGTGTTTTATATAAGAGTACAGTATAGCCTACAAGATGAATTTGTTCTTGCTACAGGGAATATATAGAAGTTTTTACCTCTGTAAGTCGAATTCTAGACAACATAAACTCAAACACTATTCTTATCTCAAACCATATCTAACTTGAAGAAATATAGTGCCCCCCCTGAAATTTAGAGTTATTGAGATTGGACTGTACAAATTAGATGAAGCTGAACATTTTAACTCAGCAAAAAGGTTAAAGTCAAATGTCACATACCTGACACAAAGGCACGTCTTTAGGTAGAGACTTCTTCAACTGGTCCGCCCAACTCATAACACTCCTCAATGGCATGAAGTCCAACACAAGAGCGCCCAATTTATTCTTCTCCATAAAACCAGGCAGTATTTCCTCTCCGTTGCCAATCAACAAGTGAAACTCAATGTTGAGTGATTTACATTCAGTCTCCACTTCTTTCAAACCTATAAAATGTATGTTTGCAACAGAACTTGATTGCCTACAGTACTACACCTCTGCCACTGTTTTGTTTTTGTTTCAGAAAACAAATTTATTTTGTCACCTGCAGTAACTCCTATGGATATAAAACTGAAATTATTCAAATACATTATGCTGTAACATTATGTTGCAATTAATGTTTTTTATCTGCCATACTGCAGAGCAAAACAGGCATGTTTTACACATGAGACAAATTTTTCCAAAGATTACATAGTACAATTTATTAATTAAATTTCTTACCATCTAGAAGAAACTTGTAGTGTCGTATTGTAGCTTCAAGGAAATTGAGCTTTCGACAAAAGCAAACATGAAGAGGTACTTCATTCTTCATAGCAAGTTTTTGAGCAAATAGAAGGGCCCAGTTATCTGAAAAAAATAATTTCAACATAAAGAACACTTAGAAAACTATGTTTAAGAAAATTCAACTAAATTTCTGAGTCCTCAACATTGTTGATGGTAATTTTCAGTGAACTTGTTTCTTCAGTCTCTTGTAAACAAAACAAATCATTTGGATATATTAAGTTACTTTGTAGAGCAATAAGCATAATATTATTACCTTGAACTCTTTCATCTCGGAACATCCAATAAACAATCCCTTCTGCCCAATCTGGTACTTCTTTAGCAGGTGATAGTATCCTCACTCGTTTCTTGTTGAATTTGAAATCCAATATTGATTTACCAGACTAGAGCAAACAACAGTGGATTAAACTCATTAACTGACAAAATTAACATTTACATAAATATGGTCAGTAACTGATCAAAAAGTATAATTTTGGATAACATCATATACTGTAACTTTATCTTGAATCTTGAAGCAAAAAGTCCTTGTACACCTTTTTACGGGGGCGAGTTGTTAATACTCAAAGACAGTTCATCTGTTTCCTAAAAAAGAAATTGTCCTCCTTGTTTATTTAGTACAAGATAAAAAAAAGACGGGATCTTCAGATAAATAATACCCCTGCATTCCTCTAGTATAGGTCTATTTATCAAATTTCCATTTGTCTTGTTACTGGATTTTTACTAAAATATTTTTTCAAACATCTCAAGGTTTATTTTCTACAATTAAAATAATATTAGTTTTTGACTAGTAGGCTTACTTAAAGTTTGCTGATAAATTACCTTGATACTGTGATTTAATTTATAACCACATATTTAATCTTATCTTACTAATATTATAAATGTGAAAGTTTGTGTGTTTGTTTGTTTGTTTGTTTGTTTGTTTGAAGTTCAATCACGCATAAACCTGAACCTGACGGATTGGGCTGAAATTTGGCATCATGATAGCTCACATTCCCGGTTAACATATAGGCATATTCTTATCTCAAAAATCTTTTCGGGCTCCACCCCAGTGGCTCTGTAGTTCCCCATGTTAACCTTATGAGTATTCATATTTAAAGGGAATTAAAGAATTTAGTCAGCTGTTTCAACTAACAAAGTTGGTTCTGTGATATTCAAAAGCATTAAAGTTATAAGATTTACCAACAGGGTGCAGCACTATATTTTTTTGCATTTATGTAATGAGAACTGTCAGAGTAGGATTGTTTACAGTTATGTTTATGTTTTTAATGTCATGAATAATTTGTTATTTTTTGAGAATTTTTAATAATTTATTTTTCTTACTTTTTAGATGAAGTGGTAGAACATTAATGGCTATAGTAGATGTGTAATACCATAGTATACCGTCAATTTAAAGAAGCAAATTTTATCAAACTTTCTCCTCCCCCATTACAAACGCATAACTGCAATAAGCATTTTAGGTTACTTATTAGGTTACTTTTAGGTTTTAGGTAATTTTTGTTTTAGGTTACTTATATGCCAACGCCAACCCCGTACGAAGGACGGGTACTCTGCTAGTATTTACATATTTAATAAACCACATATTTAGCCTAATTTCATCAAATCTTCAAAAATCAAATCATCCTTTAACGTATCTTCTGTTTTTTTGCCCTCTCTAAAGCCATATTGGAAAGGACTAAAAAAATTATTTGTAGGCTATTAAAAATAATTAATTAGTTTAATTTGTATACATTTTTCAAATAACTTAGCAAATACTGATGTCAATGAAATTGGCCTATAATTAGACATTTTTCCCCCTCCTTAAATAAAGGAATTACAACTGCCAGTTTTAATGCTTCTGGAAACTGACCAGTATTGAAGCTTAGATTAATTGGTGTATCAAAATATCCAACAAAGATGTTTAAAACACTCTTTTAATAAGATTGAACTTATTCCATCATTGCCTGGAGCCTTATTATTTTTTAAGGAATTCACAACAATCTCCTCAAAAGATACAGGTTAAAGAAATATCGAGTTTAAGCAAGATCCAAAATTAAAAGTATAAAGTCTTCGAGAATGTTTACAAAATAGTTATTAAAACTGTTTGCTATCATTAGTTTATTAGATATGTTATCTCCATTAACAATAATACTACCGATGCCATGTCTTGATTTTTTCTGATCTGTAAAATCATTTACTACCTTCCACTCAAGTTTTGAATTACCATTAGGCTACATTTACTTAACAAATTGCAATAGTAATTATTTTTTGTTTCTTTAATTTCAAATTTCAAAATGAATTTTATTTTTAAACCAAGTGTAGTAGTTTAATAGTTTTCTATCATTAGGGTTTTTCAATGTTTTCTTATAAATAATCTCTCTTCTTTTGATTTCGCTACACAGTGATGAATTAATCCATGGCTTTAAAAACTTATATTTACATTTCTTTAATTTTACTTCTTTGCATAAACTAATGTAATGATTTAAAATGTCAATAAAAATATCAAAAGCAATATTGAAACATTTGTCTAATTAAGAACGTGTGACCAGTCAACCGAAGACCACTAGTTTACATAGATATTTTCAGTATTGATTGTTCATCTGTATAACTTAGAAATGATTGTTAATTAAATTAAGAATGAAGAGGTAACGTCTAGACTGATGTACTCTTACTTTTAATTAAATATATGATTAATAAAACACCAAGTCAATGTTAAGACTTTTTAATACATCTTGAATCAGCATGTTCTACATTTTATGTGTTATACCATTGACTATATAACACTACTGTAGTGTTATATAGTCAATGGTTATACGTTGGAGTACAAAATTAAGAAGAAGGACGATGATCTCTACGCAGAGAGACATCCCCGCTACTCAAGACTACCAACTATAAAAACAAAATAGTTGAAGTAATATAACTCATAACACTTCCCCTTTTTATAAAAGAAATAAACAGGACTTTTAGAACAACAGTAAAAGAAACAAACAGTACATCTTACATGTGAAATTGAAATAAGTACATTTTTTAAAAATCAACATTAGCCTAACATTTTAATAAAAATTCAAATTCATCTTACATGTGAAATTGGACAAGTACATTTTTAAAAAATCAACATTAGCCTAACATTTTAATACAAATTCATCTTAAACATGTGAAATTAAAAGTACATTTTTAAAAATCAACATAGCCTAACATTTTACTAAAAATTCATCTTACACATGTGAAATTGATACAAGTACATTTTTAAAAATCAACATAGCCTAACATTTTACTACAATTCAAATTCATCTTAAACGTGTGAAATTGAACAAGTACATTTTTAAAAATCAATATAGCCTAACATTTTACTACAAATTCAAATTCATCTTCATCTTACATGTGAAATTAAAAACAAGTACATTTTTAAAAAGTCAACATAGCCTAACATTTTATTAAAATTCATCTTCATCTTACATGTGAAATTAGACAAGTACATATTTAAAAAGTCAACATAGCCTAACATTTTACTAAAAATTAAAATTCATCTTACAAGTGAAATTAAAAACATTTGATACCGTACTCAAATTAATTTATCTTTAAAATCCTAACCTACAGAACAAAATCAGCAAAATATTTTCATTAATACAAAATAAAAATTCTGTGACCATTTACCACAAATACTTAACTAAACATTTGGATTCTAAAATAAAAATATTCTTCCATAAACAACAAGAGCTTACATCTCATAATCTTAATAAAAACTCATAATAAAAAATCTGTAACCATTTACCACAAATACTTAACTAAACATTTGGATTCTAAAATAAAAATATTCTTCCATAAACAACAAGAGCTTACATCTCATAATCTTTAAATCTTTCAGGTTGTCTGATAACTCTACCAAACCTAGAATTAGGCCTACTCGGGCCAGACCTAACAGGCGTCTCATGAACAGTGGATGTAGGATTAGGATCAAGATTTTTACTAGGACTAACAGAACTCGTGCGAGTAGATGGCACTGAGTTACTGTTGTTTGATAGCAAGGGAGTAGGCATAGGAATTCTGTTTTTAGGCGAACCAGCTTTGGGTAACAGTGGCGACATAGGATAGGTAACACTAGGATTTACTATTAGACCAGAATATTTACCAAGTGGTCTCTTAATTTTCCTTAATCTTAAGTGACTTGCATTCCTCTGTAAAGTTGAGCCGCTATGACTCAGCCTAACATAATATGAGCTAGGGGTTTTGGCTAAGCCTATTATTCTACCTGGTTCCCACACACGGGAGCGAACGTTGTACACATTTACCTCATCCGAGACCTTGAACTCTCGCCTAGGGCGACTATTTCTATCATGATACCATACTGCTTTTGTTTGCTTCTCATATAATAATTTATTAACAACATTTCTATTGCAAACTTCAGGTCTCAACAAACTAGCCGATATTGGGATTTTTGTTCGCAACCTCCTAGACATTAAGATTTGAGCTGGTGACATATTGCCTACAACAGGTGTGTTACGTAGCTCCAAGAGAGCAATCTCGACATCTTTGCCATCCTCACTACATTTTTTAACCAGTTTTTTGATAGTTTGAACGGTTTTTTCAACCTGACCATTAGAACGGGGGTACAACGGGCTACTATTTACAACTTTGAAATTCCAGTCCAAGGCAAATTGTTTAAACTGATATGAACCGAAAGGATTATTATCACCAATGACCTTGGCTGGTATACCATGAACTGAAAATACTTTCTTGAGCTCACGTATCACATCTGTTGTGGTCTTAGATTTTAACTCAAGGCACTCTGGCCATTTACTGTAATAGTCAATTACAACGAGGAATATTTTACCTCCATATTCTGCAATATCCACACCTACTTTGTTGAAGGGTAGATCAGGTATCTCATGACACATTAGGTTATCTTTTGCATTTGCATTCATAAATTTCTGACAAAGAGTACAACTAGACACAAGATTATCAATATCTACAGACATACCAGGCCAGTACAACAGTTGCCTAGCTCGAGACTTTGTTTTTTCACACCCTAGATGACTTTCATGTAACAGATCTAACATGGCTTTTCTTAAACTACATGGGACAACAATCTTATCATTTAAAAATACCAGGCCATCGAAAACATACAAATCACCACGTTTACCAAAGTAAACCTTTACACACTCTGGTAGAGACCTTTTGTCTGAAGGCCAGCCACTTTTGAAATATTGTTTTACAAGGCTGAGAGCTGTGTCATTGTCTGTTGCTTCTCGAAATTCTACCATTTTATTTTCTGATATTGGTAAAACATAAGGTACCACATTTTCTATTACATTTACACTAACACAATTCTCATTGGGCTTACAAGTGCGAGACAACACGTCAGGAACAACCATTTGTTTACCAGGACAGTATTTCAAAACTAGGTCATACTTAATTAATTTTAACTTTAACCTCTGCAACCTAGGTGATAAAATTTTGTGAATTGGCTTTTTCATCATGACTCCAAGGGTTTTGAGTCATTATACACAACAAATTTGTTACCATACAGCAAGTTGTGGTACCTAGTAACAGCAAATACGATACTAAGTAATTCCTTTTCCACTTGAGCATACTGCTGCTCGGTATATGTCATACTGCGAGAAGCGAACGAGATTGGCCTACCACATTGCATTATACAGCATCCAAGACCATTTTTACTAGCGTCAGAATGGACCTCAACCGGCTTAGAACTATCATAAGTCGCCAAAACAGGCGCTGACGTTATTGCTTCTTTTAACTTATTTACACACTCTGAGTGAACAGGCAACCAAGACCATTCAATATCTTTTTTTAACAATTCACGCAAGGGACTGGTCAAGGTAGACATGTGAGGGGTGAATTCACGAAAATAATTAAATAGGCCAAGCATGGATTGAAGTTCCTTCTTGCTAGTAGGTTCCGGCAATTCTAACACAACTTTAATATTACTTTCATCTATTTGTACACCCTCCGAACCAAAGCATAGGCCTAAAAAATTCACCTTATTCATCTTATATTGAATTTTCTTTGGGTTGAACTTAACATTATTAGCTCTAGCCCTACCTAGTACTTCTTTTACAATAGTATCATGTTCCTCAAGGGATTCAGCTGCTACGAGCAAGTCATCAAAGTACACAGTTACTCCATTGATGTCAGAAAAAATCTGGGAATTTAGTTTCTGAAACATTTGTGGTGCTACCTTTAACCCAAAAGGAAGTCTTAAGAACCTATAGCACCCATACGGGGAACTAAAAGTACACAAGTGACTGGATTCTTCATCAAGTGCGATATGCCAAAACCCATTTTTCAAATCAAATACTGAAAAATACTTTTTACCAGACAGTTTGGCTTTGATTTCATCAATAGTGGGAATCATAAATGGCTCTGGAACTAATGCTACATTTAGACATTGTGGATCTAGACAAATTCTTAAAGTTTTATCACTTTTCTACAATGTTACTCACCCAATTACATGGTTCATTGACTTTTTTAATAACTTCACATCTTTCCAGTTCGTTAAGAGTGTCTTTCAGTTTTGGCATAACAGAATACGGAATTCTACGAGGAGGCTTAACAACTGGCTGTACATCAGGATTCACTTTAAGACTATGCTTACCTTTAAAACAACCTAATCCTGAAAAAACATCTGCATTTTGGTGAACAAAACTCTCCTTCGTCAACTCTTCGACAGCATTTACCCTTTTTATGAGACCTAGTTTAACACAAGTCCCAAGTCCAACAATCGGGATACTTTTGAGATTGTTTACGATTATGAAGTCTTCCTTAGTTGTAATGTTTTTATATGTACAATTTAGACTGAGCACACCACAAGTGTTTAGTTGAAAACCACCAAAAGATTCCAATTTTACATTAGATTTGACTACAAAGTCCAATAACTCAGAGTCAATTTGTTCAACAACATGTTTAGGTAAAATGTTGATTTCAGCTCCGCTATCCAGCTTAAAGTTAATGTTTTGTCCATTAATACACAAGTTTTCAAACCAAGCAAGTTTACATTGATTGTTAGATATGGAATCAATCCTAAACTCTTCATCATCATACACCAGTACATCATTAACTTGTTTAGGCCTATTATTCTTATTTTTAAAACAGCCTACAGAGAAGTGATTCATTTTACGACATAAGTTACAAGTTTTACCATAGGCTGGACACTGAGCTGCTTGATGTTTGGTGTTACATTTCTTACACAAATATTCAGTCCTAGTCTGTGAATCAAAATTTTGCTTACCGTTACCACTTGAAGGCCTATTGAAATTCGAACTTTTACTACCCGTGAGAGAGTACTTTTTAAATTTATTGTTTTTCGGACATCTTGAGTTACCACGACCCACACTATGGACCACATTCTCCGTCTTTATACCTTGGGAATATGTACTAGATGATTGTACGGGACTACACTCTAGGCCAACTAAGGCCTTGTCTTTCGAAATGCTCGAAACATGCTCTCGGCTAGCTTCAACTAACCTACAAAACTTGATTGTGTCTTCTAATTTTAAATCGGTTTCACGGAGGAACCTTTCTTGTGTTGACTGGTCATTAATGCCCATTACAATCCGGTCACGAATCATATTATCCTCTTCACTCCCAAACTCACAGTAGATAGCCAACTTTCTAAGGTCAGTAAGGAAACTATTAAAGGGCTCCCCCAGACCCTGAGATCGCTTGTGAAACAAATATCTTTGATAGACAACATTAGATTTTGGAGAGAAATGTTTATCAAAAGCACTCAAAACATCTTTTAATTTTAATGTGGACACTTCCCCCAGTTTAAACGTGAAAAATATTGATAATGCATCAGGTCCAATCGCATTTAGCAGTTGAGCTACCTTTACATGGTCACTTTTAGCATCGGCCTCAGTGGCCGTTAGAAACAATTGGAATTGATTTTTAAAGAGAGTCCATCCCACCGAAACATTGTCATCAATATTTAGAGGCTTGGGAGGCTTAAAAGACATCTTAATTGAATTTTTAAAACGGAACTTGCAATCCTGAACATGTGAGGTCGACTAGGCCTACACACCATTTTTAAGTCCTATAAAACACACTCGACTTATTACCTTGGGAGCGTTGCTTCTTCAGACTGCGCCATGATGTACTCTTACTTTTAATTAAATATATGATTAATAAAACACCAAGTCAATGTTAAGACTTTTTAATACATCTTGAATCAGCATGTTCTACATTTTATGTGTTATACGTTGGAGTACAAAATTAAGAAGAAGGACGATGATCTCTACGCAGAGAGACATCCCCGCTACTCAAGACTACCAACTATAAAAACAAAATAGTTGAAGTAATATAACTCATAACAGACAGAAGAGAGATTGGCTTTACAACTTAATTTAACATGGCAAAATTGAAAAATGGATATGGTTTACACTTAAAACAAAAAGGAATATGTTTTTATAAGTTTAATAGAGTTCCAAATTAATAGTTTAGATGTAACGATTGTTTTATTTAGATATATTTTAAATGTGGTTATGTATAAGAACTAGCCTCATCACACCCATATACATATGCTCTAGACTTAAGGGCATAAAAGTAAAGGCTATGAAATTTGTTATCTTGCAAACCCTTAAATTCCTTATACAGCAATTCCTTATACAGTATAACTACATTATACAGCAACAAACCACATCTTAGAGTAGCCTATTCGGAGTGTTTATTTGCAATTTTATTAACTATTTTCATTTTGTCATTTATAGGTTAACACTTTAACTTATTTCTAAGAGTAGATTCATCAGTGGAATTCATTGGTTTTGAATAAAACTAGCATTTTCTTAGGCCAAGCACACGATTGTACCGTGTGTCTGAAGGCAAATAATTAATCAATTAATTATAGTCAATTAATAGGTTCAGGAAACCCGATGTCTAGTATAGGCCAATAATTTATACAATATGAGATTAACAATTATAACATCAAGTCTTGTGCAATGGCTCAGCATTAAAAAATGACAATTAACAGTAAGGATACCATAATATTTTTATCTCCAGTAATGCGAGTTTATTTAGGCCTAGCCTACAGTGGTTTTCAATGAATTGAGACGACAGGGCTGAGCACAAAATGTGCAAATAGCACCACATCGTGAGCATGATAAAATGTTATTATGTAATTTATTTTACTAGCCTACATATTTTAGACTGTATTTTATACCATGGAAATTGTACATATATGGGCCTGTGTTAATTTTTTTAACGTCTCCTACAAATTTAAACACCACGATTAATGCTCAGTCCCCTGGTACCTACCTTGAAAATGCTGCACTGCGGTGAAACGTCGGAGTTAGAGAACTTTAGTCTGTGATTTGATTTTTAGCGAATTTCCCATATAGGGAATAAGCTATTACCGTAGTACTCACGGTAAGACCTGGACCCGGGACCGATTTTTTTTTTCGTTTTGAGGTCCCTAGAGGTAAAAAACACCATCCGTTCAAATTCATATATATATATATATATATATATATATGTGTCCGTTAGCGCGATAACTCGAGCAAAAATGATCAGATTTTGATGAAATTTGGTACAAACGTGTAAACCTACGTTTATTCGAACGAGTTCGCGAACCAGCATGATCGGACCATGGGAACGGGGGTTTATGGGGGCTTTTATGGGGTAAAAATGGGTTTTTCCCATTTTTGACCCAAAAAACATAAAATTTTGCAATTTTTTTCCAAACTATTTTGTAGAGCTTAAAAAAACAAATAATTTAGTATATTGAAGCGTTATAATGCGCCTAATGGTTACGGAGAAAATTCCAAAAAATTGTAAATTTAAAATTCCCATGTTATTCTTATGGAGAATAAGTAAACTGTTGTAGTTTGCTTGTTTATAAACATATTTTGCCCAAATTTGGAAAATGTTTTTATTTCTTACAAACTATTAACATTTTACATAAAAAACACTTTTACCCTCCCTGTTGCAGCAAACCTAAGTATGTTTTAAACTGATTCTATTTAAATAGGGAATAAATGTGATATTTTTAAGGAGACATTTTAGTGTAAATCCATTCAGGGAAATGGAAATTCGCTTAGTCTGCAGGTTTGCTGCGGCGGGGGTATTATTAGGTAATGTGTGTTTGTGTGTGTACGATCAACTGTGGTGACAAGGACTGTGTTCTACTTATTTCAATAAGGTGAGTGATGCCTAAAAATATTTATTTAACTGAATTAAGATGTAATTTATTGACCTCACATAAAAACCTAAACGACATAGAAATAACATCAGTTTACAACCCATACAACTCATCAAATGAGGTGAGAATGGTGAGATACATTAGGCCTAACTCAAAAGTAAAACTTTTGAAGCACCTTAGTTTGAAAACCTGTAAAACTCAACAACCTTTTGCGGATACCAAAAACTCGTATTGTAGGGTACAACTTACATTTTTTCTTTCTTTTTCAAATTCGGAGATTAGGTCTACCTTGTCAGATTTAGATTCACTTGTCTTGACTTTTTTTAAAGCAGGTTCATCTTCACTTGCCATATTGTAGTTTCTAAACAAAAAGAGACACATTATTAAAACTATCATAGCTGCTGCCTAGCCTATCATGTGAAGTGATGAGAATGTAATGAACTAAGATTGCTTATCTTGAGATTGCAAAGCCAACAGAAAAGTTATATTAGGCCTAAGATTATATTATATTAAACATTCTAAATTTAAAGATAAAACAAACTGTGGTAAGTTAAGATAAATATTAAATGTTTTGCGTGATGCAATATACTGTGTGTAAATTATATGTACTTTATTCGAAGCCATAATGAAGAACCAACTCATTTCGTTTTTTTGAGGACAATAGCCTGTTTACATAGATGCTCAACATGGATTCAGAAAAGGTCGCTCTACTACCACTGCCCTGCTGAGCCTAGTCAACACCATCTCTGAAGCATTTGAGCAAAATGAGTCTGTGCAGCTTAGCCTCTGAGACTTAAGCAAGGCTTTTGATGTAGTATCTCATGACATCCTCCTGCTAAAACTAGGCAAGTATGGCGTTGGCGGTGTTGTTCTCAAGAGCCTCTCAAACTATCTGAGGGAGTTGTGTCTCTGCGAGGAACCCTTTCCAGCATAGGCCATCTCTCAAACGGTGTGCCACAAGGATCTGTTCTAGGCCCTCTCCTCTTTACAATAATGATAAACAACCTGCATCTGAATGGGAGAACATTATTATTTGCAGACGATACAACGCTGCTGACCAGAGGTGTTAATATTCACCAACTGTCAACAGAGGCTGAAGACCTGCTCGAGAGAGCCAAGGATTGGTTTGTTGCAAATCACTTGAAAATCAAAAATGACAAAACCCAGTCCCTGGTCTGTACGCTGAAAGGGAGAGTAGAGGAAGATGGCGCAGTAAGGCTTCTAGGATTCACAATAGATACCAGGTTAAATTGGAGCAAACACATCGTGCAGATATGTGTTAAGTTATCTCGTGTCCTCCATCTTCTAAGAAAACTTAGACCCGAAATTCCTAAATCATCTCTTTTATCTGTGTACTAGGCTATGCCTTATTTCATAGTCATGTGACTTATGGGCTGGTACTGTTGAGGTAATCCTCAGCAGCTGAAGATGTGTTGCTTTTACTACAACAAATGGCCTTGAGGATTATTACATCTGCTAGGTATTTGGACCATCAGTAGGCTATGTAGTCAGTACGTTCTTGATATCCTGATCCTACTAAAAGGATAATTTAAGGAGAGAGGAGGTGCATGAGTACTACACTAGGAAGGCCCAAAATATTGATTTTCCTCTCTGCCGTCTGAGTCGTACCTCGAGTTGCTATCCTCGTTCAGCTATTAAAATGTATAATACTCTGCCTACCCAGATGCGGGAGATGGATGCACCCTCCTTCAAGAAGGCGCTGAAAGGGATGGATACTAAGTAGTAAGATTCTATTAAAACTGCATGATTCTACGCAATGTACAGACAAAACTGTAATTTTATTTATCTTATAGGTAGGATATTGGGTTTTATATACATCTTGTGAGTAAACATTATAACTTAAGTAAAAATATATTATAATAACGGTACCTACGGTAATTTAATAAATACTTAACTTAAGCTAACGATGCTGATTAAGAAGTTACTGTATGCAAGATATTCTTCTATCCAAACCAAAGACTACCCTGACTTCCTCGTTCTCGGGTAAGAACAGGAAAGACGTTTTCCTACACTCACAATGAGGCCTACATTGAGGTGTGGGAAAATTACTCCGTAATACACTAACTAACAGGAATCAATATTTACAACAAGCTACCTAACACCAAGCGTCTTAGAGAAGCTGGTCCACCTCCTCAAGTCCAGGGCTTACAGCTCCCTGAAAGATTTTTTTAATGATAAGTTACAATGATGACTAGGCCCTAGTCCTGATTTTGATTGATTTGACGATCTGCAACTTGTGTGAAACTGGCAATAACTCGGCAATAAGTAGTGCACACGCCATAAAAAATCTATTGCTGGCCGTTTTGCGGCAAAATACGTCCGCGATCCATATTACCGATGATGCCAACAGATAGAGGACACTTTAACGGTCACGACAGTATCACCATCATGTAGGCTACCTGGGGAGTAGGTTAGGGGGGTAAAATCAGCAATAATTTGTGCGCCAGAATAGATAGAACAAACAGCCAGCAATAGATTTTAGCGGGCCCGCGCACTACTTATTGCTGACTTTACCCCCCTAACCTACTCCCCAGGTAGGCCTACATGATGTTGATACTGTCGTGTCCGTTAAGTGTCCTCTATCTGTTGGCATCATCGGTAATATGGATCGCAGACGTATTTTGCCGCAAAACGGCCAGCAATAGATTTTAGCGGGCGCGCGCACAACTTATTGCTGATTTCACCCCTCTAACCTACTCCCCAGGTACATGATGTTGATACTGTCGTGTCCATTAAAGTGTCCTCTATCTGTTGGATCGCGGACGTATAATTTTGCTGCAAAACGGCCAGCAATAGATTGTAGCGGGCGCGCGCACAACTTATTGCTGATTTCACCCCTCTAACCTACTCCCCAGGTACATGATGTTGATACTGTCGTGTCCATTAAAGTGTCCTCTATCTGTTGGATCGCGGACGTATAATTTTGCTGCAAAACGGCCAGCAATAGATTTTAGCGGGCGCACGCACTACTTATTGCTGATTTCACCCCCCTAACCTACTCCCCAGGTACATGATGTTGATACTGTCGTGTCCGTTAAAGTGTCCTCTACTTATCTGTTGGCATCATCGGTAATATGGATCGCGCACATATTTTTCCGCAAAACGGCCAGCAATAGATTTTTAGTGGCGCGTGCACTAGTTATTGCCAGGTTCACACCAATCGATTTGCATGCCTAAGTCACTAAGTGTAGGCCTATGGTTTTGTAACTTATTTGTATCAATCTGTTTTAGATGACGTGTTAAATTTTAAAAAAGTTTGGAAGCCATCAATACCTTTTGGGTAAAAGATTAAGATATGTAGAAATAAGGTAGCCTATGGCATAGACCTAAACATTTACTGCTAGGCCTAGGCGTAGTTATGGAAATAAAATCTTGTATTGAAATATAATTAGGCCTACTACACTGCTTACAGTCCTGGTAGTAATCAAACTTAAAAAATCCTATGTTTGTACTAAATTTTTCTATTGAAATAGAAGGTAAGCTTAAATTATTGCATAAAATAAACATATATAAATAACAACAGAAAAAAAAACACCACTTACAACTAAATGGTACAGAGCTACACTGTCACTGAGCTGCTAGCTGCTACGCTACAACACAACTAAATAGTAGTGAGTGATGTGCGATACGTATCGTATCGTATCGGAATATCGCGATACGCGAGGGACGATACGATATTTCGATACGATATTTGAAAAACGATACGTATCGTATCGTCTAAAACGATATTTGTATTTATATCGGCACATAGAGCGATACGATTCATGTCAAAACGATATTTTTAAGCTTATTTTTGCGCAGGCCCCCGCAGGCTGAGCAAACTGCAAAATCTGTACTCTGTGGATGTGTAGTTTGAAATAGGAGTTTTTGACGTCTGTATTTTTGGTTTTTACTTGATAATGTACCAGTCCCATCCCAGTCCAGTCCATTTCCACTAACGTTTTATCTAATCTAGCACTAGATCTGCCTGCTACGACGGCGCTGATGGGCCACCAACTATAAAAAAATATTTTTCTTAATCTCTGAGAAAAAACTTAGAATTCTGAGTTTAAAGTCAGAATATAACAAGTGGGCGTTCCACTCTGAGATTAAAGTCAGAATTCAACTAGTGGGCGTTCCCCTCTGAGATTAAAGTCAGAATTTAACAAGTGGGCGTTCCTCTCTGTGAAAGGAGTTAGAATTCTGAGATTAAAGTCAGAATTGAATTGTGGGCGTTCCTCTCTGGGAAAAAAGTCAGAAGATAACTAGTGGGCATTCAACTCTAAGTCAGAATTGAACTGAGGGCGTTCCTCTCTTATTGCAACGATATTATCAGCATATCGATGCTATCATCCCTACTATCTTAGACAAAAGAAATAATATAAATATCATTTCTGTTGTCTATTCTACTGTGTTCTTCTACTTGCAACGTTGCCAATTCTACCAGGCCGCGGCCTGGAGTTAAAGGTGGCCGTGAGAAGAGTACAGTAGAGTATAGTAGCACGGCCGCCTTGGTGGCCGTGGTAGTAGAGACTATATAAGTCCAATTCTTACGTTAATCTCAGAGATGAACGCCCACAATTCAATTCTGACTTTAATCTCAGAATTCTAACTCCTTTCACAGAGAGGAACGCCCACTTGTTAAATTCTGACTTTTAATCTCAGAGGGGAACGCCCACTTGTTGAATTCTGACTTTAATCTCAGAGTGGAACGCCCACTTGTTATATTCTGACTTTAAACTCAGAATTCTAAGTTTTTTCTCAGAGATTAAGAAAAATTTTTTTTTATAGTTGGTGGCCCTTCAGCGCCGTCGTAGCCTGCAATCCTAAAACGCTATCGGAAGGATAGGGAAACAGGTCCAAGACGTAGGGAGTTGTGAAGGAAGTAAGTAAAGGCGAGAAGTGTGGAGTGTGGAAATGGATTAATGTATCTGCAATACTGAGACTGTTTTCAGAGTAAACTAATGATTTTCCCCGAGCAAAGCTTGGTCCCCAGGTACTTATATAAATTTGCCGTTTCTAGGTTAGGTAGGGGAGGGGGGAAACGATACGATACGTATCGTTTTTCGATATTTTTGACGATACGATTCGCGTATCGCGATACAGACGCCCGATTCGATACGGCGATACGATATTTTTTTCCGATACGTATCGTATCGCTGTATCGCGATACGCGTCCGTATCGCCCATCACTACTAAATAGAGATGGGCGTTATTTAACGTAACAGGGTAAATAACACTGTTAATAAATTGTAACCTGTTATCAAGATAACACGTTACTCAGAATACCCTGTTATTTTTGTAACGCTGCGCTCATTGGCTTATGAATTGATCTCCTGTACTGGTTCCGTCAGGATCAAAGTCCTGAAAGCAACAAAAAGTCTTTAAAATAATAAAATGTGAGAGAACGTTCCATTCCAGCCGGAATTTAACGTATACGAGAACTGTACATAGTGTGGCAACATTAACACCAACAATAATTATGGAAAAACTGGAACGAAACGTCCAGCTAGGTAACACCCATGCTAGAATTAAGTTACAGTATATCCGGGCCGAAACGAACGAACACGGTCAGTAACAGGGTAGAGCAATAACACCCAGCGAGAATTTCGTTACATTACGGCTAAACTGGAACGAATAAACCACCCGCAGAGAGTAACGCCAAGCTGGAATGATAACGTTACAGCCCAGCCGAGCCAGAACGAACATACGGCCAGTAACAGGGTAGAGCAATAACACCCAGCGAGAATTTCGTTATACATGCCCGCCGAGCTGGGGCTGGGATGTCACCTGGATGTCACGGTGTGGTGGGGAAGGAACGGACCGGTAACAGGTTACAAAATTAACAGGTTACTGTTACCTGTTACCAAGTTGTAATGGAACGGTGTAACGCGTTTCTCAAAAGTAACGGTAATTTCCATCTCTACAACTAAACTGCTGGGCTGGCTGTTCCGAGAGTGGAACTCGTTCCACAGTTCCAAGTGGAACCACAATCCAACTACTTTTTCAGCTGCAACTCGGTGGAACGATTTGAATGTAGTTCCGCACAAACAGCTGCAGCCTTATTGTAAATTTTTAAAGATAAGTTCCGGAGTAACTGGATTTGTAAAACACATACAGTTACAACAATACAGCTGCAGCTGGTTTATTAATACTCTCACTAAACATTAAGTTCTAGCCTGTGCAGCTGATGCGTTTTGACTTATTTGGTCTATTGTAAACAAAGGTTTGATTAGCGGATATGGTTGACATGCCTTAAAAGAAAAATTATCATTTTCTGTTTTTTAATTTTTTCAGGCAGGAATTAAATAAAAGTACATCAGTCTCAGTTAAGTCGTGCTCATAATATATGCAAATTTAATTATCTCTTCCTGAGTAATCAGTACCGTAATAATTGTTTGTGTTTAACTTAATTCAGGATTTTTTCGCTATTAACTTTAGAATTTTATATTAAGAGTTAGGGTAAGTGGTGTTTGAATAATATGATTTTAACAATAAAAAAATGTGTAATATGAATAAATGCATAATATAAAGAACCTCTAAAATAATTTATACCGGCCTTGTCACGTATTATTTTTAGACCCTAGATAGACAAACTAAAATAATGAATTACTTGTACTACATTTCCAAAACATGATATTGATTTCTTTACAGTCGCTATTTTGCATTATTTGAAACAATATTCTAATTCAAGAACAGCTTAAACTAATCCGTCTCAAATTATGGGAATAAACTGAGATTTTGTTCATCCGCCCTTCTGCCTCGTTCCACTACAGCCATAGCTCCGCTGCAGCGGGAAAACCAGCTGCAGCGGGCAAAACCAGCTGCAGCTGGAACTTCTTTTGGAACGAGTTCCATGGCGACCTTGGAACTAGCTGCAGCTGTTTCGCCCAAGTAACTTCTTGGCACATCTCTAGCTGGCTGGCTGGTGCTGGTGCCTGGTAGTGGTACGGTACGGGCACGGAGTACGGTACTGTACTGCTACTGCTGCTAGTGCTGCTACTGACTGTGACTGAGACTGACTGACTGCTAGAGCTAGTGCTAACTGCTATTCTATTATTGCACCACACCACAAATCATTCGTAATGCGTTATAAAATAGTAGTTTACGCAACGATTGCGTTAAGTGAGTCTTTACGACACGAGTAGAAAATTTAAGGCACGAGCCTTGGCGAGTGCCTTAAAAACTTCTACGAGTGTCGTAAAGATTATTAACGCGAGTTGCGTACACTACTTTACCTACGACCGTTTTTTAATTACTATCAATCTGGATTTAATTACTAACAATAACTACTGATAACTTTTTAGAGAGGTTATGTTTTCGTGTATTGTCATTGCCACTGAAAGTGATGCAACGACTTGCTGTATAATCAGCTGATTTCCTGTAATTACGTGTTTGTTAAACTTCGTTAAATATTGCATTGCTAGCAGCATTCTTACCATAAATAATATTGTATCAGGTACAATTCGGCAAATATTTCATTTATTTTTGGACTTCCACCAACTTAATTAAGAATACGCGAGTATCAACATGAACAAGTCTGATCAACAATTAAATTGGTCAACTGATCAGCTGATTAGTTGACGTTCGAAGCATTACAATTTTAATTCTTTTCTCTCAATACTTGAACCTCATTGGTCCGTTACCTGTGTGGATATGAGAAAACTATGCGGATATGAAATGAAACTATGCGGATATGAAAGTAAACAGCTGTAAAGTGAAACTTTTCAATTCTAAGAACTGGACTGAAATGGCTACTTTAAAAAACGGTCGTAGGTAAAATAAATTGTAGGCTATATTGTGTAAGGGTAAATAAGGTAAATGCACCAGTAGCTGACAGTGCTCCAGAAGCTGACAGTTTGAGTTTCTTTACATTATAATGTGGTCTCTTAAAAAGATGTACACATGATTGCATTGTTAGAAGAACATATGTTTATTCTTGATTTGTTTACAAACATATCAGTGAAATTTAGCCCATACTCGCTGAATGGTGGTGGTTTGAAAGCGACCCTGTCTGTGGTCTGTCTGTACACATTTCCCTTAATGAAATTGTTAAGAAGATAAGTTTGGTTTTTTAGTCATTTCGCTAAATTTCTTAAATAGTATTGATGATTAGGCTCATTATTTTTATCAATTATACCTTTGTTGACAATTTCATGATAAAATTGGGGTGTTAGGGGTTTTGGATTTAAAATTATATCAATGTCAGGCTTTGGTACACAAAAGCCACACAAGTTCCACTAGCTGACAGGGGATATTTGCTACTTGCACAATATTAAATTGGTTTTACCCATCGAAATTTGCATGCTATTTCACACATTTTAATTTTTTAATTAATAAGCCAAATTATCTTAAAATTTTTTTTAATATATAAATTTTTTTAAGAATATATATATTTTTTTTTAAATATATATATTTTTTAATGTAAATATTTTTTATTTTAAAATATGTAAAATAAATTTTCTTAATAACGTTTTACATGATCTTATAATTTAATCATTAAGTTAGATTTTATTCGTCTTAAAAATTATAAAACACTTAGGTTTAGCAGCTATAAGTTATAGTATATAGTACATTTATAGTTCCAGTGTCAGCTACTGGGACAACTGCCAGTCAGCTACTGGTACAAGCACTTTTTTCACTGTCAGCCACTGGAACACGTACAAAGGTTGAATTAAGTTTAAAAATGTTATAAAATATATTTTTAAAAAAACCCTTTTTGTATGACAAATTTGAAAACTACACTAAATTTAGAATCACATAAAACCCGTAATATCTCTTTAGTTCCTATTTATTCAAAACCACGGATTATTAAGTGCGTATAGTTTCTTATACTGTCAGCTACTGGTGCGTTTACCTGTGTATTGACAATGCCTACGTACATGCTTAGCTTTAGCCACGATTACTAGAAAATGTATTTTTCTAGTAATCGTGGCTTTAGCTTAAACGCAAACGCACAAAAAATGATTATCATTTTCATTAAAGACATAGGGTAAGGGTACCCGTAGAGTATGAATTATTTTATACTAATAAAATACAAATTACTGGTTGTAGGCTATAATTTTAAAGTTTGATTCACAGGGGTTATGGTAGTTAAAGGCGGCCGTGGGTTGTGTGGTTATTCAGGCCGTGGCCTGGTAGAATTGGTAACGTCGCAAGTAGGGTTGGTTAGTGTCAGTCAGACGTCCCATAAGATAACATGGCAGACAGGAGGTGACATCAGCTCATTAATTTGCACTTTATTGATTTAAATTTATGATCATAGATTTACTGAGCGGAGCGAGCGAAGCTCTTATACTACACTCCTGCTTTTGTTTTACAAATACTCCTCCTGAACGGCTAAAGCGATCTGCACGAAATTTAACACAGTCATAGTACCCAACCATGGGAAGGTATAAATCTGAAATGGTACAAATCGGACCATAGGACTTTTCCCTACATGAATGCAAACTTTTAGAAATTTAACATGGACCTTATGGGTTAATTGGTCGCCATGACATTATTTGCAAGTAAACACTAACAAGTAAACAAGAGCCTCGACATATGTTAGTCAACAAATCTACCACATTATAAATACAGTACAAAAGAAAAAAATCGGATGAATACTAAAGAGCATATTTAGTCTATTGCATGTAATACGAATTGATTAACAATCAGTTCTATATTGAGTGATTAAAATCATGCCGTTTATATTTAATTGTAAAATAGTTCTGTTCTTTTTAACAGAAATGAATAGTCAACTAATTAGGCCAAAGTCTATGTTGCTTGGAGAAGGAGAAGATAAAACAAGGTCATTAAAAAAAAACACTACAACATAATCATACCAACAAAAATCACACCGCCCTTGATTTGCAAGTAAATTTGTAAAAATTGTACTTGTAGCGAAAAATACAAAATCATTTTACGAAATGAAATCACAACCACTTGGTTTGCAGGTAAGGTTTAAGACTAAATGGTGTAACTTAGACAATAAAATAGTCGTATTGATAAATTTTATTGCACAAAAGGGAAATTTTGAAAGTGGTTGACGATATATTTCTTACTTTTAACTGCTAAAATACAACTATACCTAAGTTATATAGCTTTTACAGCATTTTATGTGAGCAAGACGCGCCATTAATGTAGACTTTGAATATGTACTGCAATTCCTATTTGCAGTCTACAAATAGGAATTCCACTAATGTGAACCAAATATAACACTCATTGTTTCGATACTGCAATTAACAATTCGTTGACGTGAACCCGACGTATCATTGACTTTGAATATTGCAAATAGACATCCCATATAAGTGAAGCAGAAGGAGGCCTAAGCCTACCATTGACTTCGGATACTGCAATTAGGCATTTTATTTATGTGAACAAAATAAATGGACCATTGATTTAGGATACTGCAAGTAGACTATTCATATACATGTACCATTGAATTTGGATACTACAAGTAAACAATCCGTCTACGTGAACCATACGTACTATTGACTTTAGAATCTGTAAATAGGCATTCCATTTACGCGAACCAAATATATCATTGGCATTGGATACTGCAAGTAGACATTTAATTTATGAGAACCAGATGAAACATACGAGTAGAAAACGGTTCCTACAAGTAGACGATTCATTCACTTAATCCTGACTTATGATTGACTTTGGATACCTACTGCCAATAGGCAACAAAAAAAATAAATGATATATTTAAATGATTAATATTATGATTAATATTGATATATTTAAAATGCGAACCAAATATATCATTGACATTGAATATGCTGGCTCCGCTCAATATTGCAAGCAGACAACTGCATTGTCCAACCCTTCTTGCAACGTTGCCACTTCAAAGGCCGCGGCCTGGAGTTAAAGGCGGCTGTGCATGTAGTCACTCATTCCTGTTAGATTAACGATTTAACAAAAATCCAAATTGTTAGTAGTCCTTGTACATACCTTGATCAAGAAATGTCCAGTTTTCACTATTGTTTATTGTAATGACTTTTCCATTAAAATGTATTATTTTGGAATAAAGAACTTATGACTTTCGTATGGTTGCCATTTTAAGGAGCCTAAATAACTTGCACGAGACGGTTAGTTAAGCAGACTAAATTAAGTAACCAAAAACATGACGTTTAGATCTTATTCTTGGTACTCACACAGATGAGATATCTCAAAAAATCATTGATTAATCCATGGTAGGCCTATCCATGTGAATTGCGCATTCAGAGTCTATGGTCTATATCATTAGATTTCCCATCCTTATGCAACAGCTGAAGCCAATTGTATTGTTAGTTCTGTCCGGTTTTCTGTAGATGTCATGTTTTGTTTACAATTTGTTAATATTATTTTAGGGTTAGTTTCTCATTATTTGTGCCTCACTGTTTTGTTATATAGCTAGTGAAGGAGTTATTGTTTATGATTAGATAGTTTTATTTTTGTTAAACGAGGTTTTAAATTACTGAAATAACAAGAAACAAATTGTAAACAAAACATGAAATCTACAGAAAACTGGATAGAACTAACAATAAAATTGGCTTCAGCTGTTCCATAAGGATGGGAAATCTACTAAGGGCACGGCCGCCTTTAACTCCAAGCCACGGCCTTCGAAGTGGCAACGTCGCAAGTGGTGTTGTAACAGCTGTTTTGTTTCGAAGCAGCTAATGGTATTTGTGTATTTACGAAATATTGGTTACTGGACTATGACAATATATTGACTCCGCTTAAAATAAACAGATATAGGATTTTTTATTCATATTTTTTTGTTTTTAATTCTGTATGTTTTATTTTAAATTTTTTAATAAATTTATGTTCATAAATTTAAATCAATTAAGTGCAAATTAATAAGGTGATGTCACCTGTCTGCCATGTTATCTTATGGTACGTCTGTCACTAAACAACACCACTTGCGACGTTGCCAATTCTGCCAGACCGCGGCCTGAAGTTAAAGGTGGCCGTGACAAGGGACTATGTTTTATCCATGTCTAAACATACAATTTTGAATACAAGATATTAGTTTACATAAACAATGACTCGGAGATATCTGATGTTTTTTAATAGCATTGACTATATATCTACACATAGATATAAAGTCAATGCTAATAGCTTTCAGCATCACTTTTTAGTAAATTTTCTTCATGCCAAATGGCCAGCTGTTCTATACTGCAAACTTCTTTTCTCCAGTTCACTCTCCTCAGTTAGTTCACTCACTGCCCTTTTTCTGCTTCTGGTTTATAGGTTAGATTATCGAAGTTGGAGATTATTTTAGCATTTTATTTTAGTTTAGTAGCAGTGTGTCGTCAAACATAACTTCTAACAGCTTAGTTATTATCTGTAGCTGGCTAATATTTTTACAGTCTTCGACTTCGACGCTCGTCGAACAACATTACCCACAATAAAAGATCAACTAAGTAAGTGTGTTAGTGTTACTTTCATTAAGAAGTGGCCTATCTCTCAATTATTGCAAAAAATATCGTAATGAAACAGTAGGTAACTTACTCAGTAAAAATGACACATTAAAGGGGGTTTTCCGAATTTAGTATTTTAATAATATTTTTAAATGGGAATTAATCAACAGGCTCTGAATATTCACTTCCTTAGGGCTTAAGACATTTATTCATCATTTTTACATATGTAATGCATAGACAGGTCAAATTGTTGGTAAATACATCTCGTATTCAGTCTTGGGTAAATAAATGTATAAATATATAAATAACAAGGAATTCAGTTAATACGGTCAATATAATACAAGAGTTAACATTGAAATTGAGCCACGAGCAAATAAATACAAAAGTTACAGACCATGGCAAGAGATTTAAAATTTTACAGTTATAAATTAAAAATTCGTGCAACTTATATCTAAATCACAGTTACATCCTATTTTAAATATTTTTTATTGACTTATCAGACATGCTACAAAAAATCTTCGATACGGTAGAGCGGATTGTTTACTATAAATAAAAACAGCCTTTTCTTAAAATTCTTAAAGTCTAAATCTGTCACAGCCAGAGGCAATTTATTTAAAACAGCCTGATACCCATCACAACATGTCCTGATCTTGTTTTTTCTAACCGTACCTGAGGCAGATCAATCTTTTTGCAGTTTCTGGTACTAATACTGTGCACTTCATTTCTCATTTTGTATTTAAAGCTATTCTTAAAAGTAAACAATAGTAATTGATGGATAAATATATAAGTTAATGGTGGTCAATATTTTTAATTGAATAAAAAGGGGCTTACAGTGTGCTTCACTATCCTCTTTACACATTATAAGTAGGCAAATATTTCAAGAGCCAGCTTCAGGTTACACTGTTTAACTTTAGCCTAAATACACATTTCCATTCTAGCTATGTTAACTATGGCCGAACCAAAATTCTAATTTTTTGTAGACCTTTGGAAAGGAAAGGCCATATTTTTACATTTAAAAGCCTTCACTAGGCCTATCTATTTAGTTTAACCCATTCGCTTAGGTATGGTTTTTTTTACCCGCCTAAAAAAATACATAAACAAAAAAAATAACATAAAACAAAACATAGGCCTAAACATAACATAAAAAAAAATACATAAAAATACAAATTTTTTTTGTTTTTAGGCCAAAACAAACAAATTTGTTGTGGGTAGTTTTTATTTCTGACTTAAATTTTGTTCTGACAACATTTACTATTAATAAGTATGTTATTATTTTCTTAGCCCTATTCAAAATTAAATGTAGATTCAAAATATGGTAGCCTAAGTATTAAAAAATATAAGTAGGCCTAAGTTACCTATAGTTTTTAACCATACCTTATTTAATTAAAATTAAAAATTAAAAAAAACTATTTTATTGGTAATTTTTAGCTACTTAGGACTCATATATCTTCTGGAACTGGTCTAAGGTCTTATAATAACTTACTGTAGGCTAAATGACACTTATAAAAACTCACCAAATGTCAATCAAAGTTCATTTTGGTGTGCCTTGAAACACTCACACACTGAGCTCACACTCCCAGTGGCTGTCACTGCGCTTTCCCTGGGCACTACACACCTTGCATCTTCTTGAAGGTGTTTGTTTGATGTCATTTGGAGGAGTATGCCTAGGAAAATGTCCCCAAGTTGCACCCTGGAGTCTCAGAGAAGTTTCTGTGTTAGATGACCGTCCTCTTCGATTGTACGGTGGCAGTTGTCGTAACTCAAACATCTGCTTGACAAATCTCTCCTTAAACTCACTGAACCCCAGTTTTTCTTGGTTAATTTTTTGAACACTTACATATAGGAGCTAAAAAGGCCAATGTCCATTATGTAATAAAATATCTTTTTAATATAATATTAAATATCTTTTTAATATAAAATATCCCTTAGCATACCTTCTCATACTAGGAAACGACGCTAATTGCTGATCCTCACGGTCAATTCCACCCATTGAACCATTGTAGAAGATCACTGGTTCTGGCTTTGTTATAATTACTTGGGTAACTCTGTCTTTCTTTCCAGTTGATCTTTTGTCAGCTTTTTGGTGAAAGGTGGACAAAATGCAAATTTGCTTCTTCTCCTGCCACCTTACTGCTATCATATCGTGGCTATAGGCTGTCTTATAGTCGTCGCGCAAATTAAGTTTACCCTCTTTGAAGCTCTCTGGCATGTTTGATCTCTACTAGTTAGCTGTTCCAATTACATTAAAACCTATTTTGTTTAAGCCAATAGAAGAGAAGAGGTGAGAAATTCCAATTATCAATTATCAGAGTATGTCCTTTTCCTGCCAAATCTTTTGTCATTTCAACGACTATCGCCTCACTCAGTAACAGCTTTTCCTCCTGTGCAGAATCCCCACTTCCTTCTTCAACTGGTTCATTTTCTTTTACTTCAGCTTCAGTATAGATCTTAAATTTAGAACGGTAGGCCTATCCACTTCCAGACATCTGCTTACGAAATAAGGGGTCTCAGTTACAGCATTAGGCAACCAGTAGGACTGTATGGTTTTTTTACTAACGACATAAGGACACAAAGCGTATAAAAACAAGCCATCTCATCTGCAGTTGTGTCAAACCATTCTAAGGCCAATATAGTCTCTGTTGCGAAATGTTGCCAAAAGTAATTCTCAAGAAACGCATAAACGTCTAGCTCAGAGGGAGCTGAGCCTAAACTTCTATCCAAACTTGCCCTAACACCTGGACAACCAGTAAAAGGGATTTTATTAATTATTATTTTCTATGCTAATGCTAGTGGTCCACTGCCAACCCTCCTTTTTCTTCTTTTTTGGTGGAGCTGTCTCATTACTAGTCTGAGTTTTGGACTTTTTAGTAGGCTTAGATGGTAGTGAAATAGGATTTTCGCCTCTAGACCTACCTTTTCCTCTAGACCTGCCCCTAACAGGTTTACTTTTAGGCCAGGGTCAGGGAAGTTAGGGTCGTCAGCTTCCTCACTCGGTGTAGGCGAGAGAGCAGGCACGCTTGAAGATGCAAGCTGGTCAAATAATTCAGGCCTACTAGGCATATCTGAATCAAATTGGACATTTGGAGGGGTCATATCTAGGCCTATGCCTGGCACTATCTGTATTATTTATAGGCCCTTGGGTGGGGGAGCAAGGTGGGCTAGTAGTTAGAGCTCGGGACATCAGTCTAAGAGGGTCCCGGGTTCAAATCCTGCCAAATCACCAATGAATTTTATCTAAATGATAATGCTGCAACCCCTAGGTCTAGCCTGAAGTAATGTAAAAAACAATCCCAGGCTCGTGCCTAGCGTCCTAGGAAAAAAAAAAAAATACCCCCGCCGCAGGAAACCTGCAGACTAAGCGAATTTCCATTTGCCTGATTGGATTTATACTAAAATGTATCCTTAAAAATATCACATTTATTCCCTATTTAAATAGAATTAGTTTCACGAGTACTTAGGTTTGCTACAACAGGGAGGGTAAAAAGGTGTTTTTTTGTAAAATGTTAGTAGTTTAGTATGAAATGAATGCATTTTCCAAATTTGATCAAAATGTGATCATTAACAAGCAAACTACAACAGTTTACTTATTCTCCATAAGAATAACATGGGAATTTTAAATTTACAGTTTTTTGGAATTTCCTCCGTGACCATTAAGCGCATAATAACTCTTCAATATACTAAATTATTTGTTTTTTTAAGCTCTACAAAATGGTTTTGGAAAGAAAATGCTAAATTTTAAGTTTTTAGGGTGAAAAATGGGAAAACCCAATTTTTGCCCCATAAAACCCCCATAAACCCCTGTTCCCATAGTCCGATCATGCTGGTTCGCGAACTCATTCGAATAAACGTAGGTTTACAGGTTTGTACCAAATTTTATCAAAATCGGATGATTTTTGCTCGAGTTATCGCGCTAACGGACACATATATAAATATATATATATGAATTTAAACGGACGGTGTTTTTGGTCTCTAGGGACCTCAAAACGAAAAAGTAAATCGGTCCCGGGTCCAGGTCTTACCATGAGTACTACGGTAATAGCTTATTTCCTATATGGGAAATTCGCTAAAAGAGTAGGCCTACTTAAGGGAAACCAGGGTCGTCAGCTTCCTCACTCGGTGTAGGCGAGAGAGAAGGCGCGCTCATTTCATCATTGGGTATAACCCATTAAGAAACTGAACTGATTTATGCAATTCTTCATCACGTTATGGAGAAGATACATTCTAATCTAAAATATTTCAGGCCTACTAGGCAAATCTGAATCATATTGGACAGTTGGGCATCTGGAAAGGTCATAGGCCTAGCATAGCTGCAAGAAGGCTGTTCAAGCAACAACTGGTTACTTTCTAAAGGCCTAGGCCTAACACAATAATTGATAATGGTTACGAATTGGTACATCGTTGAAGAGTTCACACGAGCGATCGGGTAGTCGCGCTTCAGCTCGCATTCTACCCATTGTTCTCATTGTTCAACAGTGATGGATCCGAGTGGTTTTGATATCGATATCTTCATCTAGTCCGTGGACATGTCGCTCGTGTGAACCGGAGTATCCTGTGGTCCGCTACCCAGTCGGGTTTACCTAGTCACAGCCTAGTCGCCTAGATAAGTCGCTCGTGTGAACCAGGCCTTAGATTGATCCAAATCATCATCATTACTCCAACCCTAGGCTAATAATTAGTTATGCCTAAGTTAATAGCCTTAATAACTCAGTCATTATAGCAACGAATAAGTAAAATACTGATGAAAACTGACACTAAGACACTTTGTAACTTATTTCTTAATTTGACAACTGCTCTGCATGAAAAATGTTTGACTCTTCCAATACATTTGTAATATGTCTACTGGAAATAAACATGTCTTATGTCTTATGTCTTATGTCTAAGTAAATTCTATCACTTATTTTATAAGATAACTACCGTACACTTTTCAATAAAATAATAAAGTAAAACAAGACTGCAACAGAAGGTTCATATCGTCAAAGTAAATACAACAACGTATCAGCTGTGAAACCAGTGTAGACGTCGTCAACTGCTAAGTTGCAACATTTCAACTTCTGTTTTTTTGCCAATTGGACTGGACAAAGAGGACGAAAATATAACCAAAAGAAAGCCGTAAAATTGTAGAACAAGAAGCATAGGCTATGCGATCTATTGGATTTGTGAGGAACTAACTCCGCACAAACAGGTTTTAATAGCGGACGGCCATTCGCCGCCGCTTCACACAATTTTTAAGCGAAGGGGTTAAAATTACCATGATAGACCCGAACTGTAGTATGAATAGTATATTTCATTACTAGGACCGAGAGTGGCATTTTCCGACGCGCGCTCAAGTTTCAAGTGTGAGGCAAAGCCGAGCACAGGAAAACCAAATTTCACGTTCGAGGCTAAGCCGAGCATGTGAGAGTTACTTTCACGTACGAGGCAAAGCCAAGAACGGGAATAATGGAGCAAGTGCCAAAAAATAGCTTTCGGTACGAGTTATGAACGATACTTTTCATCATGACGCAAATACACACATTCAGAATAACATGTCTCAGCAGTATTAATATAGTTTTAGACTATTCTTTATCATTGAAAATACACTTCACAACGTACATATTATATGGTTTTATATGATTGTAGATTGTTTGGATAAATATATTAATAAATACTTTGTCACATACTTTAATTGACTTAATATTTTGTACTACTAGCTTCTAAGCTTTCTATATTCCTCTTCTTATCTTTCCCGTGATTTATCTGGTGGAAGGTGATTAGTTACCTCTGAAGCTGTTTTAATCAAATCATCAGTAATGTTAGACATACTTTGAGCAATTTCAAACATGCACTATGCTAAAATACAGCAATACAAACTAATACGTGTTCTGTATAGATTTAGATTGTGCAATAAAAACAACTGATTTAAATCATTAAAACAACTAACAAAACACTAGCGCGCATAGTCAATAAATGGAGAACTAATTGAGAGCGAGGGAAAATCAGCTGATCGTTTTTCCCTTGTTCTAAATTAGAGCTTGGGAAAGAACTACTTTCTTCCAAATCAGCTGATATCTAAAATAGTTACTTTCAGTAATAGCCCAGGCAAATTAGACATATGCTCCCCAAAAAATCATCTAAAGCTGGAAAGTGTTTTAATACCTTTTGGGGGTCCCAAATAAGACTCCTGTGAGTTTGAGACGGATTCTGACGTCTGCTTAAGTTTTGGAAGTCGAAAAACTATGAAAACTTTGCACTTTTTTCAGTTTTTCGATTATAACTCCTAAATAACGAATCCTAAGGAAAATGTTGTTCGAAGGTGTCTTTTAGTGCATTAAATTCTGCGTCGATTGATGTTAAATACGTCAAAATCGGCCGAGCCGTTTAGCCGCTGTAGCTTTTCAAAGTTGGGATATTTTCATCAACATGGCCAAAAGGTTGATTATTTGACCAGTTTTCGACTTACAACTCCTAAACGACGCATGCTATACAAAAATGTGCCTGTAGTTAATTTGAAAAACACAAATTTTGCGTAGAATTATGATTATGAATGACTAGATAGTGGTTTATTTCATGGTTATCATCCAGAGGTTTATCCAAGAATGTGTGAAGGGAAGGGTAGCAAGACCCCCTATGCAATTTTAAATCTAATATTGTTGAGGGGGTTACAAAAATTCTAGGATTCGTCCTAAGCTCCCATTTATACGATCCCATCTCTGGACACTCCCGAATGATGTTAAGCGATTCTAATATATAATAAGATATTACAACGAGAAAGATTTTATTAAATATAGCAAAAATGTTATTTTTTAGCTTAATAAACGAAAGATGATAATGGGACGGATGTACATAGTTTTACTATGTATTTAGCCTATTAAAAAAAAACTATTGGGATTTTTTGTAGATTTTACCATATAACTTTTCTACTTATTACTTACATTGGAATCTTAAGAATAAGGATTCATTCTTTGCTCTTAATGGTCTTGCCACAAATGGTGACATTCGGTACCATCTTTTTCGTCAGATATCGAATTGAGATAATCGTGCCCCTTGCAAGTCTTTCAGACAGTAGTGCATTATATCCCTGCATTTCATATGGAGCGAGAAAATGTTAACCTTTTTAACATGTACACGATGGTCGAGATAGGTAGACGGAGTTGAGAAGTTCTTTACGAACCGATGGATTAGCCGTAGTGATGGGAGTTAACCCATTGACGTTAATTTTCCATACCTATCTCTCTGAATTAAGTACAATTTTAAATGAGCTCTAAAGGATTGGTGGATGAGCAGCCCCTTTTATTAGAATCAAAGTCAAAATTAGTTGAAAGTGTCCTCTAGAAGAGACCAACCCTCACTTGATTTGGATATTTTCTGCTCCCAACCTGCTATAGGGCCAACCTGCTTCTGCAACTTCGCCAAGCGTTGTAACCCATTAGAACACAGTGAGATCCACATTGATTGGAGTAAACAGCATGAGTAGTTTTAGGCTACATGAATAGTTAGATTTTCGACTCTTCTACATCACGCTTTCTTCATCAAACTGCGCTAGTGGGTACGGACCTATTTGTAATCCAAAGTATGATTCAAATTGAGGCTTGGATTTAATGTGGAATATCACGTGTTGACTGAGGGGGCAGATTCTTCTTTAACCTTTGCTGTTGCCATCACAGCTCGCGATTAATTTCACCACTTCCTTTTATTCTGCACAGTTTATGGTCATTATAGGCTTGCCTATTTACGATTTTCTTGCAAGCTGTGCCTTTCCATTATGCTTTATACATATCTCGCGTTGATGCTATCATATGGGATAACTGCTGAGCTGATTGACATGAGCGAACTATTTTCAGTAAATGGGTCGTGACACTGGAACCATTTGATGAATTTCTTTTTGATCCCACCGTATCGGTGGAGTTTATATTGTCAACTTGCTGATAATATGTTGAAGAGGTGATCCCACAATATACCTTAACTTGATGGGTAGCATTCACTGTGATGGGCCTGCCAGCGAACAATCGGGCTAGATCCACATCATTGATTCCCCTATCTCGGAAACAGCTCTCCACAGTAATATGTTGATCTCATGAGCACTTACTTGTTCATAGGCACGATCCATGACGTCACACTAGTGGATAGATTCACTGCCATATCCCCTATGTTTTTGGTAATTAGGCTGGTTGTTTGCCAGATTTCAATGGTAAGATTTTAAACTTGACAAGCATCTGATCTAGTGTTAACAATCAATAGCGGTTAAATGGTGAAGCCGATCTTAATGAATTGGAAAACATTCTACGCAGACGTTTATGCTCTTCAAACTAACTACAGGAACATTTTTTCTATAGCATGCGTTAGAAGATGTAAGCCAAAAACTGAAAGATGAATACAGGGATAGATCGTATATAATGGGTGGTTGGGATGAATCCTAGAATTTTCGGAACCTCAGACAACAATATTAGACTTAAAATTGCATAGGGGGTCTTACTCTCTTCACACCTTATTAGATAACCCTCTGGATGGCCATCATGGAATAAACCACTATCTAATAATTCATAATCCATTTAAGGACAGGATCTATGTTGTTACCAATTTTATTAAAATTTCCCAACTTTAACTTTAATACTTTTTTTCAATGAAATGGCGTCCATAAAAAGTAGGTAACAATCAATTGCCGTTATTGATAAATAAAAAAAACATTATACGCAGAATTTTGTGTTTTCCAAACTAACTACAGGTGCATTTTTGTATAGCATGCGTCGTTTAGGAGTTTTAAGCCAAAAACTGGTCAAATAATCAACCTTTTGGCCATGTTTATGAACATATCCCAACTTTGAAAAGCTACAGCGGCTAAACGGCTCGGCTGATTTTGACGTATTTAACATCAATCGACGCAAAATTTAATGCACTAAAAGACACCTATGAACAACAATTTCCTTAGGATTCGTTATTTAGGAGTTATAAGCGAAAAACTGAAAAAAGTGCAAAATGTTCATAGTTTTTCGACTCCCAAAACTTAAGCAGACGTCAGAATCCGTCGCCAACTCACAGGAGTCTTATTTGGGACCCCCAAAAGGTATTAAAACACTTTCCAGCTTTAGACGATTTTTTGGGGAGCACACCCTATATTTGATCTAATTTGCCTGGACTATAATAAGAAGTGATGAAAATTACTTTCGCATGTTATTTTTTAGCCTAATGCTGACCTTAAATCCAAGCGTACTATCCATTTAAAAATTAGTTTATAAAGAGGATAGAAGCTAGGACAGAACTAACCAACAGTAAGTTACCATCCACCAAAAATTACTTTCCCTGACTTGTGATACGCCCATTGAATTACCGGTAGGCCTATTTTAAACTTAACAGGAAACATGATTAGGCCAAAGAAGACACTCTGTAACATAAAGTTAACATTACTCGGCATGTTTAATAAAAACTACTTGATTGCTGTTCTTGTTACGATTCAGGAAGATATTTTTACTTGTTGCAGATAACAAATGGATTTTGAAGAATCGCCAGATACATTAGGACCTGAAACTTCACCATCTCTTGAACTAAATAACCAACCAACTATAACAGAAGTATCAAACAATTCTAAAGATAATCATGATGAAAAACATAATTGGTAAGAATGAAATATGACGTTATTAAGTTCTGAGCTATGTCCTGCTAGGCTTAAATATGTTATTGAAATTGTTGTCTGCAATTGTTCTTTTTAGCAATGAAATTTATTTATCATCCTAAGAAAAGCCCTTTGTTAATTATAATACAGATAACCACTTAAGTTAGAATTTTTATCAGTTCACCCTGTTTTGGATAATGAATTCAGGATATCAAATTATGAATTCAGATTTGGAGGTTTCAAAACAGAAGTATCTTATGAAATTACATGTTGCAGCTTAAATCAATGAAAATGTTGTATCCAAGCATTGTGTTCTACTTGAAATATTAAACTGTCAAGAATTGTATTTGGATTTTATAATTCAAAATTACATTGATCTGTTATTTCAATGAAGGTCCGTTTATGTTTTCAGGCATGATGAGGCAGCGTGCTTTTCAGACTCAAGTTTTGCCATTCCGCTTCCCCCTCCCCCCGCCCTCAGCCATGCTGCTAGCTGGCTAACTGAGACTGACCCTGACTTTGCGAGGCCGGACCTAGGAGACGACTTGGAAGCTTTGTTCTCATCTCCTGATACAAGGGTTGATCATCTCGGAGACTTGATTGGTAAATTCTCTACATTCAACAATCTGTATTATCAGCTCAAATACCACTCACTCATTCATTCATTCATTCACTCACTCATCACTAAATCTCAGAAACCATAAGACCTAGGAACCTGAAACTTGGCAGGCATCTTCCTTTTGGGTAGTAGACGCTCACTAAGAAAGGATTTTACCCTCCGACCTCTGGGCTCCGCCCCAGTGGCTCTGGAGATTCCCATGTTAACCTTATGAGAAATGGAATTAATTAATCTTAACAGCTATTTCAATTAAACAAGTTGGTTCTGTTCTATGATGTTCAATAGCATTAAAGTTACAAGGATTACCAACAGGGTGCAGCACTATTATTTCTTTTACATTGATGACAACAGCTAATTTGCAACCAAAAGGTGAGTGAGCGTAGCGAAAGAAACTTCAACCTAGACGTGATTGAGCCATGCGAACGAGATCATCTTGAAAATTAAGAAGTTAAACGGGGCAAAGCCCGCGGGTTACAGCTAGTCTAGTCATATAATTGAATTTATCTTTAAATTGAGTCAATGTGAAACAAAGTCTCGATCCATTTGACTCCGCACATTTCACAAGGCTTGAATTAAAATAGAATAGGCTTAATGAAGTCTTAACCTTTCACACATTTATGATTTACTTAAGTTTACTGACTTGTATTTTTTTTTTCGCAATTATATTATTAACATTTTCCTCTCATTAAACAGAACCTTTTTGATAATTAGTTGCACAAGCAACTACTGATAAAACTAGGTTATATTTTAAAGGGGGGAAATTGGCCAGCAGGAAATGTTTTGAAAAGGAATAGTGTTCAGACAGCTTACCTGAGAAAATTAGAGTCAAGGGACTAGGCCTAATAGATACTCAAATACACAATAAAAGAAGACAGACCATAACACTGATATTTTGTCAAGAAGTAGGACTTCAACAGAGAATTTGTTAGAGCTAGAAAATGTCATTCCTTTTTCAAACATTCCCTTTTGATAAAACCATTTGTGGGATCTGGGGGGAGCAAGTCCCCCCCCCAATATTTTACTGGTACCTATACATTTTTATTCCTCCGTTTTCTTTAACCAAGTTACAGTAGTGTATCCAATAAATAATTTTAGTCCAGCTCTCCTGGAAATATTTAGAAGTTGACATCATGGTGTCTAAAAGAATATTTCACAATCAATGTTGTACGTGCAATAAATCATATAAATCAGAGTAGGGTGTTCGAAAGCGGAGGGAAATTTGTGGTGGGTGGAGGGTCAGTTGGCGAACCTTTGCGGGTTACTCGATTGCTTCTGTTTGGATGAGAATGAGAGGGAAGAATGCGTAGTTCACACTCACTTATTTTTGTGTACGTTTGTGAATGATGTTTAGTTGTCATTGGTGATTGTATTATTTTGAAGCTATTTTTACGATAACATGGTAAGTAGCCTACTTTACTGTATTACCGTCTTATTTTGTTGTATAGCCTATAGATTGGCTTGAATTTTTTAAATGCAAGTGAGGGACACGGCCTAAACACAGCTATTTAGTTGCCCGAGGATTTCTTAACCATAGCTTGACAAACGGGCCCCCACATTCCTGAGCCATGAGTTTCAAAAAGCACCTGACTAAATATATGTAACGTGATGTCAGGTTGATCAATGTAGTGAAATAGCTGGGCTGAGAACTCAGAACTACACTTTCTCTATGTAAATAAAGAAATATTGTCTATTGTCTACACTAATCCCTCACGGTTCCTTCTTTTCCCGTTTCCGCGGTCCGCACGGCTCAAGGTCAATGAAGTAATATTCTCATAGACGGGCGGCGGATGTATCCGCCGTTTTCCTACTTATTCGCACCATTTATTTTGTCCTTAAAAACAAGTAAATTGTTATTTAGATAGTATGAAATGTTCCATTGTGTTTATTCGATGTATGCAGTTATAAAAAAAAAACACAAATAATAAAAATAAATTTTTTGTTGTTGTTTAATTTTGCCCGTCTTAGGCCATAAAAGGCGCCCGTCCAGGAAGGGTTAAGATACACTTGGTTCATAAAATTTGTTTCTGAAATGTTGATTTGATGTAATTGAAATATGATTCAATTTCTTGTAATTAGACTTTGAAAGCAAAAATCGTAGTTATAATTTACTCTAAATTTCTCCTAACAGATTATTCATGCTAAAACTAAATAAACTTGACTTACTCTCTATTTATACAGGCTTTCTTTTAGCATCAATTCAGTTGCTCTTCTAGAGCTGTTCTTATTGGAGATATATTCAAACTTAAAATAAATCAAATGGTCAAAAATATGTGTTCCATAACAGCATTAAAATATGTTAATACTATTTTTTAACAATGAAAAACTTTGTTATTGGATCATTTTTGATTAATTTGAATTTTACATCGATTGTGAGTTAAAACAAGTTTTTTACGTTAAAATCCCAACAACATTTACTTTTTAATCTAGCCTAAAAACAGCCTTAAAATTCAGTATTGGAGGGTAAGGCCAGGCGCGCACTATCCTGACCACGACCCGACCAAGGCAACGAATGTTTTAAAAACTTCAGTGTCAAGATGAATGTTGAAGAAGTAGCTGCTGTGGTGCATTTTAACGTAGGTACGTTAAGCGGAAGAAGAAACGATACTGGGTACATCCAATGTTAACTGTCAGGTCTACAAAAGGGCAGTTTGCTACGTTTTATGAAGAGCTACGTCAATATGAAGATGGGGTTTTTAATTACACAAGAATGTCTGTTAAAAGCTTTGATGAATTACATAGAAAAGTTGCTGGTGAAATCAGTGGTGAAATTTAACTTTCCGTGTCAAACTCCTGTGACATTTTACCAATAACTCACTTCACTGACCGGCGCAAAAAGCAAGTGCTCAACGTTTGATTGATCTAGGAATACTGGGGGTTGAGTGGTGTACTGGTCGGGTCGGAGGCAAGTCGGGGGTAGTGCGCGTCATCCCATTACATTGTGTGCTATTTTTGGCTGCAACGACCAGCGGGTCGGGCCCGACCAAACTGAACAATTTTGGTCGTGTGACCAGGGTCCGACCAGGGCCCGACCAGTCGACCAGTGCGTGCTGTTCCATTTATTCCTATTGTAAAACTGGTTGTATCTGACCAGTTGGAGTTGTGGTCGTGGTCGTGGTCGGGATAGTGCGCGCCAGCCCTAAATTCTACAAATTTTCCCTGGACCCTCCCCCCTCCACCTGCAGGGTTTTGCATCCTCCCAAGACCCCCGGTATGTTTGCCCCCTCAATGACACCTTCCAAATACCGCCTATGGATTTACAACTTAGTAGACATTCCATCCCCATGTTGGAGTTGTTGCCAGTCTTTTAATGAATTGAGCCACCGAGTGTGCTGATGTAAATGACTGACATTTAAAACAAGTCAAACTGAAAGGACGACTTGTTGTATGCATCAGTTTTGTCATGTCAACTAACTCAGTAACACAAGGTAAGGTAGAAAATATAATTTTAGACACTCAATAGCTCATTTATTTAGCTAGATCAACAATCTACATGCAGCCAAGTCAACTTAACTAAAACTAACTATTAACTAACTTGTTACATATACATTATAATATACACACTATCAAACTCTTTGAATTTCTCATTCACCTATGACCTTTTTTAATAAAGGAATGGCTACAGCTAGTCCATATAGGTAGGGGATGTCTACTTCAGTATCCAAAAGTCAACTATATGACTTAGAAAAACTAAATAAGAACTGTCATTTTGTGTAGATGTAGGTGCAGAGGCAGGCGTCTGCGGTCTACGTAACCTGGGCAACACATGTTTTATGAGCACGGGGGTACAATGTCTGGTGGCCACCCCTGCCCTAGTACACTGCCTACTGCGACAGCTGCCGCCTACATTGCCCTCGAATAGTCTTACCAGTCATCTGTCTGTACTGACACACAAAATGTGGAGTGGGCAGTACAGTACCGTGCAGCCGACGGACTTCAAGGAGATGCTGGGCACACATTATCCTCAGTTCAAGGATTTTCGACAGGTGAAAAATTAAGCTGATATTTTTTGTTCTCTGGATTGTTTGGTTCAATTTATCATTTATTGTAGACAGGCTACATTATCTACTATTGTCTAGGATCATGTTTTATTTCAAGTTCTATAGAGGTAGCCTACACCAGAGTACCACTAATGTGAACTAATTGCAAAATTGCAATCATTTCTTACAATTGGGGTTTTCTTACTGCAGGACAGATGTAAAATAGAACCAACAAAACACCATTAAAGAATGACCGCTTGACCATATGCAATTGGCAACAATTCCATATAATAAAATCCGTAGTAGGATACCTGTATCTTGAAATGAAGACCACAGTTTTTATTATTTAAAGTCCACGGACACTTTAATTTTAATTTTAGGTTGCTATATGCCAAAATATGCGTTGTTGTAACTTGTATTTATCTATAAGCGTGTGTGATTTCCATGTAACTTTACACCCTAGTTTGTTGTAAAATACAGGGTGTATACCAACCGGGAAAACCGGGAGAACCGGGAAATAACCTTGAATTTGAAGGGACCTGGAAAAACCCGGGAAAAAGTCCGGAATTTTTGGACAGATTCCGGGATTTTTATTTTAGCCCCGGTAGAAGATTGTAGTCGTAAAATGCGTCTTGCCGCGATTGCGGGCGACGACGATGACGTTTCCGTGACCGCGGGAGACGACGATGACGTTTCCGTGACCGCGGGAGACGACGATGACGTTTCCGTGACCGCGGGAGACGACGATGACGTTTCCGTGACCGCGGGAGACGACGATGACGTTTCCGTGACCGCGGGAGACGACGATGACGTTTCCGTGACCGCGGGAGACGACGATGACGTTTCCGTGACCGCGGGAGACGACGATGACGTAGACACGGCCGCGTGAAATATTCATGATTTTGCCGAGATTGCGGACGACGACGATGACGTTTCCGTGACCGCGGGAGTCAATGATGGTGTCTACACAGCCTCGGAACATTTTCGTTATTTTGCCGTGATCGCGGTCGATGACGATGACGTTTTTGACCATGGGAGTCAATGATGATATCCACACGGCCGCGGAAGATTTTCGTGATTCTGCCGCGATCGTGGATGACGATGATTGCGTTTCCGTGATCGCGAGAGACGGCGATAATGTATACATACCGCGGGAGATGTCCATGATTTTTCTATGATAACGCAAGACTGTGATGTGATTTACGTCACTGTGGGAAGCGACCACACGACCGCAGGAAATATTCAGGATTTTGCTGCTATCGAGAGAGACGATGTTTCCGTGGCCTTAAGTAATGATGATAATGAAAATTATTACTATAATAAGGATTATTACTTTTTCAACACTAGCTCACTGGACTTTGAAACAAATTTGATTTAAGTTTATATTGTATACTTAAGCTGCAAGTCTTAAAATGATTATAGTTTAAGTGGAACCAAACAAATACGCGGGAACCTGGAAAAACTTCGAAAAACCAGGAAAAAACCTGGAAAAAACCTGGAATTTCACTTTAATAAAATAGTATACGCCCTGAAAATAGTATAAAATAATTGAGAAACGTCTGAGGTTTAATATAAATTACTGTACCAATATTTGTTTGCTGGTGTTGTCAACGACTTTTGACTGATGTTTCGAAACTGTAGTGTATACAATGCACCATAATGTTATCATTGTTACGATATACAGGGTGGTAAAAAAGTCCCAGGACAGTTAAATATTTTAAAAAATAATGTAGATAGAGCTACAATACTTGGTACAAAGTTACAGGGCATACAACTCTATTTTAACACATATTCAGTGATCCAATAACTCTTCAGGGGGACAGCCCACAAGGAGTCGGAAGAAAATCTTAAATGGTAGCATTGGTCAATATGCACATCAAATTAAAGGTCTTTTTTAGTAGAATACAATGCCGCAAACCGCACTTCAAAAGGTTGATCCTGCGCAAAATGGCAGAAGAATTTGGTCAAGTTAACTTCAAACAGTGCGTGTGAGGGTGAACATTAATGCCGCTTGATGAACTTTATTGATAACTTTGGAACTTTATTAAATGTCAAGATGTCGTTCATCGGTGCGATCGGTCCATTTGATAGTACAGAAGAAACGTGGGACTCCTATATCGAAAGTCTTGAGTTGTTTGTTATATTTAACGAAATTAGCAACGCTAAAAAAGGTTAGTACGCTTTTGACGGTTGTCGGAGTGAAAACTTATAACCTGCTTAAAGACCAACACCAGACAAACCAGCTACTAAGAGCTACGATGTTATTGTTAAGGTTATTAAGCTTTATCCAAAACCCTCTTTTATCGCTGAAAGGTACAAGTTTAGCCTCCGAACACAATTAGAGCACGAATCAGTCGCTGATTACATTGTAAACCTGAAGAAACTCTCTGTGAAAAGCGAGTTTAAGGACAAACTACCGGATCATTTTCGGGACAGAATCGTGAGTGGTTTGAGGGACGACACTACCAAGAAGAGGTTGCTGGGTGAGGAAGACCTCACCTACTAGAAGACGGTCCAGATAGCTACGTCGATGGAGTTGGCAGCGAGAGACACCGCGGCCCTGACCTACCACAACACAGGGGGAGGAAGTCGCCTCCACAACGTCGCTTTGTAGCAGCAGCAGCAGCGGAAGCCGTGGCAGCGCTCAAAAAGTGAAGTAAAGTGTTATTGTTATTGTTGTGGTAAATCTGGTTATTTAAAAAGTGAGTGACGTTTTAAAAGTTTATCTTGCAATTTTTGTAAGAAGAAAGGCCATTTAGAAAGTGCGTGTATGATGAAGAAAAACAATGGTGAGTCTCAATCTAAATTTGTATTTAATTGATTATCGTAAAGATGGACAAAAGAACTTTACACCTAAGTTTACCCCTGGTAACAAGTCTCATAAGTATAAGCAAAACTATGTAGAGAACGCAGGGTGCAATGTCAATGACGATGATTATAGTGATTTAGCTAGCTTATTTTCCATAAATGATGAGGAAACTAAACAGAGGGATAGAATAAAACCTATCACGGTTGATATTAAAGTAGAACATACTGTATTGCCATTTTAGGTTGACAGTGGAGCATGGTGTTACAACGATAATTTCTCTGATCTCGAATTATTGCCCACCAATTTGGTTTTGAGCTCTTACACAAACCAGCCAATAAAACCTGTAGGAAAACTTAACGTAATTGTACAGCATGAAGCTGAGCATAAAAAGTTAACATTGTATGTTGTGTCTAAAGGGGCTAATCCTCTAATGGGAAGAGACTGGATTAGGAAACTAGAAATATTGATCCGAATCGACTGAATCCCTAAAGAAAATTGTTTGAATACGGTTTAAAAGCTAGATCAAAAACCAGTAATTGTCAGTAAACTGTACAGTAAATTTCCTGACGTATTTACTGATGCATTAGATTGTTACAAGGGAGAGGCAGCTAGATTAGAGTTGAAGGAAAATGTAATTCCTAAGTTTTTTAAACCCAGATCCAAACCATTTCCAATCAAAAGTAAAGTGGAGTTTGAGATTGATCGATTAGTAAATAATGGGATTTTAACTCAAGTTAGCAACAGTGAATGGGGAACTCCAATTGTGCCTATTTTGAAAAAAGATGGAAGTATTTGAATATGTGGTGATTTTAAAATAACGCTGAACCCCTATTTAGTATTCAATCGCCACCCGATTCCAAGGATTGAGGACATTTTTTAAAATTTACAAAAAGGGGAGACGTTTTCAAAAATGGATCTTTTTTAGGCTTACACTCAGGTTAAGTTAGATGATGAATCAAAGAAATATTGTATAATAAGTACATCTAAAGGATTGTCCCATATTTACAATCGCGTTCCAGTTGGTGTAGCATCCGCCCCGGGAATATTTCAGAGTATAATGGAACGCATTTTAGCTCACATTCCCGGCGTTGTTTGCTTCCTAGACGATATTTTGGTAACAAGAACTGACGACAAACAGCATCTAGAGAGGTTGATTCAAGTGTGTGAAACTTTAAAGAATCATGGTTTAACAGTACCAGTCAAAATAAATGTCAGTTTTTTTTTGTAAATCTGTTGAGTATTTAGGGTACATTTTAAGTAAACAAGGACTAGGCACATCTCCTAGTAAAATTGAAGCTATTGTAAACGCCCCAGTGCCTACCAATGTAACTCAGTTAAAAGCTATTCTAGGTTTAGTTAATTATTATTCTAAATTTGTGCCAAGTATGTCTACCATTGTATCCCCACTGTATCATTTACTCAGAAAGGACACTCCATTTGAATGGAATTTATCATGTGACAAAGCGTTTCAATTAATTAAGAGCAAATTAGATTCAGCTCCTATTTTAGCGCATTATAACAAAAATTTACCTTTGAGGTTGGCTACTGATAGTTCCGCCTCAGGGTTCGGAAGTGTGTTAAGTCAAATACAATCAGATGGATCTGAAAAATCTGTCAAGGACATTGTCCAAAGCCGAATCAAACTACTCTGTAATGGACAAAGAAGCTTTAGCTAGGTATTGTGTTTGCTGTTAAAATATGTAATCAGTAATTGTTTGGCAGAAAATTCACACTCACAACAGACCACAAACCATTGTTGTCAATTTTTGGCCCTAAAAAGGGACTTCCGGCAATGGCCGCTAGCAGTTTACAGCAGAGGTATTCTCTATTTTTAGCCAGCTATGATTTTGACATACAATATGTTTCCTCTCAGGGAAATGCTTCTGCATAATGTTTAACTCGCTTACCTTTACAAGCTAAACTTGTTAACGAACAGTAGGCCTATGAGGAAAATCCTTATGTAGGAACCTATTTGCAGTTTTTAGCGGAGAGAGATATTCCAATTAATTTTATAAAAGGTATAAAATTACCTGAGTACTGCCAGAGTGATCCTGTTACTGTAGTCCTTACGGATAACGTGTTTCGAAGACTAAGTCTTCATCATCAGATCTTGTACAAGAACATTAAAACACTGTCACTTTGAAAAGGTCCTCAAGAGTTTAAATACAAAAACACGGACACAAATCATATACAAACATAGACGTTTTACGAATAAAACCGAGTAGGCCTACCGACGAAAACTTACAATGTCCGACCGCACAGTTCACATGTAACTGTGTGGTCGGACATTGTAAGTTTTCATTGTTAGTTGCTCGCAATGTCTCATGGATTGTCAAGGTCATATGTACATGTATGGGAATACCCAAAATCAGCGTGGCAACGAAAGTTTTTAAAAGCTGGGGTTAGGCATACGCTTACACCACCTTATTTTCCCGCTAGTAATGGCCAAGCGGAAAATGCTGTAAAAACAGTAAAGTAAAGAATAAGAGGGGATTTGTGTCCAAATGAAAATCCAGACTTAGCTTTAAGTAGATTTTTGTTGGCATATCGAAATGCAGTACATAATACAACCGGTATATTATTGCGAACTAAATTAGATTTAATACGTCCTTCAATTTCTATAACATGCAATAGCATTAAAAAGTTATAATGTTTACCAACAGGGTGCAGCACTATTATTCTTTTTGCATTTATGACAAGAGATAATTTGAACTACAAAAAACAGTGATACATTATGAAAACTGTCAAGAACCAAATGTTATCAAACTGTGTCCTCCTCCATTGCAAACGCAAAGCTTGAGTATAACTGCAATAAGCAGGACGGGTACTCTGCTAGTAAATATATAAACATGCAAAAACACATACATAACAAATCACGATCAAAGTTTGCACTACTATCCTAATCTGATCGGTCCCAGTGACGGCAGTAAATTCTACATCCTACGAAGATAACGCTATCTTCGTTTGCTATCTGTTATGTCCGTGTTTTGTGTTGTGTTATGTAGGCCTATTAATATATTTATTTGTTTCGACATGTTGCACGCTATGACAATGTTTTGCTTGCAGCAAAACTAGTCAGCACCTGTTGATAAAAACATTGGATTATAAACAGAAGTAAGATATTATATTTTTACTTTGTGTACAAATAGCCTAAATATCCTGTTGTTGACAAATGTATCGGCTGCAATTCCAACTTATTTAGAAGCAATTTGTGGTTAAGAAGAAGCTTTTGGCAACACACTCACGACTCTTGATTTACAACTCTTGGCCATTCTCTTATCTACCGCTCTTAACATAAACATTTCCACCATGCTGTAGCTTTTGTAGGGGTACCTTACTGGCTAAATCTTAGTTTTTTTTTATATTTAGAATTCTTTATTTATTAGAAACCTTGACAATGTAACCTACCTGTGTACTACGTAATGTGTATTACGTTTGTAATAATTGTAACAGATGTTATGTCCAAAGAAGAATTGTTATTTGTCATTTGGTATGCATAAACTACATGTGAGAAAAATACACGTAATAAAACTAAATAAAGCAACGTAGCTGGCAGCTGATTATAGCTATCAAGTTTGTATTTTTTAGCATGACTGCCAGGAATTCCTCGCGTTGCTGCTAGATGGCTTACATGAGCAAATGAACAGTTCCTGTCTTCAAAACAAGCTTCACAAAATACTTGATGCTGTAAGTAGAATATGAACTATAGTAAAACCCTTTTGACCACACCCTGAAAAGCAAAACCGTTGTAAAAATTCAAATCAATTAGAAAATCAGCTAAGCAACGTGAACTGCCTGCTGTGGCACTGGTAGTAGGCCTGGCTTAGCCAACAGAATGTAACAGAGCAGACAATGAGAGACGTAGGAATTGGCTAACTCAGGAACTCGCTAACTCGGTCGCGTGTCGGAACTGGCTAACTCTGGAACTGGCTAACCGTCTCAGTCAGGAATTGGCTAACTCCGGAATCCGCTAACTCGATTTTGTCTCGCGGCGGAATTCGCTAACTCTGGAAGTCGCTAACCCGGCCGCGCCCACTGCACGGAGCGTTGCCAACCTTGTACGACAAAATAATCGTACACTGCCGTATTTCAAAATGTCCGTGTCAATAAAGATACAGTAAATGTTATTGTTTTTTGTTATCAATTCCACTTTTAACAGATAACTAGCCCAAAGTAATTCAAAGACAATTAAAAAATCATGAAAAAGTGTTTTTTATTAAACTGTACAATAGCCAGTTAAATGTTTATGATATCGATCTTAAATATAAATGCCATCAGTATAAAAGAAAATAATAGAATATGAAAAATATTGAAAATTCAGTACTAAATAATTAAACCTCTACGAAATTAAGCTAAAATACACACAAGTTCTTAAACACGGAAAACAGATTTAATCGTAATGTCGTAATAAACCAAAACCATTAATTAATACAGTCATCAACCATCGTAACTTTCATTACTAATTCATAGATTTTAAATTAAATGTTCGTCGTTGAACCGTCCAACTTACGTGTACAAATATGATGACATAGACTAAGTTTTTATCTAGGCCTAATAGCAATAATGTTACATGTTTTAAAACCGTTTATAGATTGTACACCTAAGCACCACTAGTAAAAAATAGGAGAAGATATAATATTCATATAATAAAACGTGACAGAGTTATTTTAATTTACTATTCTTAATAAGAATTGACGGATTTTCCTGATTTGAGTGTTGGGTTTCCTTTATATTGCTTTCACAATCGATATAAACTATACCAAGCCATTGCTCGGTTCACCGTTCCCCAGTACTGAGCTACACAATAGACAATAGCTTTGTTTTTGGATAAGATTAAGTAATTTTAGCTCTTGCCACCATTCATAAGAATTGTAACAAACAAGAACGCCTGGGTCCATTTAGAACCAGCCTGGAGAAAAACTCCAGACTTTTAAAAAGTAGGCCTACTGAAAGACGTAAAATTAATATTAATTCAACAAAATTAAGAGGATGACCCGGGTTCTACACTAATAGCCTACGATAAACGAAATTAACAAGTTGTATTTATGCATAGACTAACTTTAATGCAATCCATGAATACATTAGGCCTACCACTTTATAATGTATTGATAAATATTTATTTAAATTCAATAGCTCTATTTAAAAATACATTACCACTACAATGTAATTTTGTAATGACGTTTAGCGTGTAAATTTTATTATGATGTATGATTCAAGATTACAAGGCCAGTATATAATATACGAACTCAATAATTTTATTTGCAGAAGTTCACAAAATGGTATTTATTCGAATAAAAGAAACAAATCGCGGACTACAAAAATAGATATTTCATAACATGTAATAGATCCAAATTAAATGTGCATTTTTACCTTTTTGCATACCAATAAGCTACTATTTAAGTAAAATACCCCCGCCGCAGCAAACCTGCAGACTAAGCGAATTTCAACTTGTCTGATTACATTTTTACTAAAATATTTCCATAAATAAAACATAAGTTATATTATATATTTCCAATTTAAATAACATCAGATTTAACGAGTGCTTAGGTTTGCTGCTACGGGGAAGGTAAAAAGTGTTTTTTGACAATATGTCAATAGTATAGGATGAAATAAATAAATTTGCCAAATTGTATCAACATTATATCCATAAACAAGTAAATTACAAAAGTTTTCATTTTCTCCATAAGAATAACATGGGAATTTTAAATTACACTTTTTTTAATTTTCTCCGTGACCGTTAGGCATACAACAGCATTTCAATATACTAAATTATTTCTTTTTTTTTTAAGCTCTACAAAATGGTTGAGAAAGAAAATACAAAATTTGTTGTTTTAAGGTTAAAAAATAGGAAAAACCCATTTTTACCCCATAAAACCCCCCATAAACCCCTGTTCCCATGGTCCGATTATGCTGGTTCGCGAACTCGTTCGAATGAACGTTGGTTTACATGTTTGTACCAAATTTCATCAAAATCGGATCATTTTTGCTCGAGTTATTGCGCCAACGGACACATATATAAATATATATATATATATGAATTTGAACGGATGGTGTTTTTGACCTCTGGGGACCTCAAAACGAAAAAGTAAATCGGTCCCGTGTCTAGGTCTTACCATGAGGTCGTGTTTCGTTCACAATTGTTTCTTGTTTTCAGTAATTTAAAACCTTGTTTAAGCAAATAAAACGTTCTAATCATAACTAATAACACGTCTCCTAGTTATATAACCAAACAGTAAAGAACAAATCATGAAGTTAACTATAAAATAATAGAAACACAATTTTGTCGACACTAGCGATCAGTGTCACCGGACATGAACTAGACACGAAAAACGAGCTTCAAAGTTTACAATGGGATGTAAAGTTTACTTGTGTTGGTTAGTCTATGGTAAGACTATAATGCATTTTTCCACCCTAATAATCATAAGAATAATGTTAAACATACTTCTAAATATATTTATTTTATCGACTACGTTGCTCTTACTCCTAATTAATCGTAGGATACGACATTATGGTACCGACACGATATAGGTACTACACTTTCGGCAACACTGGCCAAAAATATTCGTGCTTGGCTCCCATTGGACGGCCCGCGAGGCTTCTGATTGGGAGTTAGCGAGTTCCGCCGAGGGACCGAGTTAGCGACTTCCGTACGAGGACGGAATTCGCTAACCCGGCTCTAGAGCGGGTTAGCGGGATCCGGAGTTAGCCAATTCCGAAACCGAACAAGTTAGCGAGTTCCTCTCATCGACCAAATTTGAAGATAGGGCGTTTAACATGGGGTTAGCGAGTTCCAGAGTTAGCCAATTCCGCGGACCCGACAATGAGATTATGTTAAGAATATTTTAAGAGATTAATATAATGTACAGTTGGAGATATTAAAATGAAGTAGGCTAGAGAATTAAAATAACAAAAATCCGAAAAAACTAAATTATTGTAGATATATTTGAATTGAAATAGCCTATTGATTCCAACCATTGATTGACAAAAAATATGCTATCCAAAAGGCCTCATCCCCTTTATCTAAAATCACAGCTTTACTGTATTTAAATATACGAGTACAGTTGAACCTCTATAAGACGAATTTCAAGGGGTACAGGAAAAATTTGTACTATAGAGGTATTCTTAATAAAGAGGGTCGTTTTATCGAGGTTTAATGCTGCTGTTATTCTTCTTATAGAGGTTTCTCCTCGCTCCAAGGTTTTTCCAAACAATGACTGAGGAAGGAGGAGGGATGGGTGGGGGTTTCATGTTGAGACAAGCTTCTGTTTGTTTTGAAAACTACGTACTATGGAGGTTAAGATTATGATAAATTCGTCTTATAGAGGTCACGTTCGTCTTGTAGAGGTTTTGTGCTAAGAATATTCGTTGTATGTAGGTTAATCAGTCCTAGCCCATGTCACAAACAAATTCGTCTTATGGAGGTTTTTAACTTAATTACTACGTTGTATAGAGGTGTTTTTAGCATTGACCTTGAAAGTGTCAAGGGGATTAAAAAAAATTTGTCGTATCGAGGTATTCGTTTTATCGAGGTTCGTACAAACGAGGTTCAACTGTACATGGAATTTAATGTAGGTAGTTTATATTTGCAAATTCATTTTTATAACTATTTGTTTGTATGATATTCTTTTATTTCTAATTTATCCAATTTTTGTTTTAGGACTGTGATGTGGAAAGTAATTCCGAAAAGTGTTCAAAACAGGTTCCTAACGGGCTGTGTGTTAATATATCACCGAACCATAAAAACTTAAAAGAAAATAATGACAATACCAATAAGACTGTAAATAAGTGTGAATCAGTTTTGGGAACTCCCAAGATGGACAAAAAGATTAATAACTGTGAAATCGATGAACTTACTAGTCCCGATAGCTCTAAACTACCTATGATCTTGAATCGGTACAAACGAGATACAGAAACATCGCCGAAAACAGATCAGGTGCTTTCTGTACATAACAAGACAAAAGACTCTCTGCAACCAAATGTTCTTAACAACTGTTCTCCAAGACTGAACGGGTTTGAAGACATCATAAAAGATGCAAAAACCTCTAATGTTAACGTACTGGTTACAGAACAAGAGGCTAACAATGAAATAAAATTTGACTCTGACAAATTTCCCAAAACGGAAAGTGTGAGGAGACGAGAGACTTTTAATTTTAACTCTTTTCACCTCTATGAAAACAACATGGCCAGTGGGAAGAGAGGGAAAAGTACTGTTACACATTACAAAAGTACAGTCGATTTTAGAGAGGGTCTCGACTTAAAGAGGTTGAAAATGCAGCGCAATGAACAAACCCAAGACGAGTCAGATTCCGACACGCTCATGGACTGTGATTGGGAGAAAAACTATTGGATGGAAGACGAACGGAGACATAGAGTCTGCTCTAAGAACTTGGACAAAAACTACAGGTTGGTATAATACTATGGAGCTCTCTTTTCATTTAAAGCTGCATTATTCATTTTAGTATTCTTCTTAAATATTCTTCAGTGCTTTTGTAATTGAAACTCCAATTTGTTAGTAAATTTTTGTGATTTGGATTTTTTGTGATTGGATCGAGTTAAGACAGTAATAAGGCATCCGTACGGTCGTTCAGCAAATTTCAAATGCAATGGATATCGTCACAACCAATAACATTTATAATTTGGAATTTGATCATGTATACAAACAATATGCATTAAATAGACCAATGTGTACAATTCTTACGGTCTAAAAAAAAGAGTAAAAACACATACATAATGTTAGCCTACAATAGGCCTATCATATAAAGCATTTAGCTTAAGTTACATAAAATCAGTTTCCTGTGGGATAGCATCAAAATATTCTCTAACGTTATAAAATGGATCTGTTTAAAAGCCATTTTTTTTCTTTTAACAAAAAACACTAAACGGATAAAGGTTAAGAGTTGTTTAAGTAAGTTAAGGGAGTTGTTTCAGAGCATATTCAATAAATTAGGCCATAGAGGAAGTGTTGCCTTTTATTTAGTACCATAAAATCAGCATAATATGAAGTAGTATGAGTTGTGTTGTAAATAAGCCGACCAAAGCTTAAACAGTGTATTAGTTTACAGTGAAAATGTATATTCAACGTACTCTGGATTTGAAAAAAAATTGTTCCCAAGTTTTAATCATGCTAAATTTTGTGTGTCAACCCCTAATTGTATCCAATCTGTATGAATCCAACCCGAATTTGGCTTTAGGATGGAGTGTGAGCGTAAACGGAGGGATGACCCAGGACCCAGCTCAGCCAATGAGGTGACGCAGATGGTGCAGCCGGAGGTGGATCTCGACGCTGAGGTTCATTGGCAGAAACACCTTGCGGCTCATAAGAGTGTAATCGTCGACACCTTCCAGGGGCAGTTTAAAAGCACGGTGGGTGATGATGGATAAAAGCATTTTTTATTTACTTAAATTTTTATGTCCTACTTTTACATTCTTGGACTAAAGCTGTAGCCCAAAACCGTTCTAAACGTTACTTCAGGCTAGGGTTTGCAATGCCACTTATATTTATTGTAAATGGCAGGATTTGAACAGCCGGAACCTCGGGGTCCAATGTCCTACGCTGTACCAATACACAAGCTCGCTCCCTTGAAAGCAGATTAGTGCACAATACATGAAATAGGTGGTTTACGACACAATATTCACAAACAGGCGGTTTGAGGGGAAGTTTCCTTACCACTTTTTTGCATTTAATGTATGTCGCTTAATCAGCTGTTGAGCTATTATTTTAAAGGTAAGGGTGAAGTGGAGGGAATAGATTTCTTCCCCTCAAACCGCCTAAATAAATTGTGAACAAAGTATAGTATTGTAAGTGACCTAGACATTTTTAAAGCAATGTTATACAAATTACCTAATTAATTATAAACATATACTATCACAAAATTTAGGCGGTTTTAAGGGAAGAAATCTATCCCCTCCACTTGAACCTACCTTTAAAAATAATAGCTCAACTGCTGAGGTTTGCCAAAATATAAATCATCTGTGACATTAAGTAATAAAAAAGTAATGGGGAACTTTCCCTCAAAACTGCCTAAATTTTGTGAACGGAGTATAGTAGACCCTGTAGTGTCAACTAAACAGTTTGACATTGCAAGGCCTATGTAAGTAGTTAGGATGTTTGAAAAATAGTAGGTTTTAAATGGTTATTGTTAGAGAAGTAATATTTCTCATCTTGTCTTTACATCATCACCTGATCAAATATTAATTGTCTTGTTTACCTTTTATATGTTATGGTTTGGTTTGGTGTAATTGTTAAAAAAAAGATGTATCAATAATTTGTTCAGTATAAAAACGTTTTCCATTATATTTCTGGGCTATTTATTACATTAACTATTAGTTATGTTCTGTCGCCTGGTTGTTAGGATGTTTTATTTAAACACTTTCAGACACGGCAGGGTTAATTAACCTTATAAGAGGATGGTCACAGATTAAGGGCACAAGTGAAGACTGGTGTTTCCTGATAGGTTTTTGCCAACAAAAACCCCCTATTAATAAAAGTAGGAAACACCAGTCTTCACTTGTGCCCTTAACCCTCCGAGTGTCCCTAGTTTTGGCCTTAATGTCTGCCTATTTTTTGCGCATTTGCAAGGTTTTATTAAAACGGATCTGAGAAGCTTAAAAACAATGTTATATACTGTTCTATATACCATTTTGTTTGGAAAATCATGGGCTTCAATATTATACATAAAACATAAGGAACATTTGTTTCAAAAAAATTTTTTAGGTAAAAAAATATTTTTTGGAAGATAAAAAAAAAAAAAAATAAGTTCGCGCTCAATGAAATTGTATAAATTATAGGCCTATAAATATTTGAAAATAGCCACTTTGTTCTAAATTTGATGAGGACTACAAATATATAATAATATAAGGAAGTGGATTTGCAAATAAATAAGTTATGGGCAAAAAGCATATTTCAGTACATAGCGTTTAGCTAAGAATGCATAGCCTAACCATAGCTAGGAATCTGGCTGATAATTTACATCAATATCACTACCTACTTCTTCAGGATCATCAACCAGCCCTTCAAAATCACTTAAATCTTCTTATAATGCACCACGTATATCACTACTTTTGATTTTTAACACTAAAACAATGATAAACGTAATAAAACACATCAGTCATCGGTGCGAGGTTAACCAAGCTGTTTACAAATACGCACGTCAGCTGTCTGCTACAATTGTGATCGCCTCGAGAAAAAAAAGCGCTTAGAGACAGACCTCCGGAGAAAGCTTAGAATCTGACAAATAAAACGATTCCTAACTCGATCCAGTTCAATCCGATTTTGTCAGTCATAGAGCCTTCGCCGTAAACAGTGTTTGTGAGTCGAAGCATCGACACAAAACACTACACAACGTGTGTTATGTGTCGAAGCTTCGACAAATAACACTCGGAGGGTTAATCTGTGACATAAAATACACCTGCCACTCACTTCAACGAATAAGATAAGTAATTTACTGTATGCAAACAATAGACAATAGACTAATTTCTGTATTATATTTTTCTTCAAGAAATACAACAGCGTCATGTTTGTTTAGATCTCTTGCTTTACAAGTATTTTCTGGTCTTCTATCTTTATAAGAGATTAAAGAGTTTTTTGATTGCCGAAACCTACTGTATTCAATTCAATTCAAAACATCTTTATTCATTAGTATATATTGTATAGGGTATACAAGAATGTTGTCAATTATTTTCCAATTAAAAACATCTTTATTCATTATCAGTCAACCTGTAAGATTAGATAAAAAAGTTGTCCACTTTAAAAACTTTGTAACTTGTAAGAATGTCTCAATGTTGGTAACTCATGTAGACAATTGACAATGAATTAGCTTGTAGGGCATATTGTCAAACAGCAAAACTAAACAGTCTGCCAGTGAGAAAAGACAAAATACCCCCACCGCTGCAAACCTGCAGACTAAGCGAATTTCCATTTACCTGGCTGGATTTCTACTAAAATATACTCTGAAAATTGTCAGATTTATTTCCTATTTAAATAACATTAATTTTAATGATTCCCTAGGTTTGCTGATACAGGGAAGGTATTGAGGTGTGCTTTTTATTGAAATGTTGATAGCTTAGTATGAAAAAAAAATAAAATTGCCAAATTTCATTAAAATATATCCATAAACAAACATTATTCTCCATAAGAATAACATGGGAAATATCTCCGTAACCGTTAGGCATACAACAATGCTTCAATATACAAAATTATTATTTTTTTAAGCTCTACAAAATGGTCTGGATAGAAATTGTGAGATTTTATGTTTTTAGAGTCAAAAATGGGGAAAACCAATTTTTACCCCATAAAACCCCGTTCCCATAGTCCGATCATGCTAGTTTGCGAACTCGTTCAAATAAACATAGGTTTACACATTTCTACCAAATTTCATCAAAATCAGATAATTTTTGCTCTAGTTATCGCGCTAACGGACACTATATACATATGAATTTGAACAGAGGGTGTTTTTGGCCTCTGGGGACCTCAAAACGAAAAAGTAAATCGGTCCCGGGTCCAGGTTTTATCATGAGTACTACGGTAATAGCTTATTCCCTATATGGGAAATTTGCTAACAGGAATAAAGTGCCTTTTAAATCATCCTTGGTCAGATTTGGAATTTTTTGGCCGCTAGAGCATTAAAAATTAGATGTTCTAAGAGATGTTTTGGTTGAGTAGCTTAGGCCTACTGTTGAAAGCAATGGTATATACTTAACTGAAACTATTACACTGTGAATCGATGAAATATAACTAAGATTGGCTTAGCAAAATCTTAACATGAAAAAAAGCGTTCTCTTGTATGGACATTGGACAAGGATGAATTTTAGCAGACCTTCATGACCTGAACTGATATGTCAATGTAAACTGTTTGAGAAGCGCTTCCTAAATTAACTTTGTTCAATAACCAATTGGGTTGTCGACGTGAATAAAACACATTAGTGATATCATTTTAGATGGATGTATACATGTCATAAATAAGACTATAGTTTATTTAAAATAGATTCTTGTGGTTAATAGAAAACCGTAATCAAGTTGGAAAAATATGAAAAATAAGCTCTTAATATTCTTTCTAAATATTCCTGTTACATCCCAAATGTCTACCTTTACTTATTGCTTATTTATTTTATAACTATTATCAGCTGGTTATAATGTTTACTTGTTAACTTTGTTTTTTAATTTGTGTTGAATAAAGTTGGTTAAAATTGTACTTTGATAAATACTAATTACATACAGAACAATTTGGCGAAGATGGAGGTGAATCTCCTTCACATCTCTTCATTGGACGTCAAATTCGATCAAGACTTGACTTATTGTATCCTGATTTGTCACAAAAAATTAACCGAAAGTTTGACTCAGACCGTGACAGGCAAAAGTCCTTTAAAGCTCAAGACCGTGACAGGCAAAAGTCCTTTAAAGCTCAAGACTCCGTCGCCTACCGCCTCTATGGAACCTGCAACAAATGGGGGTTTGGAAAGATCAACAAAAAAGAAGGACCAAGAAATTATGAAATAACCACAAGCAGTGGCCCAATCAGACGACATCAAGACCAAATTAGACGCTCAGGGCGGGACTTGTGTGAGTTTTCATTAAGGAATGAGCAAAATCAAGTATTCATACCAACAAATTTTGGATAAGTCAGAGAGGAACCAACCGAAAACCACGTAACAAATTATCACAACATTGATCCAAAGACCAGTAACAACATATCAGATGTTCCAGTGGCACCAGCTTCCGCTATGACAGTGAGACGATCAAAACGGGCACATAAACCCATCGATAGACTTAACTTATGAAACTCACTAAGAAGGGGAGGTGTTACATCCTAAATGTCTACCTTTACTTATTGCTTATTTATTTTATAACTATTATCAGCTGGTTATGATGTTTACTTGTTCACTTTGTTTTTTAATTTGTGTTGAATAAAGTTGGTTAAAATTGTACTTTGATAAATACATTTATTATTTGTTCTAATTACATACAGAACAATTCCTAATTTTAGGTAATGTTTTGTTATGGTGTTTGTTTGTCATTTTCTCTTCAACACACACGCTATGGTTCCAAGAAAAGTTGCGCATCTCCCCTCTTGCAGGAGAATTTTTCTTTCCCTTGCTACCCCAATAACCCACCCACTTCACTTACTAAAGTGGCCCTGAAGTTGTGGTTGATTGCAATGAAGGTACAATGAAAGATAACATGTAGTGTTGTGATTCATTGGTGTTTATAATCTGTTTCATGATTGGTTGTTATTGCAGGTAGTGTGCTCATCCTGTAAGCATGTCTCAGTGACTTACGAGCCGTTTATGTACTTGTCTGTCCCCCTGCCTCATGCAATGGAGCGTCAACTATGTAAGTCTCTTACCTACATTGTATTATTGTTTGTTTAGCGTTTCTTATAAATAAAGTGTGCCACAAGACAAATCAACAGTATCACCTAACTGACACATACCTTCTCTCATTAGATTGTCAACTACCCTAACAATGGTTAACACATACATGCGACGCCGCGATAATTGCCACGGACCGAGGCATACAATTTAATCTTACACTTAGACCGGCTGTCACCTGGTTAACAGTACAGGCAGACCACGGGCAAAAACCTGTTAAACAGTGATCATTTACGTTGTAATACGTTGCAATCATGTTTTTAAATACATAGAGGATACGCGTCCGGTAACCGGGCGTGGATAAGGCGTACGGCAATGACGTCATGGGGTTGCGGGAACCTGGAACGCCTTTACTACAACAATACCATCACCAACCATCGGTGGTCGTGGTGTAGTGGATAAGATGCTCGGCTGATGTGCAAGAGGTCCAGGGTTCGAGTCCCATTGGTGACATGAACTTTTTGTCGAAGATTTTGCATTGAATACCATTTATTCTTAACTGTACATCTTTAATTAGAATTTTTGGCATTTATAATTTTCTAATAGAGAAAGAATTTAACCTTAATTCGATTTTTTCATTATCAGCAAGTTTGGTTGGTTAGGTTAGGTTATGACAGTAATTGCCGGACGTCTAATCCACGTCCGGTTACCGGACGCGTATCCTCTGCGTTTTAAATAATATATTCTTGTTTTTTTATTTTTTGATAACCTTTTTTTTTATTTTTTGATAACCTTTTGTAATGTCCATATTTGCGACGCCCGGTCTATAGAGAAGTCAATAGTGAAACTTATTATATTTTTCTTGTAGCCCAAACGCCGCATATATATGACTGTTAATTTTTGTTTATGTTTTGAGATGAAAGTAAGTAAAAAAAAAAAACAGATTATATAAGAACAGTTAATAATTGAACAAATATAAAAGCTACATATGATAATGCAGCATACATACAACATACATACATACAGTGATGCAGCAAAATAAATAAGAGTTTTTCCAACTATAATATGACGTCACCAACCATCACAGCCACAGATCAACAAAGCAAATGTGCGACAGACATCCCTGTAGACCACTGCAGAGAATTCAGTGCCTTCCAATAGACCGTTACAAAGATGTAAGCTTTTAGATAACATTGGAACACCGACACAAATATGCGACGTCAGCCTATTTCAATGTGACTAGCTGTCGTATATGTGCGTCGCTGGTCCATATGAATGAAAAGTTTGTTACTATTGCGGTAGCGAACATGTTAAGCAGTGAGAGTAACTATTATATGCCATGGTTAAAACCACAAAAAATGTGCCATTTTAATTAAGACTTTATTGAGGTTACTCAATAAACTTGATTTGGAAAACTACCATAAAAAATCTTTTAAAAAAGTGTGTAAATATGTGTGCAAGTCTGCTTACTAGGTTGCTTAATTAAGTGGATTTGATTAAAAATCGTTATCTTAGGTTTATGTTTGGTTTTGTTATAGATTTTGTGTACCATTGATATGATAGTAAATAATTTATAAATAAAAATACTTTTTAAAAATGCCACGTTTTTAAACGCATTAAAAAGTATAAAATAATTTATAAAATGTTGAGAGAATAAATACGTGTAAGATTTAAAACAAAAAACGTGGGGCGCATGCTGATTTACAATTAACTTCACCTATTGAACTGTTATGATCTATTGCATGCGCCCCACGTTTTTCGTTTTAAATCTTACAAGTATTTTTTCTCTCAACATTTTATAAATTATTTTATACTTTTTAGTGCGTTTAAAAACGTGGCATTTTAAAAAGCACTTTATTTATACATTTTTAACTAGATTTTAGTCTTTAATGTGTAAATATGTTAAATCTATTTTATATAGCCTCTTAATACATAACCAAAACCCAAAACCTTATTATCTGTAATCACGTGTTTTATCTTTACTTTGAAATGATTGTTTTATATTTTTAGAATATCTTGGGAGCAGAATCTGTACCTCTTAACCTCTGCTCTTCTATCTGTCAAATTTAAGTATTTACAGCTGACTTAAATTAATTTATATGTTTACATTCTTTTAAAATGTAAACATGGAAAATTTGGAAGCCAAAGGTGCGTAGCCCAAGGGAAATATGAAAATTTAATGATATAATATTGCATTGTCATCCATTTGTGAGCTATGTTTCAAGTCTCTAGCTCATCGGGAACTTCGTTTGAAATTGATATCAAAATTTGTAGGAAAGCGAGCTAATAAAAACAAGGCCATGGGGCTTAGTCCAAGGGAAATATGAAAATTAAATTATATAATATTGCATTGTCATCCATTTATGAGCTATGTTTCAAATTTCAAGTCTCTAGTTCATCGGGAAGTATCAAAATTTGCAAGAAAGCAATTTAATAAAAACTAGCCCATGGGGCGTAGCCCAAGGGAAATATGAAAATTAATTATTAAATGATGTAATATTGCATTGTCTTCCATTTGTGAGCTATGTTTCAAGTCTCTAGCTCATCGGGAAGTTAATATAAAATTGATTTCAAAATTTGTACCGGACAAGAAAGCGAGCTAATAAAAACGTTTTAAAAATCATACAAAATCATAGACAAAACCCGAACCTAAAACTAGATAACACCTGTCATCCAATCCAATTCGCTATCCAACCTATTAAACAGGCTTACGTATATACTTAGCAATGTGTTAAACGATTGGGCAAGAGCCTAGAGTGCTAGAATGTAAAGGAAGGAAAAACGTTTGTGTTGGCAGCTGTGACATTCGTGGGGGCCAAGGAAGCAGAGCCTGTACAGTACTTGGTGACAGTAAGCAAGCGAGACACAGTCGCCAACATCAAGGAACAACTGCTTCACCTTATTGGCCGACCTGTGTCACTCATGGTTCTAGCTGAAGTGCTGGATTATCATATTGCTAAAATACTGGTAAATTATCCTCCTAAAGCTTGGTATCTCGAGCATCAAGTTGTATCTTGCTGAAAGCCACTCAATGTTTCATGAGCTTTACTGCTTTCCTTTGATAGTAGGGTCAATGTTTCTGATAATATTGTTTTGTGTACATTATTTTACTGGAGTAGGCTATACTACAAATAAATAATGTCATTAAAATGTTAGGTTTTTACACCTCAGAAATATGATGCAAGTTGGTTGAAATAATACAATTAAAATGAGTTTCAAAATGTCCATTAAAGAAATAAGTATCTGTACCGTACCTCAAAATGTTTTATCAATATTTCAAACCAATACGATACTGTGTTACAATACAAGTGAAATCCTGTAGTTTTCTAGAAGTTCCTGAAATCACATTAATTTGTTCCTTTAAAAATGTATAATAATAATTTTTCAGGATGAGAATCACCTGGTCCGTTATATCAATAGCAGTAATAGGGAGCTTTATGCGATTGAACTGGCCAACTTTTCCCAGTTTGCCACATTGGACGCTCCTGTTGACAGTGAAAAGGTAACTACATTTTTAAACGTTTAATATATTAAACTTTAAAATAAGTCCTGGATTTTGCTAGTTTTTACATTGGTAAACAAATGTAATTTTAAACTCAATTTTATTTAAGTTTTGGGTAAACAATCAATTTAAATTCCAATACAAAATTTGTATTTTAGCTTTACTCAAACCTAAATTAAATTTATAAGATCAATATTTCTTAATACTGATTTGGATGCGAGCTGGTGTAGTGGTAGAGCAAGGGACCTAAGTCCCTGAAGTCCTGGGCTCAAATCCCGCCAAATCACCAATGGATTTTTTCTAAATGATAATGCTGCAACCCCTAGGTCTAGCCTGAAGTAATACATGCTTATACAGTAATAAAATACAATAAATACCTACTCAATTTACTTAGACAGTTAAAAAAACCATTTATACATAAAACATAGACAATTACAGTAACAACATAAATGTACAATGACTAACCCAAGGAGGTGTCAAAAAATGCTAAATAGTCTGGGATAAACCTTATCCAGTAGAATTTTTTTAAATTTTAACTTTAAAAACATTTGCTGCCAATTGTTTAAATTTATTGGCAAACCGTTGTACAGCTTTAGGCCTGTATAAAAAGGACATTTTTCAAATTTTGTTGTCCGATGGATTGGGTAACTGTAATAAAGGTTGGTATAAAGTGTCTTGTTTCTAGAGTTGTATTTATTTTTTTTTTTTTACTTTTCAAAATCTTTCTTATTTTCATGGACATAATTCAGGTTTTCGTAAATAAACAGGCTGGGAAAAGTTAATATGGACTGATTTTTTAAATGTTTTTTACAGGAAGCTCTAAATTTAGTGTTTACCATATTTCTGATGAATCTTTTTTTCATTGAAATTATCTTTTTGCTATTTGTTGAATTTCCCCATAAGGTAATCTATATATAAAGCCCAAAGTACCTGTGAACTTTTGAAAAAAACTACAAGTCACACCCCCATAAACCGTATATATAGCCTACTTAAAATGTTTGTCATGACGAAAAACCTTGCCCAAAACTATCCATTATTTCATAAATTGCCTTTTAAGGTCGTAATTGCTTTCCAAAGTGAACTTTCCATATACCTAATGTTAAAAATAACTCAGCTGTATTTATTTGTACGTAATTCTTTCAGTTTATTACCTTATTAAAATCAAGTGTGATTGCTTGACTTAGCAAAGTATTAGCACATCTGATAAACTCTTCTTTTGTTTCTGGAATTTTTCCTAATCAGCTAAAAATCTCCAAAGTCATACCTATTCATAAAAAAAATGATACAAAAGATCCTTCAAATTTTCGTCCCATAGCTTTACTGCCGGTAGTCTCCAAAATTTTTGAAAAAGTTGTCTATAATCAGCTTGTGGAATATTTGGAAAACTACGATCTCATAGATAGTGTTCAACATGGTTTTCGTTCCAACAAATTAGTTACTACTGCTACTGTGGATTTTATTGAATCTATTATTGAATCAGTTGATAAAGGAGAAGTTTGTGTAGGAATTTTCATGGATTTGTCAAAAGCATTTGACACTGTTCATCACCCTGTCGCGTCTCCGCTGTCTGGCCTTCTGCTCCGGCGTCGTCACAGATTGTAGATCAGCGTAGATGTTGACTTTAATATTTGGGTTATGAGGGAGTCTTTAAATAATAAGCACGAATGAACTAAACTTGACTTGTATATTGACTGTTCAATGGTTACACAACAGATTTAATATTGATTAATGAGTTAAGCAAAACAAAGGAAGAGTAAATACTGGACTGACGTGGCATGCGTGTTGCTTGTTGTGTAGCTCCCTCTCAACTGACTAGTGACTATCGATCCACCCCACTACTGCCCCTACTAGTATTCATGCGCCCTCTGGCCTACTCGCTAAAAAATAGTTCCACACTCTTTTAATAATTTAAAAAAAACTATATTAGATATTTTAGGCCCGTCACAACCCTACACTCTTGCATAAACTAAAGTTACTTGGTGTGTATAGAACTGCATTGAAGTGGTTTGAGTCATACCTGCCAGGAAGATTTCAATACGTTGAATTAAGTCATACGGAGTATAATAAAGTTTCTAAAGAAAAGTCAAATTTAAAATTAATAACACATGGTGTCCCCCAGGGATCTGTTTTAGGCCCACTCCTCTTTATCTGCTATGTAAAAAATATGGCACAAACACTCAAAAAAATACCACAAGACAACTTGGTGATGTATGCTGATGATTCAAATCTGAAAGTGTCAGCGCAAACCGCCGAAGATGTTGAAATCCTATCTTGCCTAGAGTTGGCTAATTTAACAGACTTCTTTAACAATCATAAATTAAAATTAAATCCATCAAAAAGTAATTTTGTTTCCTTTAAGACTGCTCAGTGCAGGAGAAAGTTTGAACCCACAATTGCAATTGACTCTAAGCTAATAGAAATTGAAAAGTTTACTAGATTTTTGGGGTTGTAAATAGATGAGAATTTGAACTGGAATCGTCATGTGGAAAAAATCCTTCCTAAAATTAACTCAGGAATATTTGCCTTACGCAGAATGTCATATTTATGCACTGATGTAAGTGTCTTAAAGATGATATATCATGCGCATATTCATTCCCATATTTCATTTGGCTTGGCTTTATATGGGTCAGCAAAAAAAGAAAACTTGAATGAAATTTTGAAGAAACAAAAGGAAGCTGTCAGAATAATTTTCAATTTGAATCCTGAAGAATCAGCAAAAGAGTATTTCAAAAATTTAAAAATATTAACTGTATATGGACAATATATTTACAACACAGTCTTAATAGCAATTCATAATCCATTAAAACAGAACATTGTGCAGTCTCACCGATATAACACGCGGAAAAAAAAATACCATCATACCCACTCACCACAGATTAGCATTTTATGAAAAAAAAACCTTCATATATTGGAGCAAAATACTTACATAGACTTCCTATTGCGTTAAAAACAGAAAATAACATCAATAAATTTACAGTAAGAAGATTTAAAAAATTTTTTTTTCAGAAACCACTGTACTCGTTTGAGGATTTTTTAAAACTTTTAGTCATAGTCGTAGTATTAAGTTTTGATTTGACACTATTCTCATGTACTATGTGTGCATATTGTGAATAAAGATGATTTGACTTTGACTTTGTATTACTGTATTCTGTTTTGTTTATTTCAGCTTAACTTAACCAATCAATGGTTTTATTAATACTTATGAAGTCAAAGGGGGTGAAGCCCGTGGGTAACAGCTAGTTTATGATAACGTCAAATTAATTAGTTTTACTAACAACTTGTTTATTCCAGATGGTAGGTTGTGAGCCTTTAGTGTGTGACCTGACGGGAGATTCTTGCACCATCTGTCTAGAGGAGAAGGACTCCAACATGAGTAGACACGTCGGCTGTTCCTGCATCCTTTGCGACTCTTGTATTGTTGTGAGTGTTTTAATATTAATATCTGTCAAAGGGTCAATAAACTATGATTGGCGTAAGTTTATAATCATCCATGCTAGTGATGTTAGGTACTGTTCACTTTAAAGTAGAATTCTCAGACAACTACATATTACTGAGGCCTGGCTTTAGGTAGGATTAGGAAGTATAGAACCTTTTGATCAATAGTTTAATAGAAAAAGCAGTTTATAGATGTTAGCCTCCAGATTGCCGAATAATATTAGTAAAGGTTTAAGTATATCTGCTATTAAGTGAAAGTAAAACAAATCAAATCAAATCAAATTATCTTTATTCACTTTATACATTTTATATACATGAATAGTGTCAAAGCATACAACATTAGTTATAAAACTTAATCTAAATGGCTTAACCATAAATTTGACAATTATTTTAGAATGGACAGCTAATTCATTTTTGATTTATAAACTCATCTATACTATAGGGAGCCAGATTAATTAAGAATGATTTTAGCTTTTTCAGAAAATTGGGTTTGTTTTGATCTTTTTTTAGTAAGGCAGGCAAACTTCTTATGAATAAATTGCCAATATACGAAGGCTTCATTTTTGAAAGTTTCAGACGATGATGACTTTTTACAGTAAGATTTTTCCACCTTGTATTGTATTTATGGGATACTTCAGTGTTTTTATCTTTATAAACACGCCGAATAGTTTTAAAAATATACAAACCGTACACTGTAAAAATGTTAATTTCTTTAAAGTACTTTTTCACCGACTTCTTATTCTTAAATTTGTCAATAACTCTAATGACCTGTTTTTGCAGTTTTAAAACCTTTTTCAAATTTTTTTGTGCTGTCCCACCATAAATTTCGATTCCGTAGCCAATATGACATTCTATAAGCGAGTGGTATATCAATTTTAACACAGCTTTATCACAGAGATAAGCCATTGATCTCAAAACAAATAAGCCTGAATTAATTTTACCAACCAAATATGTAATATGTTCATTCCAATTTAGATGTTCATCAATTATCAAGCCTAAAAATTTAGTTGATTTCACTTGATTGATCGGCTTATTATTTAGATTAATTTTAGGTTTAATTTTAAATTTTAGGTTGATTTTAGGTTTTACAATGTCGAGTACTGACTGATTTGATGGGTTTTCTTATAGCAGGTGTTAAAACCTTTTTTTAATGAAGTAGAGTTAAAACCTTTATTTATTTTTAAGCTCTTGAAACTACTGGCAATTACGCTTAGTGGTGTCAAATAGGGATGTTTTCAGCAGCCAAGTTTTGAGTCTTTTAAAGAGCTACAACCATCATTCACTATTTTTTTCCATGTGTTAATGAAGTGCATTGCTCTTTAAGACAGTTTAGTCTCATTACTGTTAGGTGAATTTGACTGAATGCTATCCCTTACAATTTGAGTCACTATTCAATATGAGTTATGATATTTTGTGTTTGCGGATAACATTGTACAAGATAATGCTAATTTTGGGTTGTGGCAGCGTTCGAGCCAACACTACGGAGACGAGAGTCTGAGGTGTCCTGTGTGTCGCAAGGAGTTGACTCCAGGAGAGAACCTAGTCACCATCGGACAGACTCAGGACACCAAGCCTCCGGTCAGGTGGGTGCAGACTAGGGATGGACGGGATTGAATTTTTAGTTCGGGACGGGACGGGATTTTTTTCTGTGCATAAAAAGAAAGTCTTGAGTATAGCAGTTACCAAAAATTACGAAAGAAATCAATTTTTACCATTTGTGGCACTGATCTATAAAAACCAAAAAACGGGTAACAATTTACAGGTACCTATGGAAACTTGTGACTTGCGGTTACGGTGCGATCGTCAAAATGACCGCGATCACGGGGTGATCGTTGGTATGACTCACGGTCACGGCATAATCGTCGGTATGACTCACGGTCACAGCGTGATCGTCGGTATTTATCCGCGGCCACGGGGTGATCGTCGTTATGACTCGCGTTCTCGGCGGTATCGTCGGTATAACTCCGCGGTCACGGCTCCATTGTCGAAATGACTCAGGATCAAAGCCTGATCGTCAGTATGAATCCGCGATCACGGGGTGATCGTCGGTATGACTCGCGGTCACGGCACGATCGTCGCCATGACTCCGCGGTCACGGCACGATCTTTGGTAGGACTCCGCGGTCACAGCATGATCGTTGGTATGACTCATGATCATGGCGGTATCGGCTCGGCGGTATGACTCCGCGGTCACGGCGCCATCGTTGAAATGACTCGCGGTCACGGCGTGATCGTCGGTATGACTCGTGGTCTCGGCGGGATCGTCGGTATGACTCTGCGGTCACGGCGCGATCGAAAAATGATATCGTCTCCTGCGTTCGCGGACCTCGTGAACATTTCTCGCAATAGTGGCGTCATCGTTACTCGCGAAGCGGAAAAATCGCCGACGATCGGACCAAATCCCATCCCGAAAAATTCCCGAATCAAATGTTATCATGTCCTGATAATCGGTAATATTTTTTTCCCGAAAAATTCCCTAATTTGGGACCCGTCCATCCCTAGTGCAGACACACTTCACATTATAAGGAATTTTGCTAGGATATCACGCTTACCTGAATGGAAAAAGACCACCCCAGCCTAAGAACCACTTAACACTTTGCACAAAAGTTAAAACATACCACTGTCATTGGCTACATCTTCAACCAATGAAGGTTTGCGTTGGGGGGAAAATAAAAAAATAACAAAACCGACCATAATAAGGAAATTTACGGGAATAATACAGAAAATTGTCAAAATTCCTCAAAGAAAGAAATAAATAATTCATAATTTTTTGTTTTTAACATCCCTACTTTTAAATAATTTATTCAGCTAATATTGAAATAGTTTTAGTTATTATTTATTTATGAATAAATCGTTTGTTTCACTTTTTAAAATTCTTCTGAGAATCATTTAAAAGACCTTTCTTTTTTTTCAAAGCGTTTTGTCTGTATCAATTAATTGTGTATAGTTTTGATTATGATAAGTAATCAATTGTGTATTATTATGATGAAGTTAGTCTACTAGTATAAAATTAATATTTGGTTTAGTGGTAAGGAATCAGAATAACATCCAATGATCCAATCTGGTTTGAGTGTGTATAATACATCCAGCAACATTGGGAATATCGCTGGTTGCTACACCCCTCCGATACTTCCGATACCTATCTTTTTTACACAGTTTACATTTTGCCACATCACTACTTTCACTAATAATATTAAAAAAAAGGCCCACACATCACTTTTACACTTACTCATATTAAATAAAATACGATATCATTTTTTAACTAAAATCAAAAAAAATTTAATTTGAACCAATGTGAAATAACAATAACATAACCTCAACAGTCAACATATGGATGGATCATACGACATACACTGTAACTGCAACAATGCGATGGTGCATAACAGGACTAATGCATCTCTAAAACGCTAACCGTGATTGGTTTATCATCGTCCTCCGATCCAAAACCAGCAAATCAGAAAGGTTCTAATAAGTTAGTAAAGACACTAGCACTCGTTGCGGCATTCAACAACAATCCAAGTTTCAACGTCGCTAAAACATAGCACTTGATTGGTTGATCGTCGTCGCAGGGCAGTAGGGGAGCCAATGAGATCGTGTCTATTAAAATGCCAAGGACACTAGCACTCGCAGTGGTGATCAACCAACCCAAGTATCCACGTTGCTATAACATTACACGTGATTGGCCGAACATCATCTCTGGATGGAAATCTAGCCAATGAGGTCGTGTCCATCAAAGTGGCAAGGCCACTAGCGCTCGCAGTGGTGATCAACCAAACCAAATATCATCCCTGGAGTTAAAAACTACCCAATAAGGTTGTCTCTACTAAGTAGGCAAACAGCTAGGATTCGTAACGGCAATTTACCCGCTCTGAACTGACTTAATCCACACCGATTCGTACCGTTCAGTGTCAGTATCGGTATCGAACCCAAAACAGGCAAGTATCGAGTATCGACGATACCTCAATACTGCTGGTATTGAGAGTATTTTGGTATCGAGTATCGGTATCGGCCCACCTCTAATTATAATTATAAACGTAAATTTCATTTTCATGTTTGAATGTTGACCCTGTAATTGATGTCACAGGATGCTGAATGTTCCGTTGGTGTTCCGTGTGGATACGTCAGGGGACGGTAATAACACCAGGACTGTCCAGCTGTTTGGTCACCCTCGACTACTGCGTCTGCCCAATCAGCTGGAGTGTCAACAATTGCACGAGGCAGTGGTGTCTCTCATGCCGTACTCCAACCAGTATAAGATATTACTGGTGGATGGACAGGTAGGAAATGAATATAACTCTGACAAGCAACGTTGCAAACAACATGTTTTGCAAAATTGATATAAAAAAAAACAACGATGCAAATTGTATTTTTTTCTACTCTACTGTGTGGAGTATTTTGTGTTTAAAAACAATTGAGTTGGCTGCGTTTACAAGCAATTGAATGAGCGGGAAACTGGCTGTGTTGGCATTGACGTGACCAGATAGTTTTTGTGTTTTAACAGCATGGATTTAACTTAGTTATATCATTGACTTTTGGATCATCACTATGGACCAGCTTTAGCTCACTGTGTTTTTTATTCAAAAAGAACATAGTTTTATTAGTCACTACAGAGTGTGCTACAGTATAAAATTATATTTTCTACCTTAGTTTTTGTTATTGTAACACAAAAGATGATATAGCTTAAAATATTAAATGTATTCAAACATCTTTATTCGTCATAACTCATGTACATTGGTGGTACAGGGAATAGTGTCAAAATACATAAAATTAAAATACTATTTCTGGGAAGTGGAAAACTCATAAAAAATACATAATGCTAAATTTATTATTTGCTCTTTTAGAATTTTCTTGAACTTTAATAGGCCCATTTCTTTTTATATGAATTCGGGGACAAATTTAAAAAAAAGTTACCCGCAGGCTTTTTGCAAAAAATTTTAATTTGTGAGGCTGGACAAACTCCTTTCTTCTCCTGAAATTATAAGAATGCAATGAATTTATTCCTTCTTCTGATTATTATTTTTTTTTTTCGATAACAATTGTTTTATAAATATATTGCCCATCAACTGTAAAAATTTGTCATTTCTAAAAATTGTCTTTTGCCGAATCATCTTGTTTAAGCTTAAGCATAATTCTAATTCTGAACACAGGGTGTCTAGTAGTTGGGAAAAACGGAAAAGTTGGGAATTAGTATTAAATTTCAAAATAGTGAAAAAATCGGGATTTGTCTTTATTTTGATATCAAAGTCTGGAATTTTCATGTTTTTGCCGTTATTGCGGACGACGAAGATGACGTTTCCGTGGCGGCGGGAGTCGATGAAGTCCACACGGCCGCGGGAAATATTTATAATTTTGCCGTGGTCGCGGACGACGATGATGAAGTTTCCGAGACCATGGGAGACGACGATGACGTTCCCGTGACCGCGGTAGACGACAATGATGTCTACACGGCCGTGGGAAATGTTCATAATTTTGCTGTGATTGCAGACGACGACGATGACGTTTCCGTGACTGAGGGAGACAACGATGATGTCTCGGAAAATGTTCACGATTTTGCTGTGATCGCGGACGACAATGATGACGTTTCCGTATCCGTGGCAGTCTACTTGGTGGTGGGAGATTTTCATCATAAAAAAAATCCAAATTGGCTAGTTAGAATTTTTCATTGCTGCATTTTTTCTTTACTTGAAAAACACCCCATTATCTTAATAATACGTTATGACATAAAGGTAAGGGTTGGTGTAGAATTCAAAAATTTGGTTAAATTATAAAAATTTGTATCGGTATCAAGATTAGAGAATCGATACATTTTGGTATGAACACATCCCTAATTCTTGAAAGAACTAGTCTTGAAAAATCTGGAATTAGTCTTGAAAAGTCTGGAATTAGTCTTGAATTTTTAAATGTAAATAAACTAGACACCCTGTAACATTAAGTATAAGCCTCTTTTTGCCGCTTCAGAATGCTATCCTTATTTTGTTGTTGTTGTTGGCCCATTCAATTATAAACCAAATGAAAGATGAGAGTGAATGTGAGCAAAATAAAACTTTTTAAGGTGTTCAAATTATAATAAAAATAATTTTTTTTTATGAAAAAATTCCGGAGTTAATTTTGACAAATACTTTCTGTATGTGTTTATCCCAATTCAAATGTTCATCTATTGTTAAACCCAGAAAGTAAATTTTGTTTTCCTAATGAATGTTATTTGAGTTATAATTTATTGTTGGTTCTTTTGTGATTTTGTTCTGTGCTGTTTTGAAATTTAGTTTTTGTAAAACTAATAATTTATAAATTAATTTGAAACTGTTTTTCTTTGTCTCAACTGGAAAATGAGTGAGTCTCTGGCGCTGGCGCTGGTGTGACGGGTTGTTGGCGGCTTGTGTGAATGGGACTTTTTGGAATTACTAAATTTAATTTCTTCATGTTTACCTATTTAGTATAGTAATTTAGATAATTTAAATTTATTTATACAAACAAGAATAGTTTTTATTTATTTTTTAGAGGTTAAGTGGTAGAGAGAACTTGCAAGTCCTAACTTCTTCGCCTCTTAAATAAAGACATTTTTTATTTGATTTCATTTCACTAATTTGTTTCACGGCTGGGCGTAGAAACTTGGTAGAGGTGTCTAAAGAAAGGTCTCTTGGTCTGTAGATGAGCCATCAAAAGAGAAACGAGGTAAATTCCCTTGGAGCTCTGTCCCAGTGCCCTTTAAAAGTCCATTCCCATGTTATTCTTATGGAGGAAAGAAACAAAAAAAGATTTTTGTCTCAGCTAATTTGAGAGAACGGCTGGGCGTAGAAACTTGGTAGTGGTGTCTAAAGAAAGGTCTTGGTTTGTAGATGAGCCACCAAAAGAGAAATGTGATATATTCCCTTGGGGCTCTGCCCCAGAGGCTTTTCAAATTCCCTTCCAAGATTTGTTTACATTATGACCATATGGAAAATGTTACACTACTTTTTATAGAGGTGTGCGTATAGTGAAATTTCAGTTCGGATCGGATTCGATTTGGATAGTTAAGGCTCGGATCGGATAATTAGAGGTTCGGATTTGGATATTTTCGGATCCGGATCAATCAATCAATCAATCAATAAAATCTGTATCCAATATTAGTACTCTGTACATAGAATGGTTTCAATATTAATTAATACTAAGATACATTATAACTAAGATTGATTAATACTAAGGCTGTCAAAACAAAAGATATAGTTATATGCATGAAGAGAAAACAGAACTAAAAACTTTCTTTATACATCATTTTTACATGGGAATTCGGAGAAAGAATATAATGTTAAATGAATAAGATATTTTTTTAGTTGATTTTTAAATTTATTAATATTTTTCTCCGATTTAATGGCTTTTGGTAACATATTGTAAAATTTTGACCCCATATACATTGGCTTTTTTTCATAAAATCCAAGTTTATGTTTGTCAATGCCAATTCTATTCCTGAATCTTGTATTATAATTATGAGTATCTCCAACAAAATGAAGTTGGTCCTGACGGTTTTTCACAGAAATTATAGTTTCATTGATGTACATTGCATATAAAGTCATGATACAAATTTTAGAAAAAAGAAGTTTTACCGATTCATTATAATTTAATTTTAATATAATCCGAATAGATTGTTCCTGAATTTTTAGTATTTTGTTCAAGGATAGTTTGACATTCAAGTACTTAATAAATAAATATTAAGATTGAAGTCATAATTTGTATTTTTATCTATGTAAACTACAATATATATTGTAAACTATTCACTATTGTGATATTATAAGTCACTAATCTTGGTTCAGTTATAAAAACTGAAGTTAAAATTCCCAGCTCACTCCAACTTCACAAAAAAGTATACTGTACCTTATATTTTGATGCAAACAATTTATATGGCAAGGTCATGTCTCCGTATTTGTATCTTGATGCAAAGAATTTATATGGCAAGGCCTTATTAAAGTAACCCTGTTCACATATGTTATGTTCAGGGCCATCACTGTTCACGCTGCATGTTCAACGCCCACTGCCGTGGCTGCCCCGTGGACACTGAAGGTCTGCTGGTGTTACGAGCAGGTGATTGTCTAGCAGCCATGTTCTCTGAGCCTGTACCTGAGATATCAGCTGTTCCGCATACTACGATGCTCCAGTATGCAGTAAACTCCACAATCACTCTATATGACTGCATACAAGCCTTCAGCCAGAGGTGAGTGGCGGAGCGGGGTGTTTGAATCAAAAATTGTTTATGACTTTAGGAAGAAAGTTTACCTTGAACATTGAGCGTTAATTTAAAATTTCTGGTTAAAGAAACAGTTTTCGTGGCAAGCGGGACTTCCCTCTACAACATCGCTTTTCTTGACCATCGCTGTTCAGGCCTTTTTTCATTTAATTGTATTCTGGTAGGGGAAGAGTGGTGGGGAAGTTCCCTGTCTCTCAAAAAAGTTAATGCAAAGAATTTAACTTTTAACTTTATTCCTAAAATAAGACATACCCACCTTAAAGTGGTTGGTAAGAAATTTGTTTTTACTATTATTTTTAATGAAAAACTCAACAACAAAATAATTCTCAAAAGTGTTATGGTTTAATTTTATTTTAATATTTCAGTGAAGTCTTGGATGAGCATAATCCCTGGTTCTGCCCAAATTGCAAGAAAAATCAGTGTGCTACAAAAACACTATCAGTTTGGCGGTACCCCAACTATCTTATAATTTACTTAAAACGGTAAGTTTTTCACATATATTTTTTCCATTAACACGTTCGCCGCGGTCATTGCCATGGACTGAGGTATACATTTAAATCTTACACATAGACCGGCTGTCACTTGGTTAACAGTATACACAGACGACGGGTAAAAACCTGTTAAAATTGGAACACCGACTCAAATATTCAACGGCAGTCTATGGGTAGAAACCATGTAAGTCGCTGGTCTATATGAATGAAAAATTTTGTACTATTGCGGTACTGAATGTGTTAATTATATTTTTAACTTCATCCGACAAATATCCATAAAACAATATTTTCTTTTTTATTTCAATATCAAATGTACAAAGTGTTAAATAAAATTTACTGAATGTCTGGTTTCTAAGAAGAATGACACATTTGGGACTTTGCTTCAAGTGTTTTTCCCTCCAATTACTATTCAGTATTAGATTTTTAATTAATTTAAAATGTATCAATTTTGAAGCTTATACAAGAGGTAAAGTTACCTTGATTCTGTCCAAGTAATCGTTTAAGTCGTCATTAGTGAGACCGGTTTCAGTGTCTATGATGGACACTGTTAAGCTGGACGTAAAATCGCTCCTAAAAGGTCGTCATGAGTCTTGAAAAACACAAATAACAAGTACACAAACAAAAAACAATAAAATGCATGGCCACACAACTAATTTACAACACCTTCCCCTTGAGTTATCAGCTGTTGATAATATCTCGTCGATGTTTAAGGCTGCCTCAATCGACGAGATATTATCAACAGCTGATAACTCAAGAGGGAAGGAGGGGAGAGGAAGACACGGCCTCAGTCTAGACCTACACCCTGTACCCGGGTAAAAACTTGAAAACAGGACAATTGCTGTCCCCTTCGCCATTTCATAAGAAAGTATTTAAGTATATCTGAGAAAATTAATACTCACCATAAGCAATTAAGTCTATTTTATTCTGATGTTTAGCCTTTATAAAACTGATCTTATTATCTCTAAAATTAATTAATAACATTTGTTTTTGCTAGAAGAGAAATTCGACCTCTGGTTTTTTTTGTAATCTGGGTCACACAAACAATCCTAAGTCTTGCCAAGGATATCTACAATGAATTATGCAAATTATGATTCCAATAGCTTTTTAGATACCCAATAATACCAAAGTGTGAGAAATGTGGTTGCTATAAATATACAAGATGTAAAAAAACCCAAATAAAACTCTAAAAAAATTGCGGTAATGATTTCGCTACGGGGTGAGAATATAGGAGAGAATAATTCGGTTTTCAAAAATCTACGGAAAATATTATTGAATTCTGATATTTATTTGTATCTAACCCAATACTTGCTTTATATTAAACCATTGTGTTGTTCGTTTGTATTCACTTAACAACACGTACGCTGACGCAAAATATCTTTGCACTTTTTGAGAAATTCCACTACTGAAGTAAGATTACTAAACAGCTGGGTTAGTAAATTTTCTTCATAAGAAATGCATTGGTATTTTGATGGTCTGTAAAAGTATTATTTCTAGTATTTCAGTACCCTTGGCATATTGCACACATTTTTCATTGATTGAGGGGGTCTTTCCAGATCAGTAAAAAATATCCAGGATATGCCCAGTTCATAAGAAGGGCCCAAGGAACGGAACTTTAAGCTACTGCCAAATTTCAATAATTCTAGTAATTTCAAAAATATATGAAAATATTTCATGATCAAATCCATTCCTTTTTTGAAGACAATAAAATTTTCAATCATTGTCAATTCGGGTTTCGAAGGGACAAATCAACAGTCCAAGCTGTAGACAAACTGGTTCGTGAAATTATTTCTTCCTTTGAGACCAAGTCATATGCCCAGGCCACCTTCTGTGATCTTAGCAAGGCATTTGATTGTGTTGATCCAAATGACATAATAAAAAAATTAAATTACCATGGAATTACAGGCTCTGCTCTAAAGTCCATAAAATCTTAATTATCTAATCGAAGACAAAGGGTTTACACTGATGGTCTCTGGTCTCAAGAAATATCAATAAATGTGGGTGTGCCCCAAGGTTCGGTCCTGGGTCCACTTTTGTTTTTAATATGCATTAATGATCTCCCAAATTCAGTTAATTCCTCAACTATTCTTTATGCAGATGATACAACCTTTTTCCACAGTAATAATGATTTTGAACAGCTAAATTTATTATCAAAAAATACCCTCACCACATCATCTGACTGGTTTAAAGCAAATGGGTTTCTCTTAAATGAAAGTAAAACACAGAATGTTGTTTTCAGCCTAAGACCCCTCCCTAATAGCGGGACTGATATCAATATTGCAGTTAATTCGGTGAAATTTTTGGGCATTAAAATAGACAGTACTCTTACCTGGGGATCTCACATTGATTATATAACACCAAAACTATCAAGAACAATATTTCTTCTAATACGCCTGGTTCATTGCTTGGAAACAAATTCTGTTAGAACTGCCTATTTTGCCTACTTTCAATGAATAATTAGATATGGATTAATTCTCTGGGGTAACTGCAGTAGAGCAGATGAAATCTTAATTCTCCAAAAAAGAGCCGTTAGGGTTATCGCTGAATCTGAACTCGATGAACATTGTAAACCTCTTTTTGTTTCAATGAAAATTCCTACTATTATTAATCTGTATATCTTTGATTTAACTGTTATGTAATAAATAACACACAAATACTAAAATTCCATGAACACAGATATAATACTAGAAATAAAAAACATACTTCCATTGACTACCACAGGCTCTCAAAATCTATAAACAGCTATGTTGTTGTAGCTCCTAAGGTTTACAATAAACTCATTGGCCTTATCTCAAAATATGATGTCAAATAATTCAAGAGAAAGTTTTATAAATGGTTATTAATAAACAAACACCCACTTTATTCACTTAATGAGTTTTTTTTCTTGCCAAATTGCTTTCTAGATCGTTCTATACACTTGAATACAAATCCCCACACTCTATTAATTAAATAGTCTCTATAAATTATTCTTCACTAAAAACTAATATTGAAAACTAATCCTCTCTTTTTTTATTAAGATATGATGTTATCAGAAATTATTTTCTATTTTATCTGTTATTGATGTTCCAGGCCAACTTGAAGGAGAAATTGTTTGTTTAGTTGTTTTGTTCTATATATTGTACAATTTAAGTTTAATTTTATATTTACATCTACTTTAATTTGCTTCATGACAATTTGTAAAATGCAATCTGACCTATCCTATTGTACTTTATTGTACCGAATGGAAATAAATATATTTCATTTTATTTGATTTGATTACAATTACACAGTGACTCAAACGCATAAATGGGGAACTTCTATGTATTAAACAAAACTTGTGTCATCCTTTATTATAAAAGTATCACCATTTCGTTATTATCGTCTGCTAATAACCGGTCACATAACACTAGGCGAGGTTCGTAATATTCTCGCAAACCTCTGAGCCAAATTCTTGCCGCCCACATTGTTGTATAATCCCGCCCATCATCAGAATAGGTCAAGTAAAGAAAGTAAACAGAAATAATTTTCAATTATATTGTGGGTTACTAAAAAATTAAATCTCGACATTGAAAACTCATAAGAGAAGTAATTTGGGTCACACAATTCACCAAAAGTAATACACATCAGATCCTCAGATTTTGTGAACCAAATTACAGTGACCGACATTAGCATTTTCACTCTCGTCATTTACTAAAATGGAACATAGAGGCCATTGTTCCCTTTGGTGGCCATAAGTTTGGTTAAGTATGCGTTTGACTTATATTTTCTCAGTTTTAAATAAGTTATTTGCCTTATTGTAACAGTTATTATCAGTAGGCTACCGATCATTACACAAAAACTTAACGCTTACAAAACAGATTTTAAATAAAGTCTTTCCGAATAAACTGGAAAGCCTGGCATAACATCACGCCTAACCTACTTCACCCACGGTCAACAACAAACTGAGAGAGGCCGGAATATGGATCCGCCCGGAGTCGATAGGGTTGAAAGACCTGACGAGAACTGGTTCCGACCCTCAAACCCAGAATTACATTCACAGCCAGGGACGCGACTTTTAACGATTGTTATTGCCAGTATAATTAAATTTCATTAAAAAGCCTGTTTGGTAATTTTTGTCAATATTTTAACATTATAAATTAATTCAAACAAAATATTTAAAATTTATTGCATTAATATTACTGAAAATATAAGCTTATGTATCCAACTTCTAACCTAGGGGACAGGGGTTTTCACTAAATATACCCATTTTGGAACTTTTCAAACACACGTTTCTTTACTACATAGTATTAAAATCGAGAAACATAAACATTTTTATTCAAAGGGAGGTATAATAAATTATTTTAAAACTATTTGGAGCAGGAATAGATAGCGGAAGAGGTATAAATAGCTGGGGACAGCAATTGTCCTGTTTTCAAGTTTTTACCCACCCGCTGCCGTGTTTACCTTACTCACACCGGTCGGCTTAAGCATTTACAAAGTTTCATGTAGCATATTAATAATACAGATTCACTTTATCGGTTGTAATCTGTCATGTTTATATTTTTGCTTTTGCCCTTACTCACACATGTTCATTTTGTTTTTTCTCCCGTTTTTAATCACACTTGCTACTTGTTGACAGATTTGTGTTTTAATCCGTTTCCGCCACTCACATAAGTTTCAACACGTTTACAGATTTGTGTTCCAAGACTGTGTCAGCACCAAGCTGGATGACAAAGTTACGTTTCCTCTGCAAGGATTGAACCTGTTGCCCAACACCTCGTTGTACGACTTGTACGCTTGCGTCTGTCACATTGGAGGTAAATAACAAATCTATTACAGGACAAAATGATAACTCCTTTTATAAAGATTAGCTGGACCTTTAAATAAAGCATTGCTCATAATTTTGGTCTTAAATTAAAGGTATGCGGGCACAGATTTGCCATCAAGTATCGTTATTCTTTTATCTGAAGTATATTTCGAGATATGCACAAAAGCAACTTCCTCCCTGTACATTTCATGGGAGATAAATTTTGTTTTTCTTTTCCGAGTTCGTTTGACTCTTCTACCAAACCGATGTTCATCATTTTGGTTTTAAATTAATGTTATGCACACATAGATTTGTCATCAAGCATCAGAATTTATTTATCTACTGTATGACTCGACCAAAAACAAAAATCGTAAATTTAATTTTTTTCGAATACTTATTTCAATTAAAGATGTATTTCACCAGTTCTATTTACATTATTCTAGATATTTTGTTGTAATTACCTTCAGTGAAATACCAGCTTTCATTTGAGCTATTGATTATTAAGATCGGACGTACCTGAAGCACGATGCTGAATCACAAATCAACAATAATCATATAGATTAAAACGTGACAGGGTTTTTTCGCGATTCTGAATCAACCACTTGACGGATTTTCATGATATTTGTGTTGAAAGAAAGATAATTTTGAGAACTAGGGAATGTCGAAGCCATAATTTTATTTTAGAGTTTCAGTTTTTTAGAAATTAAGTTTAAAATTTTTTAAAGTCAAGCAGCCGACGCTAACATTCTACTCTAGCTTTTGGTATAATACAATTTTGCTTAACGTAACAGCTGTAAACATTCAGCGTTTTCGACACAAATTCAGCATTTGGATGAAAATTAAATGACATACATAGAATTGAATTATTTATACAATGTGTAATGCTATAATCATTGATATGTTCATTTATTTGGTAAGAGGATGAGAGTTTATTAAAATATACATAGTAAAATACTAGATGTTCTAATTTATTTTTTTGAGCAGTCTTTAAAATATTTAGTTTGTTTTAGTGCAATATAATTTGTTTTAAATAACAGCTGGTTGAATAAAAAAATATTCTATAGAACTATGAGGTTAGATTATTTACTCTGTGATTTTATCATTGATTATAGGAAACTAGAGCACCTGTTGCTCGACTTCGAGCAATTGTAAAGTATTACAGGCGTTATTTCAAAACGAATAACAGTCATAACTTCCGATTATGACTCAAAAGAGTCAACTCAAAGATGTAATCAATCGCTCCACTCTAGTTATCGAAACTGCAAATGAACTCACTCTGAAAACGAACACTACTGTGTGTATAATGTGTTTACTAATGAACAGCTGTAATTTATACAAAAATATTATTTGTCTGTTTAAGTAAACAAAATCTTTTCATCATAAGAAATACATTGCAATTTTGATGGCCTGTGGGGCAAAGCCCGAGGACTTTTATTACAGGAATTGGTGAAAGGGGGCGTCTACACAAAAAATACTTAATTTTGACACATCGTTTGTAAAAATCCGTCCATTATTAACGAAGGAGTAGTGTTTCATAGAAAACGCCTTCACGTATTATATATAAGGATAAGTAAGATTCTATAACCATTGCTGTATACGAATCAAAGTTCATGAATCAAAGTTCACGAATCTTCAAAAGAAAGCTCTTGAAAATTATTTTACTACTCTACTTTTTGAGGAAAGGTTGGGAAAATAACAATGATCATAATATGTTTTAATTCATCTTGGCAGCTTTTTCTTTACTACAAATTTTGAACTGTTTAAACTATTCTTGAATTAGTAATAGACACACTATATACAGTTGTAATGGACTACTTTTATACAGCTTGTTATAATTATTTTAGTACTTATCTACAATCAATGATAATATGTAACTCAATTTTTATTTTATATGCCTTGGTCTAAAAATAGTCCTAGGAATAAAGGCTTTAATTTGAGATATTGATTGTTTGAATAAGTTAAGTTCAAGATACTGTATATAAATTTGATTATTTCTCGGATATGAAATTTTATTTTAGATATATATACTCAATTCTAATTACGTTATCCTATATTTTTTGATCTAAGAACCTTCAGTGAAATACCAGCTTAGGTTAGGTATTGATTATTAAGATCGGACGTACCTAAAGCATGTTGCTGAATCACAAAGTTACACAAAGTCTTATTGTTATAAGATGCATACCACAAAGTTCATCATCATACATTATGTCTCAAATGGATTTTAAGTGGAGGAAGTTAGTTAAATGAAGACAAACTTTAATAACTTTGACAACATCTTGACAACATATGTTTACATGTTTACAATGGGTTTTATTATTTTTTGGTGCTATCCAACCTTCTTTTGGCCAATTTAGGGTGGACAATCAAGAAGACTATTGTAATAAAAAATACTTTAAAATACATAAAAGTTCCAGTTCTGAAGGTCAGTGTATATTTCCTTTTAGACCACTAACTGGCAGTTATCTGATAACTACTATTATAGTGGAACTCCGATGGTTGGAGTGCTACTGTACTTAGCAATATCAAAATTTTTTTTCTACTTAAAAAAAATTTGATTATGTTAGACTGAAGACTCTATCATTGAACCGTAATAAAAATACAATGTTTGGAGGGATTTTATCCCGGGAATCAGTAATTGAAGTGCTATACCACTGGACCAGCTCACTCTGTTCTACCACATGTGTGTCCATGGCAGGTGTGTCAGCCGGTCACTACACAGCTTACACCAAACATCCCAGGACTGGAGAATGGCATCATTACAATGATGACTGCGTTACCAAGCAGCGACCTCAAGAGGAGGACTACAGCAATGCCTATATCCTCTTCTACAAACGGAGAGGTAACAACTCCTCTGAGTTCTGTTTTTGGATCTTAAAATTGTTTCAATTTTGTTAGTTCGGATCTGGATATTATAAAGTCAATCTGATGGATTTAATTTCATCAGCTTTATGAAAGGGCTTGTCATTTTCAAATTTTTATGACCGAAATATCAAATTTTCAAATGCTAACACTCTTGATGACTGTGGGATACTACCTGAATCTCAAGTATTTTTAGGAATGATTTACTATGATTTTTAGGCCCGAAAAGTCATGTGTAACATTTTTACATTTTTATCCATAGTCTACCAAAGCACAGAAAACATACTACTATAACCCAGAATGCCAACCGCAGCATAGCAACGCTGGTGGCGCTGCCTACGAATTGACAGGCAAAGCTCTCTCAAAACACTTAATGCTTTTTACCATGCGGTTGGCATTCTGGGTTATAGTAGTATGTTTTCTGTGACCAAAGGTAGCCAAAATTCAAAATCTTCCAAAAGTGGAGTAGGTTTACAGGGTAAAGGTACACTGAACAGTGTTGTCATGTTGAGTCTTGCAAATCTATCTTTATTGTATACAGTAATTTAACATTTATGACTACATAATATTTTCTGGTGACATAATATACTAAGTAAATAACAAACTGCAAAATAATTATATTATTTGTTTTATTTCAGGAGCTGATATGAAAAATGAAGATTTTAACGCAAAGCTGGCTTCTTTGAATAGTGAAAACTTCAGTTGAATGTAGCTAATTTTGTATTTTTAAGTAATGTTCCCTATATGTTTTAGTCTTACAGTTCTAAATAAAATACCCTTATTGTTTAAATGTATATATTATAAATATCATTAAATATTTTATATCGTCACTAATATGTGTTATTTTATATCCACTTAAGTTTGGGTTAGGTATTAAAAAAACTTCTTTAATTTCAAAGAATAAATTTCATGATGGGTTAGCCTTTGGATCAAGATAATGCAAAATATAAAAGGCTTAGTTTACCTGTTGCGTCTATTGATCCTTGTGTTTTAATTCCAGGTTGTGTTAACTGACTTCAGATTACTGAACAGCACTCACCAACTCTTAATAGATTTGTGTCTAAATTTCAGTTTGGCCATAAATGAGTGTGTTACCGGTAGAGTTTTAAGACTTCATTCTAGTCAGTATTTTATCTACAGTATTTATTTCCTATTTAAAAATAGTATATTTCATCACTACGGAGTGACTCTTTTTGACCCAAGCTAAGTTTTACGATCAAAGCGAAGCCACAGTCGGAAAATTGGTGAGGGTTGAAAAGACAGTTTTTTGCGTGTATAATAAACTATATATTTTTCGTCATATTGCATCATTAACTAACCAACTAAGCCAGAAAAAAAAATAAAAAAACTTGTCATGTAAAGATACTCTCAAAACTACTTCCAGCTCGGTTTCAATTCTTCTAATATAAATAAGCAGCTTTTCGTCAGTGATTTAATCATTTTGTCTAAAAATTACGATTGTGTTACTGTACACTATACCATTGATCAAACTACTGACAAGAATGCAAAAACAAGCTAAAACCATTCCTAATAAATAAATAAATTGATAAATAATAAAAGTCCATATGATTACTACATTGAAATTTATAACTGTACAACAGCAGATTTTTACTACCTAGGAAGTAAACAGTAAAAACTCAAGAACAATTGATGCACTTGCGATTAATTAAATCCGTTATGTAAGGCACAACGTTTTTAATCTCATTTGGTTTGGATGTGCTTACAAAACGTGATCGGAAATGGTTGCGGTATTTGTAAACAACATTTAATGTACACATATCAATGACATCTAGAAGTAAGAATTAATTCAAACAGCTTTTCGTTATTTCATAAAATGTAACAGTAAACATTGGGAGAAAACTTGACAAAATCGGACAAAATTGGGTTTTTTGATAGTTCGTTATTTTATTTCCAAAGTTGCGAGCCCATATTTTAATAGCCAAAGACACTCACCAATCCAGTGAATACAGAAAAATAATTGAATCTTGATCTTTACTCTAGTTTTCTAGGAGTAGGCCGCTTAAAATGACATTTTGGCCTTACAGACAGAATGACAGAGAAGACAGACAGACAGACAGAAATTGAGATAAGACTCGTTTTGGCTATTAAACGTAAAAATAACCAAAAACTGCATGATTCTACGCAATGTACAGACAAAACTGTAATTTTATTTATACAGGGTGAATAAAAAGTCAAGACCCCACCATCTAATATTTTTCCAAGTAGATATACAGAGATATCCTTTTGGTGGTCGTGCAATCTTAGCAGGGGAAGTGTCATTTTATGATTTTGAAATTTTTGAGTGTCCTCCCAAAAGGGGGGATTTTGGGGGCAACTCAAATATTTTAAATGTAAACCCCCTTCAAGTGACACCTCATTTTGAAGGGTTTACAAAAAATTAAAGAATGGTGAAAACTAGAGGTCGCTATCTCTTTTCTATCCAAAATGGTAACCAATATTGCCATTACGACCCAATTTTACCATTGATTTTCCACAACATTTGATGGGCTACCATTTTGGATAGAAAAGAGATAGCGACCTCTAGTTTTCACCATTCTTTAAGTTTTTGTAAACCCTTCAAAATGAGGTGTCACTTGAAGGGGGTTAACATTTAAAATATTTAAGTTGCCCCCCAAATCAGGGCTTTTGGGGGACACTCAAAAATTTCAAAATCATAAAATGAAACTTCCTGCTAAGATTGCACGACCACCAAAAGGATATCTCTGTATACTTGGAAAAATATAAGATGGGGGTCTTGACTTTTTATTCACCCCGTATAGATTATCCAGGCTTTCTAGATTTTTTACATTGTAATATGTATGCATTAAAAAGATGTACATGTAAATTAAAATAGTAAATATTTAATTTCAACAAAATCAGTAAATGTACCCAATGCGTTTCATTGAATTGAAAAAGAAAATAACAGCAATTAAATTATACAGCTGATCAAAATGTAAACAATTAAGTTCTTCATAATGATAACATAGGAACTTTAAAAGCCAATTAGGCAGAGCTTAAGGGTCTTTAAAAAAAATGTAAGGCCAGTAGTGATGTGTCAAAACCAAATATCAAATCTCAAAACCATCAAAACTTTGGAGAAGTTTCGGTTTCGAGATTCGATAGGCGAGTTTCGAGATTCAAAAGTTTCAAAATAGGAAGTTTTGGAACTTATATTTTTGAAAATTATGACATTTTTTATGTCATTACTATTGTTTAAAACATTGTTTACACACAAGCTAGTAGCAATGGAGCAAACATATCTCCATCAACACTAATGAAACAAGTAAATTGTATTCTGAACTGCAAACAGCATTTTAAATACTAGAACAACTAACAATTCAATTTCAAATTGATATTCAATATTTATTAAACACAAAGAAATATTGAGCACTAAAATGTTCTAATTAATGTAATATTCATGTATATTTTAATGTAAAGAGTTTAATTTATTTTAATGTTAGTTGTTTATAAAAAAAATATGTTATTTTTTGTTTGAAGTTTATCTGCCACATTCATGTTATTTTGTCTGGATCAGGAGTCAATCTCTTTCAGTTTTGATTGCATAATCATAATGAAAATGTTATAAATACCTGTATTTTTTTTAGCAACCTTGACCGGGTAATTAAAAAGTTTTGCGTTCAGGTTTTGAGATTCGAGATTCGGGATTTGATTTTTAAGTTTCGGTTTCGAGATTCAAAATTTCTGGTTTTGACCATGTTGGCATATTAATTATATACTAGTGTACATGTTGCTCGAAATCAAGCAATTTCAAAGAAGTAAAGTAGTTATTTACTTATTTAACACTAATACCAAAACCCTACCTAGGCTGACGTTAACCGAAACCCCCGGTCTGTGATACCCCATTTGAAAAATAATGGACCCCGCTTAGACACACACAAACCGAAACCCTCGGCCTGTGAGACCCCGCTTTAAAATACACTAACGATGGGCTTCTGAGACGGGCATGTTATGAACAGACAACCTGTCAAGGTCACGGCACCCATGCAAAATGAACAAACAATATATCAATAGGTAGGGGAGGAAAAGGGGGGAATGGAATCTCCCAAGTAAACAGTGTTGCCAACATGCATTTTTGAAAATTCCCGTGGGCCTGTCAGACCGGGGTTTCGGTATTAGTGTTAAAAACTAATAAAAGTAATAATTTCCGATGAGTTTAAAAGACTCCACTCATAGATTACGTACCTAACAGTTCCATATAATCAACTGCATTTTAGCGAATTTCCCATATAGGGAATAAGCTATTACCGTAGGTCTCATGGTAAGACCTAGACCCGGGACCGATTTACTTTTTTGTTTTGAGGTCCCCAGAGGCCAAAAACACCATCCGTTCAAATTCATATATATATATATATATTTATATATATATATATATATTTATATATGTGTCCGTTAGCGCGATAACTCGAGCAAAATTGATCCGATTTTGATGAAATTTGGTACAAACGTGTAAACGTAAACCTACATTTATTCGAACGAGTTCGCGAACCAGCATAATCGGACCATGGGATCAGGGGTTTATGGGGGGTTTTATGGGGTAAAAATGGGTTTTTCTCGTTTTTGACCCTAAAAACTTTAAATTTCTAAATTTCTCTCTAGACCATTTTGAAGAGCTTAAAAAAACAAATAATTTAGTATATTGAAGTGTTTTTGAATGTTCATTGACTACGGAGAAAATTAAAAAAATTGTAAATTTAAAATTCCCATGTTATTCTTATGGAGAATAAATAAACTGTTCTAGTTTGCTTGTTTATGGATATATTTTAACCAAATTTGGCAATTTGGTTTATTTCATACTAAGCTATCAATATTTCAATTGAAAAAAACACACCTCAACATCTTCCCCGTAGCAGCAAACCTAACTACTCACTAAAATAATGTTATTTAAATAGGAAATAAATCTGAAAATTTATAGGGAATATTTTAGTAGAAATCAAGCCGGGTAAATGGAAATTCGCTTAGTATGCAGGTTTGCTGCGACGGGGGTATTTTAAAATTCCCGTGGGCCTGTCAGACCGGGGTTTCGGTATTAGTGTTAAAAACTAATAAAAGTAATCATTTCCGATGAGTTTAAAAGACTCCACTCATAGATTACGTACCTAACAGTTCCATATAATCAACATTTCTTGTAAATATTTTATCATTTTTCAAAAGCTGATCTGATTTTTTAGTGTATTCTTCAAATATTTCCCACTTATAGCCGCATTAGGTTGTCCATGTTGATCTTCGTCAATAATAATGTAGTCTGCATGGTACTACCCATTGTCGCCAGTACGTTTACAAATTTCAGTCATTTTTTTATAGCGATAACATTTTGTTTACATAACTGCATAATTTTCTGCATAACCTCTCTATCACAATTCTATTAATATTCAATTGGCAATAATTTGGCTAGTTACTGGTATAACGTAAGTTATATCATTGAGTATACACGTATACTCAATTATATACTTGTATACTCAATGGTTATATTTAGGTACTTGAAAAAATGCAGAATTGAAAGGCCTAAAGTTGTTCAGATGGTTTTTTGTTTCCCTTAAATGTGAATAATGCAAATTCTTCAATGAAAGTTTTATTAAGGTTTCTTGGATGTAGTCATATTATTTTAAAATCACTTGACTTTTATGAAAACATATATTAATGTCCTTGCCGTACCAGTTTAATTCAGCCTTAGAGTGTTTTCCTTTGCCAATCTTCATAAAGTTAAGTCTGTGTTTCCTACAAAATAGTAACACTTCGGCTAACATCCTTGTTCATTGTTTGTGGGAATCTTCAGATTGTAGGTGTTCTTCATTATATAGGAGGTA